GCGAGGTTCTATAGTGGCTGTGAATGAACGACCTCTATTTATTTATTCTCCAATGAAGAAAAGGACGCACCAACCGTATACAAATGGTAAACTCGTATAAATAACAGAGAATCGAACTCGCTGATATTCATACTAATTTGAATATTTTCTTTTGTTCGGAGACTTTGTTCAATACCATGAAATATTCGACTTTAACAAAGAGATGAAACGTATCAGAGAGCTCCGTATCAAGACGTTGTTTTTTCTTCCAAACAATGCTTGCTGTCGATGGTATTTTTCGTTGAATCTCGATCCATAACAAATAACTACCACCATATCACGCTGTTTGTCTTTTGTTTCATAATATATATTATTTGTTTTAGATTAAAAGGAAATATCAAGTGTCACGAATTTTGTAAGTGTGTGACAAAATATATTAAAAATCAAGTATGACCTCATCAAGTGTCGTTGTCATCGCTCACGTCTATTGTCGGGAAGACCAAGTAGAAAATATTCTTCCTATTCTTCAAAAATTGACAGAAGCTACACGAACCGAGTCTGGCTGTGTCAAGTATGAACTGCATCAAGATTTATCGGATCAAACACATTTCACATTTATTGAAGAATGGAAAAATGAAGAGGCTTTGCAACTACACTTTCAAATGGAACATTTTAAACAAGCTGGCGAACAGGTCAAACCATTTTGTGCTAAGCCCGTCGAAATTCTGAAATATAAAAAACTTCTCTGATTGTTTTAACATTAGGACATGATATCGCAATAAAAATGATCATGTGTACTTGAAATTCTACGTATTTACCTGTGCATATGCTCCAGTTTATCAAGTAATACAAATAAATATTTATTTCACATAAAAAGTTAACAAAACAAATTAGAGAAACATGTTCATTTTTTCGCTCACATACTTAAGCTCGTGCATCACCATGTTTGATAAGTCTTAAGAAAATGTAAGCACTAATTCGAAAAAGAAGAAGTATACCAAAGAGAGCAAGAAAATTGATTCCAACACTCGCATTAACATGAAAGATTTCCAAAGCTTGATGATTAGTAAAAGTTCCATTTGTATTATTTCTACAAAACTCAATAGTATATCCATTAACACATTGATACGAACGTTCATTCATAAACAATAATTGAAGGCAAGCATCATATGTATACTTATAAAACGAAATCCATTTTATCCAAACTTTCAGCCAAGATGGTATGTTATCAATAAAATATCCACCGACCAATAACGATCCAATCAGGAAAACATTTCCCGTAACCCATGCTTCAGCTACACTTCGAAATAACGCTCCGAGTAAGACTCCAAATGATTCAGCAACGAGAACAATTAAAAGTAAAAATGCCAAAATGCCAAGGAAAATTGGAAAATACGGATTAAGATTTGCCATCCAATAAGCGATTGTAAAGGAAACTGTAGGTAAAACAAGTTTAAGTGGACTTTCAGATAAACATTTAGCAACATAATAAGCTGATAAACGAAATGATCCACTTGCTCTTTCTTTATTAATTACAGCACGTTCACTTGGAATTGATAGAACTCCTTGAAAACAAACTTCTAAAGGCCAAAAAATCATCATAAAAAACAGAAATGACGAACGATCTTTTAATGTATCTTCTCTAAAATCCAATCGTAACCATAAAAGTCCATATAATATTGATATACACAATGCTTGAATAATATTTAATTTACTAAACTGTGATTTACTTGTTAATAGCCAATTCCGTGAAAAAAGTATCATGGTTTGTCGAACAAAGCCAATTGGCCATTTATTTTCTTTCTTTTGTAGAGCTAATTGAAGATTATTTCCATTCAATGAATCAATTTCATTTTCAGTTGGTTCGCCGATTAAACATTTCTGAGCTTCAGTTAACTCAGATTGATTTTTACTTAAAAAATATCTATTTTGAACGTAAATTTCTTTAAGATTCTCACGAATACTCATATCTTGATTAACAAGATCCATTAGAAAATCAGCTGGATTATATTGTGGAGGACATTGATATCCAACAATTGAACAGTACGCTAATGCATTGCCTGGTTTACCCTTAAAAGAGAAAAAGACTATTAAGAGATTGATGAAGGAAAGAGTGAGGTTTCTTTTACCATAAAAATCGTCTTTCCATCAGCCAATAAAATTAATTGATCAAACGATTGAAAAATTTGTGAAGATGGTTGATGAATCGATGTTAGAATAGTTTTCCCTTTTACAGCTAACTCTCGAAGGACAGAAATGAGAAGAACTGCTGATGTACTGTCTAATCCTGATGTTGGCTCTGCGTACAAAATAAAATCAATTGAAATCAAAATTCAATTTCAAAAAGATTTTACCATCAAGAAATAAAACACTTGGATTTGTTAATAATTCTGTTCCAATATTAACACGTTTCTTTTCTCCACCAGAAAGAAGTTTTATTGGAGTATTTGAACATTTTTCCAAACGTAATTGTTCAACAACATGTTCAACTTGAGCTAATTTATCCTTTTTCGATAAGCTTTTTGGCAATCGAAGTAAAGCAGTACATGTAAATTGTTGTTTAACAGTAAGTTCTTCAAAGAAAATATCTTCCTGTAAAACATAACCAAACATTCTTTTCATATTTTTTTCATAAACTTGATTGTTCAGCCAAATAGTTCCACTAACACCTTCTAATTTTCTTCCAGCTAAGACATTGAGTAAAGTAGTTTTACCTGATCCCGATGGTCCCATCAGAGCGCATATTTCTCCAGGATGAATTTGACCAGAAACGTCATCAAGTAGGGTTTGTTGAATTGTTTTGGCTTTAGAGTTTGGATCGATGATTTTAGCAGGCACATCAAGTTTTTTACAAATATCACGAAATGTTATTGTAATTCGCGCCGTTAAATCGTTCATAATCTGATCACCATCAATTGACAATCGACTTTCTTTACATGTTGGATTTACTTCAATTATTGCTGCATTAACATGACCCATTGCTGAAGACATTCTATAATATTTGTATCTAAAAGGACTCTACTTATATAGTTTATTAATCGCATGCTCTGAGCATATAACCTTTTACCTTGTTTTCATATGCTTTGCGCATAAGCCATAGTCTTTCTCGTTCTTCTTCGATTATTTACATACTGTCAAGTGATTGGATGACGTATGACTGCATATTTCTTCGTCACGGTGTTTATTCTACCTATCGATCACACGTGAAACATAAGAAATCATTAATATGGATAAGAAGGTTGTTTGTATATTTGAAAATGATTGCCAAATCGAATTATGTTTATAGAAATCTGTTGGAAAAATGAAACGACGTCGTGATGATCTATATTGTGTTGTATGTGAAGGATCAGCATCTTGTCATAATTTTGGTCAAATATCATGTCATTCTTGTAAAGGTATGAATCGATTCAATCGAATTATTCTAAGAAATAATGTAAATATTTTAAGAATTTTTTCGTCGAAATGCTCGAACATCATTAGTAAAATTTCTTTTTGATTTATTTAAAAACAAAAGTTAATCTTTAGGAAAAACTCAAATGTGTAAACGGAGAAACTAATTGTCAAATTCGATTTGATATGAAATCTAAGTGTCAACGTTGTCGATTAATAAAATGTTTTCAATCAGGTATGCGCAAAGATCATCTGTCGACTCCTGAAGAAAAACTTTCCAAACAAAAACGTATTGAAGAAAATCGTTCTATTCGTTTAACGAAAGTCAATCATGAAAATACTTCCTCAATTCTAACGGATATCGATCAATTTTGTTTACTACAAATTTCAAATGCTTATCAAACTTCGATTGAATCAATTCCATCAGCGTCATCAGTCATTTCATTTGATTTATTAGCAAATAAAGCATTATCATTTACAACTGTAACGGAAATCGATAAAATTTCGGCAATGAAATTGATTAATTTTATTCGATTGATTCCAGAATTTGAATCGTTAAATGAGGAAGATCGTATAACATTAGTCAAATCAAATTTGGTTACATTACTTATTGTACGCGATCTTCTATTATTTGATCGTCAACATCAAATTGTCTATGATGATAATATTCATATGACAAAACAATCAGAGAGAGAAAAATTTGCTCAATGTGTGAAAAGTTTATGTATTTTATTTTATGGTTATGAAGAAATGCAAATTTATTTCTCATGTCTCTCTAATATTATCGATATTTTTGACAAGGATCCATTGATTATTCAATTATTATTAATTATCTTATTATTTGAAAGAGGTCTTTCAATTAATAATGAACAGATTTCCATATTATTCGATGGAAAAAGAATATTTGATGTTTATTCACAGTATGTCGAATTACTTTTTCGTTATTTAATTCATCGATCGTCATTTACTAAAGCAATTTGTAAAATGTTACATATTGTTGAATCTATATTTCAAATTCATAATCATGCACAACGCTATCAACAATTGTTTCAATCAAAAAATGATTATTATTTTATCGATCCATTATTAAAATCACTTTTTCAAATCAAATAGCAACACTTGTCGACATTTTGATGAATGCAATAATTGAACATCTGTTCGTAGCAAAGAAATACATATAATATAGTGTTCTATCTAAAAGTGCGTTATTATTATATAAAATTAAGTTAAATGTCGTTCGTAAGAAAGATTTTGTTAGAAAACATTCGCATTTTCACTCTTTTTACAAATCAATGTATCAATGTGATATACTAATAATCTAAAGAGTCAACAAGTTCTGTTACAAATTCGTCAGCAGTATGAAAAATTGAGCCAAGTTGTTCATCGAGTTGACATATTCCTTCATACAGAAAACATGAAGTACCGATTTCTTCTGCTTTTGACAAATTATTACAAGTAACATAAAAGTGTCTTGAGGGAAGAGTAAGTGTCAGTTGGAGAATATGAACATTTTTTGATTGACCTCCATTGTATATGGTTTTTCGCTCTTTGTCTAACAATATTAATTCGAATTTTTTCACATTAGGTAAGATTTTTTCGAGCAATTTTTGTATCGCTTTCTCAACATTTGAAGCTGCACTGATTGGTAATGGATATTTGTTCATAATCATGTAACGTAATACCAAAGGATTGTATCGTGTTTCCCAGCATTCGCTACATATCTGTTGCAATTCATGTTCGAGAAATTGAATTTGGCTCTTGGCTTCGACAATTTTTTCAAATGTTTGCTGTTGTTTCTTGGCAGCGATATCTGAATTGATAGCCAGTTGACTTATTGCCGACACGTTTCGGAACACAGTCGAATTTCTCACATAGGTCGTGAAGCGTCGTAGAAGAGGTTCTCGAAATGTCTGGGAAACTTCGTGGGAAATGAAGTCTCTGTAGCGATCTTCAATCATTTCTGTACAGATCTTTAGTAGTGTACTTTCGTAGATATTACCAGAATCGGGTACATCGTATTTGTCTGTCTCGTCTAACGTGTTAGCTGCAAGTGTATTACACGTTCTTTCGACCAGTTTTCGCAAAACATCAAATTTTAATTTGAAGATCTGCTCTTTCAAACGACCGATCATTGACGTTAAAAGTTTTGGATTACGTTGCATTGGCTTAGTGTTAAGCAAAAATTTCAACATCGTGTACAGCTCTGTTTCAATTGTTGGCATGGAAGATTCTACAATAAAGCGAACTTCATCGGTTACATCTTGCCTTTTGATTGATCGATCGACACTCGCAGATATAATTTGAAAAGTGCTTTCATCTTTTTCTCGGTCCATCGTTGTAACCGGCTTCAGTGGCCTGTGAAACTTAGATCTTATTTCCTCTGGTAGACACTCATCTAAGCATATAGCTGCTTTCATATTATCGATTAATTGATTGTTTAATATGTCAGCCAAAGAATTGATTCCATCATGTACTTTTTTGAGTAACGTATTCTGTTCATTTCTCTCGATTTCTTCGTCAATACTAATCGTGTTGAATTCTCGTAGTATAGTCAACTCGAAATCAACTGTTTTGCCAGCAGTTGCCGATCGTTTAGCAATTGTTCGTGTCATACGATAATACGCGTACGAACCCACTTTATAAACAGCATATGCAGCAAGAGCAATGGCACCGAGAGCAATCGCAATACCTATTCCAAGCCAGCCCAAAACTGCAATCGAAATCACAGCAACAGCGATCAGAAGAATCGCGCCAATAGCCATTAACCAAATCCAAGTTGTGTCATCTTCTACAATGGCAACTTGTTTGAGTCCATTTGAAATGAAATATTTCAGTTCCTGATTTGGATCCGTACCATTGTCAAGGACATACTTGTGAGTAGCTACCAGTTGGCAATTTGCATCAGCGATTGTCGGTCTATTTGTTTCGATAATGCCCTTGATCTTATCAAAATCATGAAGATGTTCGATACTTTGCAGTGCTTCATTATAATTACTATCAAATTTTCTTGGAATAGCTAAGGATATGCGTGATGGCATTGCAATGCCACATTCTAACATATCATTAAGTAGATCTTCGTATGGATTTGTCGGTAAGTAAATGAATTTCGGTACATTGGGATTTTCGCATTCTTGTAAAAACGCAATTCGTAATGCGTCGAGCGCATATGTGTAAGCAAAGTGGTCTGCAAAAAACTTCTCAACAGCAGTATTCAGTGCATCAGGGAGAAGATCGGTTGTGTATTGTTTTCCTATTAAACGATATATGCCATCAGTGCCACAAGCAATAATATCTTCTTGAATGTATATCGAAAGAATACTCTCAGCATCGTCAATATTCAGATGTTCTTGAAATTCTTCCAATGTAAATCCTTCAAAATTCTTCATATATACTTGCAGAGTAAACAATCTGTTCGGATCCACTAAAGCAACAAATTGTGTAGCAATCGTTCCACTTTCAAGTAAGCTTTTCAATTGAGCAAAGTTCGAATTCTTGTCTTTCATTTGAGTAACATCATCGAGTTTATAGACTTTCACTGAATCTAATGGAATATCAGTAAATTGAAGTCGTAGCGGTTGAAATTCATCAAATATCTTGGGATCTACTGGTATTAAGCCTTCGATGGTTTCGGTTAACCGTGTAGTAAAATACTTTGATTCTTCGGTGAATATATTCAATTCACGAAGTTCATTCCAAAATTCAAGTCTACTGGGAAGTTTAAACAATTGGCGTAATTCAAATGTTTCTAATTCAGGTCGTCCTTCACTTTCAAAGTGTACTTCATCTTGATTTCGAAGTTCTTGCAACTTGTTGACAAGTTCTTTTCGTGAAATTGGATGACGAGAGCAAATAAACTCAACTTGATCATCATGGATTTCCGAACTCAATACAATTCTTGTTGTAATGCCTAATTCTTTTAGTGTATTTCGTATAATAATAGCATTTAATTCATCTCTGCCTTCATGACGTAAGTCTGCTGATTCAATCGGTTTACCAAGAAATTTATCGATATTTCCAACAATAGAATCATAAACAGCGGCATATTCACGATGCTGGTCAGCAAAACCATTTGTACCGATTATACTGTCATTTGAGCGTTGTAGTCGAGCGACAGTATTTGTAAGTTCATCACGATGAGATCTACGCAGTGAAAAATGACGTCGAGATTGATGAAATGCATTCATCGCTGCTACGATTTCACGCTCTTCAGTTCCGACAAGCCATTGCTTCCATGCTTCGGGCTCGAACAATTCAGTACTGAAACTAAGTTTGCCATAACGTTGATACGTTTTTCGTTGTTTGATGACACCTATGTAATAATAACCTTCAGCAACATAGTCTGGAAATTTGTCGAGTACTAGCTTGAAAATCTCCTCGGCTTGGTCAGTATTGTTGTTATTGAGTTCAATCAAACCAAGAGTTAACAATGGTTGTGGAAATTTGATCCAATTCATTGCAACTTTAACACTATCCAGTGGATGCGATTTAAGAAAATGTTCAACCGATGCAATAATGGCATTTTTATCGTTGTCACTGCATGTTCGTGCACATTGTTGAATAAGTGGAGTTTTTTCATCGAGCCAAAGTGCCCATTCATCGAGTAGAGCAAAATAGACAACTTCCATGGGCATTGGTAAAACATTTGTGTTTCCCGTACTTTTTGTCGATTGTACTGATTCCAAAACTCGACTGGAATGTTCCCAGAATTTATTCAAACAACTTTCTTCAACAGCTGTGTGATAATCGTACCGTCGCTTCAATGATTGTAATCGATGTACTTCAGCATTATCACGGAATTCTTTCAATTGAAAAATAGTTGGCGCTTCCGATGCATCAATACGTTTGTCATCTTCAATTAAGGCAATGATTTGCCCCGAACCAGGATGACCACAACGGGCAGCACGACCGAAAGCTTGTTCTTCTATTCGACAGTTTTCTGGTAAGAATGCGACAATCACATGCAGTCCACCTGCTTGTTGCAAGCCTTCATTAAGTTCGATGTCTGTACCACGACCTGCCAGATTTGTCGCAACAATAATACGACTTTTCAGCAGTGAATTAGTGCCAGACAAGTCGAATTGATCGTGATCTCGTCGATAGGCAATTAGATTTTCGAAAGCGTCTGTCATAATCTTGTTGACCAATACTCGTTTCCACGAAGCACCTTTCATCAAATGTTTACGAACAAGTTGAGCAAACTTACTTCGACCAGAAATAGCATGTTTTTCCAAGCGATGTAACCGCAGTAAACCATGATGAACCATATCTACTTGGCTAATTGAATTACAAACAATCAGAACTGATCGTTGTGCAATAACTTGATCCTTTACTTCTTCATATATATTTTGTAACCACAATCCTTCACTCGCAGCGACTAGTGGTACATGTTCATAGAAGCTTTTTGGTTTCCATGTTGGTATTCGTACTAAATCAGCGTTATATAGAGCCACTAATGTTTTACTTTCTTCGATGCTACCAAGAGTTCCACTCAATCCATTGATTTGTTCGTAGCCTTTGAAGTAACCAACATTCGACACAAAAATAGCTTTCAAACTAATCGGCGACAAACGACATCCGTGCTTCAATTGTACTGCTTGATGCATACCTTCACTCCATTGTGATGTCGTTAGATCAACTCCAGTATTCCTGTCAATGATTGTTATACGTGGATTCAAGTCAGATGTGGCGTTTTTATGATCGACGTCAACAACATATTCCTTATTGTGTTGCATGAACATGGCACGTTTTGTATTTTCGATAAATTCATTGAGGTGACGGAGTACGAAGAAGTGTAAATATCGTGGAACTTGAATCAATCTTTCACGATGAAGAATGACGACTATGTAATCTTTGACTTGAGTTGCAAATGATTTGTTCGTTACAACAGCCTCTAATATTTCCAATAAATTATCAGGCAATTCTTTTCTAGATTGAATTTGTAACAAACCATCTCGATCAATAATATTTCTCTCGATTAATCTTTGCCAAACTCGATTGACATCAATTTTCATATCGGGACGTAATTTTTCAAGACTCGGCTTATCAATGTATCCAAACATGTCCGCAAGCACCTTTCTACGGATAATATTCGTATCAAATTGAGTATACTGTTGTTCACCATGCAATGGAACATTGACTTCACGATGTAGAAATACAAATAACGACATCAGTGTTTCCATGCCAGCGACATTATGTGATAAATAAAGCATGTTATTCCCATTATCTAACAACATGTTATCAACTTCGTCGACAATGACACATTGCTTCTTGCGATCACCCAAAATATTCTGTTTGTAAAAGCTATGCAATAAACAATCACGTTGAAAATGTTGCATATCACCATAAACAATTTGACTTTTATAGGCTAATTTACGTGCATCAAGTTGTTCGTCACAATTGTGTGAGGCGGTAATACGAAGAATTTTAAACAAGGGTTGCATTTTTTCCACATCGCGAGCGGCGAGTACTGGCGAACTTGTAATGACGTCGACAACTTTATTTTGTCTTACTCGAAGAATAGCCAGAGTTGCGATGAGAAGCGTTTTGCCTTCACCTGTATTGACTTGTAGAAGCGTGTTTTTTGGACTCTCTGCAGCAATCAAAATTGCCATTTTTTGTGTATCTCGCAGGTGAATTTCTGGACCTTGTGGTCTAGAAAAGACTTTTGCGATAGCAGCATCGATTTCATTAATAATTGCCGCGTTTTCACAGTCTTTCGAAGTTAATTGACCAGCAAGTTTAACAATTTCATATTGCCTCTCATTTCTGCGTTTGTCATCGTCGTGTTGACCAACAATTAGATGTTTAAGCTTGTCAACAGTGCGTTCACCCGTAGGAAAGATTGGTTCGTATGTTTCATTATGATGCTTTTTGACTTGTGCAAGTAAATCATTTTGATTTCGTTCATTCATAAGTAATGGATATCCATTAAGTTGTACACCCGCATCATTTTGTTGTTCTAATGGCAAATAATGAGAATAGTTTTCAGATATGACGCGAAACAATTCTTTAAGTCGTGCAAGATAAACTTCATTGGCATTTACTTCACCATACGCAATAAGATAAGCGATTCGTGCAATGACTTTTTCCGGTATGAGAACTCTAGTAGTTGAAATTTCCTGCAAAAAAAACAGTACGACCACAATAGAGTTAAAATTTATTATAGTTGATATAACCAGACCTGAAGACATTGGCGTAACATAGGCTCTTCGGGTCGACTTCGGCTATCCAAGAATGCCAAGTAATAGCCAACTGCACCATAGTCTCTCAGGAGATCACCAATAGCACTCCATTTCTGTCGTTGACTTGTATCAATCCATTCTGTTAACGTCATTTTTTCTAATCTTTGAAATCGGTCGACTGCATATCGAAGCATGATCAACAACTTTAACAAAACTTTTTCATCAAATTTGGCTTCGTTTAATTTTGTTGCCAATAATGCTTTTAGATGTGGACTATCAACAATATGAATAGCATTTAGAACTTTAATTCCTTCGCTTCTCAAGAGTCGATGTTTCAATACATTTTCAATGCGCACGTATAAAAATGCATCGAGAATATGATGTTGTGGCATCAGAACAGCGAGTTTAGTTAAGAACTCATCATCTACATGACAGATGACTGATGCATGTGAGTAGGCATTTAAAATTCCTTGAAGTTCAATAACAGAAAGATGGCAACCATCGAGCTGAAAACGTTGATGAAGTAATGATAAGAAAATCGATGCTTGAGGTTTATTGACAATGTAAAATAAATGTAGCCACGAAGTAACAATAGAAATGTACTCTTTGGGAAAGAAATTTGCAATTGATACAACTTCAGATGGATCCGATAACTCTTGAAGGGACATTTCATGAAGAACATCGGTAAACTCTTTTCTTGCAGCAACCATTATACGATATCTAACATCCGGTCGAAGCGAATACATTCTTCCATTTTCACTCAATAATATTAATTTTTGCGAACCATGAGGATTGAAATTTTCTTGCAGTTCGACAGTTGCATAACGTGTAGATTTGTATATTCGACTATTGATATTGTGTTCATAAGCTAATAAAAATCGGTAGGCAGCAGCATCAATACCATGTTCATTCATAAAACTTTCACATTGACCACTTTGAACATCTAAAGGATTACGTGCGCGTTCAATCATAAAATCGGTAAAATCCGGATCGTTGACATCGAGCAAAGCGTTCAAAATTGTTTGTGCTATTTCTTGATGTAGAATTTCCGCTTTTGAAAGCATATTACACACGAATAAAAGTCGATTGAAATTGAGAATATCTCGAGTTTGAAAATAGAATTTCACTATGAAACATGCCATACCATGTTTGTTCGTAAGAACACTTTTAGCATAATCTTTAACACTCGTAAATTTACTTTTGAACATGTCAAAATATTCGCTGGGTTTATTGCTTGTGGATGTCTCTGCTGCTGCTGCTGTGTTTTCTTCATTAGCTACTTCGTCTGCCATCTTCTTCGTCACCAGCACTCCGAATCGTTTTATTAACACTTTTGTGTCATCTGCATTAATTATTCCGTTAAATCTATCGAATACATTTTCAAGCATCTCTCCATCGTGTTCAAAGGTCTTTTGAAGTTTATCAAGAGGCGAAGTTTTTTCTGTTTTCTTCTTCTGACTTTGACTCGTCGAAGATGTTGTAGGAGCAGCAGCAGTCGTGTCAACTTTGTTTAAATGAGATTTCGCTGCATCTCCATCATTCCAGTCGAAAGCCATACCAGGATCAAATACTGCTAACTCGGTGTCATAATTTTTCTTTAAATGCGCAAAAGTAATAAACATAACATCTAATAATGCTTTTGGAACGCCCAAAGTTTTGAATTTCGAGAAAAATGATGAAACAACTGTTGTCTTATCTGGACAAATATACTGTTCCTTAGATTCAACACCAACTAGTGTTGTTGATAAATCGTCCAACTTTTGATCATATTTGTAGCTGGAATTCACATAGTTTTCAAATACTTCAGACTTTTTCGTTCGTAATGCAGTTAGAACTTTCTTTTGCTGTATTTTATCATCAATAGTATTATGCAATGTTTGTATTTGAACAAGATCATATTTTGAATGTTGATATGTTTCTTTTGCAACTGCTTGTTTGAAATCATTAATGATTTGATCTATCTTTTCGTTATCTTCTCTGAGTTGATCTTCTGTTGCTTCACACTCGAATAATTCAAAAGCTAAATCTACGACATTTTCATTCTTTTCTTTGATATACATATTCAAGCGCTTGGAAAATATTGTCCAATCTGTACTTTTCTTTCCGATTCTACCAAGTCCCGATATATTACTGTTTTCGTCTACACAATCAACTAAAACGGATACTTCTTCAGCAACGGACTGTTGCTCTTGTTCTTCATCTTCAGCATGTTCTTCTGCATCTGCTTTTTCTTGAGCGCGACAAGCTTCAGCTAGTACGGCATCGTCTTGCTGAAACAGTTCGGCAAATTCATTAATAACATCGCTAACAATGATGGACGCTTTGCACATTGCTTTCGAATGCATTTGCCGATTTACATCACTTCTTTGTTCTATTTCCGTTTGCATCACTGCGCCTTCCGGAATTTCTTTTAATGCGAAATGGACATAATAGGATGATCGCTTGTTAACCCATTTTTCATGACCATCTGTACGGGAATCATCTTGTGTCATTCGATACTGAATTTCTATGGACATGTTTCCATCAGTGCCAATATATTTTTTGCCAGCAGAAATTGTTGATCGATCAACGAGAGCCATATCATTACCATTCTTACCAAAACATCCGGGCTTACCAAGAACACCATGTTCACCGCTACGACCTACATTTTGTTCGATGTTTCCAATACATAAATCTTTTCCTGAATATAATGTTCGAACAGTACATTCACCACGATTGCCACCTTCACCACCTACTCCGTTTTTACCGCCCATACCGCCAGCAGTTCCTTCAGTACCTTTGATAAGAAAGTACAAGTCGTACGTGCTAGTAGACCAGTATGAATAATCCTCGGCGTACGACCAATGCATTTGGCGCCCATCGCTGCCTTTGAATTTAGCTAAAACGTATTTGTTGTAAGTATCTACTTTACGATCAAGTTCTTGAGTGTCTGAAGGTGTGAAGTTGAAGAAATGATCGCTACTTCCCCAATACAATGTTCTGTAAGTTAAAATAAGAGAATCTAGATCAGCTTGAGTTACGCCGTATCCGTTATTACCATTTGCACCATTGCCACCATCTTCGCCGTGACTACCATTCCCTCCATTCAGTTTCAATGTAAGTAGCTGCCCTTCAAACAATTCTTCCGCAAGAAAAATCATGTTCCCACTGGATTCTCCAGCTTCACCATCTTTTCCATCTGCACCGTTAAGGTCACCGCAAGTTTCTCCATCACGAGCTCGTTTCTTGCCAGCAGTCTGATCGTGACCGCGCCCAGAAACATCGATGATGCAAGTATTCCAAATATGCACTTTATCAGCAATAATGACTATGTTCTTGCCATGCCACAACTGATTTTCTAAATTTTCATCAATATTGAAAACGTTTTTTATATAAAATCGAACTTCAGAAATTTGTTCAGTATCTTGAAGTTTTCTTTCGATCTGACCTTTGATATCACTAAGAAACACAATTCGGCCGCTTATGATGAGTTCGCTCATGTTCGAAGAATCATTGGGAATTGTAAAGCTTGGTTGTTCGAATACAAAGATATTCAATATGTTGTATAACTCGGTTTTATGAACGAATTCATCAATATAGATACGCTGTAAAATCTTGTCCAGTTCGTTCGCATAACGATCATCACCACTAAGCTGCTGCCAGTCGATATTTTTTATCATTTGCGGCGTAATTTCTTTATTTTTGAATGTTTTCCACGCATCAAAACTAGTCTTTTTCATTTGGCCAGATTTGAACCATTCCACAAGTAATTGACGCATTTCTATTTCTGCTTCTTCATCAATATACAATGTAAAGCACATATCGAAATACTTTTTGGTGCTGGCTATAATAGACTGTCCGGCTTTCTCAACGTCGTAACATGAAGCTGAGAAGCTTTCACACCAATTATTTAATTCTATATGTTCCTGTTCTCTGAGGCGATGTGTCCAAAAAGATGATTTTATAGTGAGAGTATCACGATGTTTACGAAAGTCTTCAATACCTTTCCTATCACCTAAAAATGAAATCGTTCATAGTGAGCAGAGAAATCGAAAAAGACTGACTAACCATTTCGCACCGTATTCAAAACTACTGTTTTGAAGCGGAACTTCAGCACTCCAGTTAAATACTCTGTGTATTTGTTTTGCACAAATTGGTTCACTGCTTTAGGAACCGTACTAATATTTAGAAAGAGTTGTTTCATTGTATCAGACAACGACTGTCCATCACGAACTGCTTGGCAAATGTAAAGTTCTAATTGCTGTTTGTTAAATGTTTGCTGCTGTAATGCACGCCTATCAATAGATTGAACATCTTTTTGGTTTGAGATCATATCTACTGTTAGCTTTTTCTTAGTATAATATTCCACGTTCGTATGTTGAACTGTTGATAAAACATTGATTTCATGTTTTGCATAATCTAAACTTAATTTATTTGAAGTGAACCGAATTATTTGAAGTCCGAATGCTTCGATGATTCCTTCATTTGGTTCTGTAACATAAAGTGTTGATTCAGAAACTTCGACTTTAAAGTACACGTTAGTCTTAGAAGAATTCAAAACTTTCAATATGGCGTTACATGGAAGGCCTAGTTGTCCTAAAAAAATCTGTGAAAGTCGCAAGACAGAAATCAGTGATGAAATACAAACCATTGAACATTAATATGTCCGGTGGATCGAATATAAGAACTTCCGAAGACTCGGTCATGATACGCTCCTCTCCAACTATTATGAAATTCGTTTGATATACTTTTTCGAAAAAAAATATCTAAACAAAACGAAAGGTTACTTTCAAGAAATAGTGAACTCATTGCAGGAATAAAAGATAGAGTAGGATACGGTCTGATTTCTCATTTGAGTGGACAGATTTTCAAACACTTGTCTTTACAGAAGAGACTCATGCAAAATTTCAATGTTATATATGATGGACAAGTGAATGAATAAAAAAAGATAAGTTATGTCCTTGAGCTTTTTATAGACCAGAGATAACCACATACTTTTGTTTTATGTTTATCGTAGAATGATGAAGGACACATTCAAATCCGAATCGGATTCATTGTAATAATTCAAAACATAGCATAAGAATTTCTGCGTGTTTCCTAATCGAGTGCTTTAAGAACGCAACGTACAGTGACTCTTAAGACAAAGAACAATAAACAAGATATAGATCTGTACGCTGAAGGAGAAAAACACCACGATGAATACGTGACACTGATAAAAAGTGAAAAAATACGTTAACATCACATAGATATGGAGAGAAAAATCCCATGTGAATCATAAACAAAGAGAATAGCAAAAATAATCATGCACTCATTTGAGTTAAGGAGAAAGAGAAAGAGAGTCAATATAAGTATCACAATACGACCAAAGAAAATAACAAGAACATAAAAAGTCGGTACGCAGACACAAACGCTGATTTATTAATAGGCATCCATATCAAGAAAAACAAAAAAATGGTGAAAAGTAGGTATACATTAAAAGAATATACATCGTTCTGTCATTAGAAAATATGAAACCACTCTTTTTTTTTCTCATATTTTGTATGTTGACCTCGATACTGACTGCTGATGAATAAATATGCGTATGTGTGCATCTCACATCCTGGTTTTACGATTGTTTTCAGATACTTTATAACTTATGGAAAAAAAACTGGAGCCGTCTGAGCGTTATCTTAACGATTGGGATACGAAACTTACTGACGATTGGATTGAATATGCAAAAACAGTACAGACATCCCATTGTCGAAATATCAACGCAAACGAACGAGGCGCAAAATATTCTGAAAATATGATTCACAAAATTGATGAACTTGTACTCATGCATGCTTTCGGAGCCGTGAGTTTATCGTAGTTATTTGTCAGATGAAAACTTTGTTGAGTTTTAGTCAGCCAAAAAAGGTCCACCGCATTCGGATATTAGAATAAATTTCAATTCGCCTCAACGTAGAGTTGCCGAAAAAATTAGAAAGATGATATTGAAATATGGGAAAAACCAGGATTCTGCTGATGGAAAAAGCTACGTGACTATTCAGGTAATTTCAATAACGATGATGCTAGTGGATTGTCCCGACGAATCAAAACAAAAGAAAAGCGATGGCAATGAAACAAGTGAAAACAATACACCTAGTGTTGCTCAGATTGCAGGTGTAATGCCACGGTGCTATTGAGAAATAATTAATTTTATGCTTTAAATATATTTTAGTTTTTCGGGTTGTTACCCAAAACAACACTTTTTGTTTTATCGATCATACTGGTCGATATTACGAAAGTTGGAATGATTACTTAGGAAACAACAAACTTCCTCGATGTAAAATGTGTTATCCTGAAAATGGTGTCTACAAGATGGTAGAACAGAGTTCCAACAATGTCGATGAAAACAATAACGAGGAAACATTTACTCTTGATCTTCAATTGTCAGAATCGATTTCTTGTACTACCGGCAAACGTTTCACGGCTGGAGCACTTACAGTAGTATCTTATCTTGGCTTGGCTGCTGGTGTGGTATCTATTGTTGCTGCTCCTTTTACAGGTGGTGCTAGTATGGGTGCGTATGCAACATATGCAACCGTGACAGCTGGGTGGGTCAGTTTTGGTTGCATGATGGTTGGTGGCGCTGCGTAAGTATTATTTCAATATATGCTTGTATTTACGATAACATTTTCCAGTAATCTTGGTTCATTGTGGGACAAATTTTGGCATGATGAATCATGTCGTACTGAAATTGCATCACTTGCCATGTCACTATTACATTATGGCGTTGCCAGGTATAATACTAGAATGATAGATAAACTTAAATATAAAGTACCAGTAACACGAACAGAACTTATACTTATGACTGCGCTTAATTGTACTCGATTTGCTGTTGATTCTGTCATGTTTGGAATAACATTTGCACGTCTAATAAGGAAAGCGTGTACCGAAGGAATTAGCAGTATTACGCCTACCGAACTGGTACAATTCTCTATGTCTGCCTACTTCTTTGGAAAAACTGTTTTTGAACCCAAAACTGGGTATGGTATTATTAAGGAAGCTCAGCAAAGATATGTTATGTTAGAAAAGAGATCAACGATTGAGGTGAGAAACTTCAATTCAGTAAATGGCATTCTATCAAATAAGTTCATTAGGACGCGGGAGCACAAAAGAAATTTGACGAATTTGTGGATCCTGAAAAAAAACGATTCGGTGATGATAGTGCGATGCAAACAGTCAAAGATGATTGGAAAGGCATTACTTGTTCGCAAGAAGTGTGCGATGAACTAAATGGCAACGGAGATCTTATTCGCAATATCAATGGCATTGAAGATTTGAATCAATTTTTTTTGTAAGATGAACTGCTATTTCTGAACATCCAAAAATTGATCATTTAGAGAGGTGAGTGACACTAATTCAACTCTATCTATGACAAATGATGGAAAAATTATGGTAAACGAACAGTTCAAAACTGATGGAAAGAAGCTAAATGACTTCGGTGAAACAAAAGGGGGTGTCAACGAGCGACGAAGGACTTTACTAGAAGGTACAGCACTTATACGACAAGCAAAAGCAGATCAAGCGTCGGCAAGTGGTAGCCAGCACAAAAGTCAAATGGATTCTGCTAACGGAAATTTCAAAAAAGGCGAGGATATGCTGAAAACATTATTGGGTAGGTATAATTAAATATTGAATTTGGCTTATAACTTATTCAAAAACTGTGAGGGATTCTACTTGTCTAATTCTTACTTGAAGAAACATGCGGATATTTTCAAAACGCTTATTTTCAAATTTAGAGCCCCCCGAACCAACTTGTAATGCTTTTGTTGGTTTTTTTAAACGAGTGCTAGCACCTATTACCGGTAAGACGGAATCGAAACCTAGTGTGATGGAATCGGTGCAATCCATGATGAAATGTGACCCAACTACGGTGGGATCCGTAACAAATATCACAGCAACACCTCCAACGGGAACAGGTTCCGTAACGAGCGCAGCAACAACACGCCCAGGCCTGACGAGTTCCATAAAAAATAAAGCAAAAGAAATCTCAGATATGGTGGACTCTGCGTTAGTTCCTGTATCAAAAATCGCAGCTGCTGCGACGACAGTGACAATGACGACAGAGAAAGCCACAAATGCATTCAAATCGGTAGTAGATGCAAAGGATAAAATTTATAATATGATGAAACCACAGGGCCAACGCTGTGCCAACTCTGGAACGTCCAATGAAAGTAGGTACTGCCATAAATTTAAATCTCAAAGGCGTATGATATTTATAAATTGCCGTTGGAAACGCTTCTAAAATATTTCTTGAGTGACCATTTATAGTTGACTTTTGGAATAGTTGCTGTTATTTGAAGAACAGATCATGTAGGAGTATTTTCTCCTATGCCGAACATCTTCAAAATATGATTCATCATAAACTCAATGTCAACAAAGTTTGATGATGAATCCTCTAGTTTCGATAACACAAGCAACAAAACGTATGATCATCGAGATCGAAAAGAGATCTAATCACTCCTTCAGAGAGAGCTTCTCAGTTCTAAGTCGTTGCTTTCACGATTGTTGTGGTGCGCATTGCAGGCTACCAACGCGCAGATCACAAGTAGGAGTATCAACACAATACTAATAATGAGAATCTATGCGAGCATTAAGTACCATCAGTGAGCTATCCAAAATTTTCTGTCTATTGATCAAGAGGGTACACAATTACATTTATCAAAAATCTTTGTTTTAAAACTGAAATCTTAGGAAGCTAATAAGTACAATGGCTCAGCAATTTCAACGATCTCTAGATTGTTAACAGAGAGTTTGTCTTTTCATAGGTCATCAAACGAGTCGAGAAATGCAAGGAAATCAATCAGGCGAACAAAGACAGCATTCCACAAGCAATTCCGCTTCTTCCTCTCAGGTTCAGAACAATCGGCAAGGTGACGACGATCAAGGTCGAAGGCAAACATCTTCTCCCCATCAAACAAATCGATCTCGACCTGGATCACGAGAGCCAAGAACTAGCAGATCTGCAGGTAAAAGAAACTATCTTGACTCTCTTTGTCATTTGTTCCATCGCTGTAGGTATAACTTAGCCAAAAATTTAATATAACCCATTGCAATTCCGAATAATTTGCAATAATCCCTCATCAGTTTTTCTCACGACATCCTCGAACTTGGAAGTATTCATATAAGAGTTGTGCTTTCATCAATTGAATTGATTTTGACAAAACTGCTATCAATATGCATACTTAATTATATTCGTGTTCTTTTCAGGCAATCAAGATTCTTCTCGCAGTTTCAATGGTAATGTCGACTCTGTTAAAGAGGCAAATATGGAAATAGCAACAGCAATAATAAAATGTTTGGAGAATCAAACGGGTAGCTCAGAAGTGCCAGCTAATGCTCGAAACGATATTATTAAAAGACTTCAACAATTAACTATGTTTAACCAGTTTTATTGCAAATGCACATCCGAAAGCGGAGTGGTGCAAGTTGATTTTGAGTTCGAAGGGATATCCGGAGGTCGCAATGACTGGCAGCTCACAATCACAATCGATGTCGACATGCCTCTGGATGACGGTCCACGTATGAACTATAAAGTTCGTATAAACACAAGGAAAGTTCAAGTGGGACATGCGTATCTACCTGAAGGACATTTGGATATTGGCAGACCGGGAACAAATGATGACGACCAACTTCAAGATATCGAAAAGGAAGCGGGAAACAAGGGATTCGACCGAGAACAAGGAGGTGGATCAATGAGATGGAAATTTTCAGAGAAGAAACTCAGACGTTCTTAATTGACTTATTTCCTTATTTGACTGACTTTTTTATTCGAGTTTATATTAAAAGCCATGTTCGATGACAAATTGAGACCTTTTTGTGATTAAACTACGATCGATAAATTCTTCTACACTGTGATTATACTTGTTGACGACGGGAGTATTTTGTATTCTATCATTTACATTCTCAAAACACGAAAATAAACAATCAACTATTAAAGTGTGTGGCTTATTTTATAAAGTAAATTGGCTACACAGAAAATAGAAATTTATGCATAACATAGTTAGACAAGAAGTTAGAAGTGAGCCTATTATTTGAATATATCTAAAACTATTTCTGATGCTTGAAAAAGAAAGAGATTGAAATTACGACGTAGATTTATTCTATATCCTTCGCATATAAAATAGGTTATATCGAAGATAAAGTATGGGTGTAAGGATACCACTTGCATTTTATCATTTCTATACAGGTAAAAGGCAGAGTATATAGGAGATCTCGTGTAAAAAAAGTAAAGTCTACTTCTTTTAAATAACATAAAAGATGCATCAAAATGAGGCTTATAATGAAAATAATATTAAAAACAAGAGCCGTTTTCAACGATTATCGAGGCGTTCCATTATCATCATTTGTGCGACCGTTGCGATAGCATTGTTTATAATCACTTTCGCCCTAATATTGAGATTTATTATTCTCAAACCAGCAAAATCCGCAACAACGACAAGCACAACAACAACAACACCATCAACGTCGAGGACGTCAACCACAATCACAAATTCTCCATCGATGACGACCACAACAACAACCACCACGTCATTCATGCCGACAACTACGATAAAGCCACCAAGTCGTTTTTCTTTCATCGAATAGATAGAAAAAAACTGAAATACGATTTATTTCTCGTTTTAGAATGGTCTACTAGTGGTAACATGAGAAATACACGTGCTATGCATACTGCGACTTTACTGACAAATGGCAAAATTTTAGTGACTGGTGGAAGAACGGACGATACCGAAGATGCTCTCAATACTACTGAACTATACGATCCATCGAAAGGTATATGGACCACGAGTAACGACATGTATGAAAGACGAGAATTGCATACCGCTTCGATGCTGAAAGATGGAAAAGTGTTAGTCGCCGGTGGTTTGGATATGTTTGAGGGTCATAATTTAAATAGTGCTGAATTATATGATCCATTGACAGAACAGTGGACAGTGACTAGTAATATGAGTGATAAACGAAGTGAACACACAGCAATTGTTTTAACAAATGGAAAGATTTTAGTCGTTGGTGGAACTGGAGACCATGATATAGGTGTTCTAAAAAGTGTAGAATTATATGATCCATCGACAGGACTTTGGTCAGCCGCAAGCAGTATGAATGAAGCACGAATGCGGCACACAACATCCTTGCTATCAAATGGTAAAGTATTGGTTACTGGCGGACAAGGTGTTAGCGGTAGTCTGAATAGTGTAGAGTTATATGATCCGACGACTGACACTTGGGCAACTAGTACCGAGAGGATGCAAAATAAACGCTATCGCCATACAGCAACATTACTAAAAAATGGAAAAGTTCTAATTAATGGTGGAGAAGGTAATGGTGAGGACGATCCTTTGGATACTGTTGAGTTATATGATCCAGTAACAGAAACTTGGAAAACAGCTGACAGTATGAATATTGCACGATCATTCCATACATCATCTATTTTACAAAATGGGAAATTGTTAGTTACTGGTGGAACGTTTGCAGGACAACCTATAGACATCGCTGAATTATATGACCCAGTGAGTGAAACCTGGACAGTTAGTGGTAAGATGATGGATTCTCGAGCTGCTCACACAGCTGTATTATTGCCAGATGGCAAAGTCCTAGTTGCAGGCGGATTGGTGTACTATTCAGCAATCGCATCCACTGAACTGTACACCCCATCAAAAGATGTTTGGACAGCTACACGTCAGATGAATTCAGCACGAAGACTACATACAGCATCCTTGTTGTTTGATGGCAAAGTGTTAGTCTGCGGTGGAAAGAACGATAGCGATGATAATGGTGAGAAGGACTTTAGAGTTGCAGAGCTGTACGATCCATCTACAGAAATGTGGATGATTACTAATAGTACGAATCAGGCACGAGCAGTACACACGGCAACTGTTTTAAAAGATGGTAAAGTGCTAATAGCCGGTGGATTCTACGCGAATAAAGTTCTGAATAGTGCTGAGTTATATGATCCGTCAACTAAAACCTGGTCGAGCACTGGCAATATGAGTATCCCACGTGTAGGACACGAAGCGACCTTACTAATGAATGGAAAAGTATTAGTGATGGGAGGATTTTCAGAGGGCGATATTATTCTAAATAGTAGTGAATTATATGATCCATTAACAGAAACTTGGACAGTGGCTGCTAGTATGATACAGGCACGTACTGATCATACCGCAACGATGCTAACTAATGGACAAGTGTTGGTTACTGGTGGAGAAGATTCTGACAATAGATTAAATAATTCGGAAATATATGATACATCAATGAATACTTGGTCAATGACGAACAGTATGAATGGGCCACGAACGATGCACATTGCGACTATGTTAGCTAATGGTAAGGTGTTAGTGACAGGTGGAGTGGGAGCCACGGGTGATCTGAGTACTTGTGAATTATATGATCCATCCACAGACACTTGGTCTATTACTGGTAGTACGGCTGACGTGCGGTTATTTCATGCAACTGCTTTATTGACAAATGGAAAAGTGCTGGTAACTGGTGGTGAAAAGCCGTGAGTACAGAAATATACTAAATTGAAAGCTTATTCCATTTCATATTTTAGTGGCGAAGGTTTTCAAAATACATGTGAATTGTATGACCCAGAAACAGAGAGTTGGACAACAATAGATAGTATGAATTACGAAAGACAGTATCATACAGCCTCTACACTAACAAATGGACAAGTATTAGTAGCTGGTGGAGAAACTTATACTCTTAAAGGAGAATTATTTAATTCATAAAAAAACACTATTGAGAGGGAGGGGTGAGCAAGCTGGATTCACGAACTCTTTTCTGAAAGAATATGCACATACTTTGAACAGTGAGAAAATACATTCTACCACAGGAATTACCCTTTTGTACGCTTGATAATTGTAAGGTGATACTTTTTAGAGATTCACTTCTTATTCATTCTATTTGTATTACCAACGATCAAAATGTAAATTTTATACGTCACATTTGAATAATTGTTTTCGATATAGACCTCGGCAAGGGTGAGAAAGGATCAAGCAGGTGCATAAGAAAAGCTGGCTTCAGATTTTAACATTTATTCAAGTTTATATATTGATTTTCATAAAATTTGTTGAGCTTTCATGACTTTAATGTCAATCAAATATTCATCTTAGACTCTAACTCTTAGTTTCTACATATGATGTATTTCAATTAAATGAGATATAAATACGAAGAAAATCATGAACCAATCTCATTTATTTTCTACAATATAAAAAAGCTTATTAACTGACGATTTTCAACTATTCAAATGTATGTTGATATCAGCAGTGATTTCAAGATGATTTTTGTTTTAGTTTTAATGATTTCCATCAATACAATATTAGGTAATTATTTATAGTTTGAAAAATAAATTACTCTTCCTTTTTACTGTAACGTCATGTAAGGTATTTTGGATACGGATTCGACCTTTTCTTGAGCGGATTCGCACATGAGTGTATTCCAACTCTGATCAAATTTATTCCAGGTGGAACTCGTTGAGTTCTACCTATTCCAATCACAAAAAAAAATTCACCCACGCCATCAACTTGATGTATATGAATACGTTTTTGGCTCGGCCACGTATACGCATGAGTGGTTGGAATAAAAAGAGTGGAGGATAGAGAACAGAATTGGACCAAAACTGAACGGATTCTATGAACTTCGACAGCTGGCCCAAACCCAAACGGTTTGGGTTTGGTGCATGTCTAGCGAAGAAGATAAAGATAGCTATTGCTATTTGAAGGTGAGGATGTGGTGATTGCGGTCTTTCTGTTGAAAACATCCTTGACCTCATACCTTGGTTGATTTAGATGATCTTATCATATCATCGATTCTTAACACCTGATTTTTTTGGGAACAGATTCACGTCGGAACGTCCTGTCATACGATATATATGAATGATTTGGTTAGCATAATGTGTCGTTTCTTTCACGGTCATAGTTTGGCCCTGTATTCTTTTTGTAATATTTATCTTCGAGAAATGCGGTTATTATCATTCTTCTCTGTATTTATTTACATGAAACATGATCCCAGGTCGATCATTTCGGTGAGAGATTTCACTGGATCATGCAGGATCGTTCAGTATCCAATTAGAAATTGCTCGGAATCCCTTTGTAAATACCCGTCAGAAACTGGCCAAACCCAGCCGTACCCCAGTGGAACATCATCTCAGGATCCCATAATCAGGAATCAAATAAAATATTAATAGTTCTCTCTACTACATTTTGTGCAAATCACGAAACTTGATTTAATTATTTGGCTACATTACCCAAAACAGTACATTCGATGTCTTTTTCTTTTGACTGAGCACTAGGACAATTCGTCGACATTTAATTACTATACATGACATTGTGTCTTTTTAATGGGATTGACTGGATTTGTACTTCAATTAATGAATAAAGTATTGTTTCATGAATGAATGTGTTATCTGTTGGTGGCAAAAACCAATTCTGTAAAAGTATTCTAAAATGATCAAGGAAGAACCAATCAATCTGGCTGGCACAATGCATTCGCGAAACGTGTTTCGATTGCTCATCCGACGATCACGAAGTTGGTCGACAAAATCCGTATGGAACAATCGAAATTCGAAATCGATATTGCTCAAATTTGACAAGGCCACGAACCAAAGCCGAAAAAAGCCGTTTATCGGAAACTCGACGAGAGAATAACGCGATTACAACAACGTTGATCTTGGTAAATATTTGAAAAGTTTAGCTGCAAATGTGTGATTGTGAATATTTTTTGTATTTGCTCTCTCTTGAATTTTCTTTCAATAAAACTAAAATCACTATCAGTTACAAAACGACTTTGAAAATATGCTCATTTGTCTTACATACATGATTGCCATTCTAATTAGTTATATGTCCGTCGACGAATTGTCCGTCCACCTTTGACTGAATGCAAGAAAAACAATCCAGAGAAAATCTCAAAGATATTTAAAAAACATTAAATCCACTAGCCAACTTTCAACTGCATTTCACATACTCTAATACGCTTGAATCGATCGAATAAGAAGCGAGATTTCAGTGGCATCCAGCAATATTCATGGAAAATCCATCCTAAGCCTATTGAAATGCAAGCGAAATCTGACAGGAGGTCATTCGAATCTCTATTGAAACCATCTGTGTTGCAGTATGCAGTACAATCAGTCGAAAATCTGCGTGATGTCATAATGAAATCTGGTCAAACCTGTTACATCTGCTCAATATTTGAACTCGCTTTCAAACTATATCACAAAATTCTGATACAAATTACAATATTTCCCCGAAATATCATGTGAATCTTCTGTCAACGATGAAGTGTTTAAAGAGTCTCTTGTGATTTTAAGTGGTTTTGCACAAATTTAAACAAGTGTGAATGGTTTCGCTTAATCATTTCAGCTTCTATTGACATTTAAGACGTTTGAGTAGGTTCTACCGATGGAAAATGATTATCACTGAACTTTATTAGCGTTTACTCGTGAGAGGCGGTATGGATTTTTATCAGTATTTGATGTGGCATGTTGATTTTGGATTAATCCGAGAAAGAGTATTGGATACAAGATCAACGCGAACAAGCTGAAAAAGACTAAACATGGGAAACACTAGGGAAGCATACAGCCCATTGAAAATCTTAAGAAAAGATTTTGTACGGCGATTAAATGTCATACGAAGCAAAGAGGGTATAAGTAGAGGCGCCAGAATTTTCACACAGGATGGGCTGAGCATATGAAAAAATTTCCGGGATGGGTTTACTATAGAAATCGTACTTTTTTATGGTATAAATGTTAATTTTCTGTGGAAATTTTCAAACCCAGGGTGGGTTCAAACAATTTCAGGGTGAGCTGCGCCCACCCTAGGAGCCGCCATTAGAGGGCATAATGTTATAATCAAGGAATGCTATAAAAGTAAGATAGACACAGTATTGCGGCAGTATGTATAAAGATCCTAGTGATAGCGACGGAATGGTAAAATTGCTAGAAGACTTTGCACCTCCTGTACTCAGAGGCCCAAACAGTAGTACATGTACTAAAAAGAAATAAGATTGCTGGGGCAAGCCGTTAGCACATCAAATCTACCAGCTATGTAACAAAGCGTAGAGCGAATGTGGTAAATCGATTCTGATAGTTGCTCCAAAAAAAAGGAGATTTCAGCAACTGCTCAAACTACCGAACGATCTCTCTTATCAATCATACACGAAATGTACTCTTGACAGTATTGTTAAATAGGCTGAAAAGACAGGGGAAAAATATACAGCCATTTCATAGATTTTTAAGGAAGCATTCGATACGTTTAAACATAAAGTTATCAGGATTATGCTAAAATTCTATGGCATAGAACCTAAGATGATCATACTGCTACAAAAGACTTGCGAAAAGTCGCAGTCAGCTGTCCGAATCGACTGTGAATATGGCGAGTGGTTTCAAACAGACACAAAAACGTGAAAAGGTAATCTTTTATCACCACTCATCTTCATCGCATATCTAGAAAGGGCGAGGGTGACATGTGACAGAACAACTGCTAAATCAACGTCGGTGGACCGCTCATAAGTGACCAAATATTTGCCGACGAATATAGATCTAATAGATGAAGATCTAAGCTCACTTCAACGCCAAATTGAGCCAACATATACGGTGGCGGAACAAGCTGAACTTATGTTAAGCACAAATAAAACCGAAGCCCTGTTTTTTTCGAAATGAGAATATCGAGAGTAAAATTGATGTAACAGGCAAAATCTGCATACTTAGGAAGTCTACTGGCCTGGGACAACAACTGCTTAGAGGAAATAAAAGGGTGAATGGAGAAAGCGACCAGGAGATTGGTCTCATTGAAACATATCTGCGAGTTGTTGAATGCCTATTAGATGCTCGACTACTAAACTGTTAAGTTATTGTCTCTCTCCTCTTGATATCTATAAATTCACTAAAAACAAATTATATTTTCATCAATTCTCGGATAGTTCCGTATGATCCGCACCAGATGTACAGTTCCACAGATTGGTACAACTTTCAGAACATTATATTCAAGCCGAAGGATACTTGACGAGGCTGCGTGGGGAAGCTTATGCAAAATCGAAGCTTAGTGTTGTTTACTCCGCGAAGCATATTCAAATACAACTTAGAAAATGAATAATAACATCGGAAGACGTCGATCGTCAAGTAGTCTGCCTGATAAGACCTCCCATGTGACTCTGAGACACAGAAAAAACGCGTCTGAAATGAGAAACTCTTTCATTCGAATCATTGAAAATGCATTTTCCACAGTACTTTCTTTTAAGAACTTCGTTCATTTACTTTACTAAATTGTATTTTTTTTGTGTGAAACCTCTTAGCCTGTTCGTTCGACATGACTCTCTGTCAACTGTTCTCATTGTAACTCATGAAAAGAACTGAAAGGTTTTCAATTGAAAAACAGAACCATTAACATAAGTAAAAAGATAATGAAAAATAATAGTTCATCAAAAACATGAACAAAATCTGCTGCCATCGCTAAGAATCGCTCATTAGATTCATCAGGAATAGATATAAGCAATATTTTATTCACCAAAACCGTGTTGAGGGTCAAAATTATTAACAATTCATATTGAAATAATTTCTCACTCAACAAACAAAGATTTCACTAAGACATCGCATTATTCTTCTTAAATGAGAATAGGAACAAAGGTGATTTATCTTTGTGATTCAATAGAAAAAAATCTGAGTTTTGTCGTTAGAAAAACACCAGAAGTACGATTTATCAATTAATATTCAGATATATTAATGAATTTTCTGTACGATTCATTTCATTTGAGATAAGTTCTAGACAAATTATCTTCTTAAAAGGGAAATCTAACTTGTTCATGGATAAGCCAATATAGTGCAATGGCCTAAGTAAGTAGACTTGTAATTGGGAGGTATTATATTCCAGTCTCACTCGTCGAACCATCTAAATGTATGTATAAAAATTGAATAGATGTCCTAGTCGAAGCGTGGTGGAAGAGATGACCATCAGGAGAGAATGATGGTGACGCAGGTCAAAGCTGTAGGAATGGAATGCTTTTTTGGAGAAACCATCTCTTCGAACGCGTCTGGACGCGTTTGGATGCGTTTGATAGACGCATCTAATGTTTCATTTCCGTCGCGTTTGATGCGTTTGTACCATACATTTGAAACGCATCCCAAACGCGTTTTAAACGCGTTTGCACTAAAAAACATTCCCATGGGCTCTTATATATAGTGGTACATTTTTTTATTTAATATTCATTTTTTGGTTTTTATAAGCCCGCGAGTTGTGATCTGTGATACGTTCAGACGCCTAATATAGAATTATCCATCAAGTGAATAGGTGAGTAGTCATACATTATAATGTGTATTTTTGGGTCTAGATTCTTTTAAAAAATATCACTAGAAATGTGCAAATGAATGACGGTTGCCGATACTCCAGAAGCTTACGGTTTATTATGGTAGCTATTATATAATCGTCAAAAGTTCTTATTCTATCAAAAGCTACACGAATGCAGAAAATATGTCATAGCTATGGATTTTTACAAAATATTTTTGAGACGGATCCGAAAGGTTCGATACAAAACCCTTTTAGTATACTCAGAAAAAGAGTATACTACTAGAATGAGTTAGCGTGCTCGATGGTCTGTCCCTCGTACACGATAATTCTCAAAAGAATTTCAGATCATGGTGAAGTTTTCTATACAGTTTAATGTCATTAATATCTCAGTTGAGTTCGACGATGAGCCTGATTAGACAAGCTATGCTCGAGTTATTGAAGAATATTGGTATTTTTCTATGTTTTCTCATATACTTTGCAGTGCGCATCATTCTCGTATAAAATCCGGTGTCACTACATTTTTTATTTTGAACTAAGGGTTATGGTATTAAGCGTTTGCTACGGTATCTCTGTTCTGTACTTTTCAGGTATTTTTTCATGCGAAATCGTTTTATTTCGAAACCAAAAAAAGGGCCATTGCTTGTAGCGAGCAGAAGATCTTTTTCTCAATTCGTCAAAGCCCCTAGTTGTTCTACAACGTGGTACTAAACTACACTTCTAATATTTTCTCCATTAACATTTATCGGAAATAAGTGATAAATGATGATTGTTTTATTGGAAGAAAAATCTAAAGGAATCCTAGATGAATCAATGCAGTTCACTGACTCATCTAAATAAGGTTCTAGTTAAATGTTTTGTATATTAGCTGTGCTCTCCGTACAATCTGAATATGTATGTAAAACTCGATTAAATTTCCGATTCATTGCCCCGTGTAAGAGATGCTTCTTCCCAGAACATTTCTAAATCGGAAGGTGTCGCATGGGACCATATGGAAGTGTCGACTTCTCACACATGTCAGATCTTTCTGATAGATTGTATACGCGAAACATTTTTTATTCTTTGTAGATCAAGTCATAAAATAAGGTCTAAATACTTTCAGAGTTCTAGAAATGGTTCACTTTGTGCTTTCAGATATCTCTCAAATGATTCAATTAATTTGTATAATGATTACGTTGATACAAGAAACGTTTCTTAATCACAGATTACGCAATGCTAACAAGTCATCGATTGGAATAATGATCTTATGTATATTAGCACGCGAATTGATTGCAGTTTACTTAATCTGGACTCATAAAGTAATGATTAAACATGTCGCTTATGCTTTCTTTATCGGAATTGTATTCTTCATTGGCTGTCAAGTAAAGTTCTGTGAGCGAAAGAAAGGACAATGCCAAGTCGTAACAAAACGATTAAAATATCTATTGCCAAAAATACCCCATGAATTCACACCTCATCATATTCTACTCATAATTTGGCCTATCATTAATGGATTCGCTTACTACTATTTATTTGAACTTACTAAATCTTATATGTGGATTGCAAAATTTATTATTGTTAGCATTCCTGTGATTACAGACTCATTAATATTTATCCCTGGAATTGTTTCAAGTGTTCGAGTAAAATGTACCATGAAATACAACCTGATATTCATTGTGATAGAATTGATTAGTTGTTCGTTTGGCATCATCACAGTTGGCCCACAGCCTAAGCTTGATATTGTCCCTTTGGTACCATTCGTTGTTTTAATTACATTTCAACTAGTTCTGTTGATATTACCGTTCAATGTTGTATCGACTGAAAATATTCCGAATAATACAATATCGTTAATACAACGAAAAGGTTTCAATTGCTCTGGTAAGAATTTATGACATTCGAAATTGAAAGGCACTTCATACACATATACGTGACACCCTTCCATTACTATTGTAGTGATGATCCTAACAGAAAACGAAGAATAGTATAATATGTACTCACCAAGGCTATGAAGGGGTCAAATTAGAAGAGTGAAATATTTCAGAAATCGGAAACAGTATAAATTATTTTCAGTCTTGAATTAATTCTTGAAAATTTTCTGTTGTGCAACTTTGGAAAAATATCAAACTTGGAGGAGAAAAACAAAGGCCATTTCCGTATTCGCAAAAATGTTGCCACTTAGTCATGGTAGACCTGTTTAAAAAAAGCAGCGATTTTCTGTAAAGTTTAATGTCAAACTTTAAAGGCCAACGAATTCGAATTTGCAAACGACTTCTAACGAACGAGATCAACAGTACTATCGTATTGGTGGGGAAACAGTCCCATAAGCATCTAAACGTTAGTATACAGAAACAGGAGTGAACAAGACGACAACAGTTTATATATATTAATAACGAGTTAAGCATAGAGTCAAGTATTAGTTATAAAAGATAATCCTCTCTCCCGACATAATAAAAGGTCCTCTCAAATTAGAAGACCCCCGATTACAAGAACCCTTTCAACAAAAAGTTCGAAATTTGTACGGAAGGACCCCTATTTATAAAACACGTTCGATGAATGCAATGATGATTATGTTGAAAAGGTTTTCGAAGACATCTGACGCCAGTAACAACATGCTTCAGTAAAAACAACTCGACTGAAGCTTACTAGCATGTGGAAGCAAGCTAAGATTATTTTAGGTTGATATATTTTTTCAATTTTGCGATTGTTTGATGAATTTCTGGAATATTTAATACTTTTATAGTAAGTGTCGCTGTATAAAACTCTTTTGATGAGAAGTCCCGCTCGCTTATATTACAGACGAGAACATCTTAGAAGACTACGGTTCTTTTTAATCTGGAGAAGGGTATATTGTTTGTCGACACTAGAGTAGCTGAGTTGGAATGCTGAAGTGCTTAAGGGCACAAATTTGCACATACATCTCGCAGATGTGACTAGCAAACGGACTGCCCGTTGCATTCTCAAGATAAATCTAATCATACCCGTCTTTGTCTTCAATATTCAGAGGAATGATCACCAATACGCTGAACAAGTCTTGACAAGTACAAAATTAGATAAATTACAAAGGAATATATCAAATCTAAACTTATCTATGTAGGACAGGAAGCGTTCGCCAAAAATCACTATTCCTAACACTCGCCCATAGTAAGTGCCGAAATTTCAATATAAAGTGCGAGTGTCCTTGTTGATCAATGCTCTATAATATCCAAGGTGTGTTTACCACGAGAAGAAATTATTTTTTCATCTAGAAACAGAAATTTTTATCGAAGATGCTAGTGATCAGCCATATAAAATGTTAACACAAGGTTTAAGGCGGATGTCTCGTTGTGTGGAAACTCGAAGGTCTATTTGTGACATCGACAGAAACATTGAACAAGCAATAGCTTCTGATCAAATGCCCACTTCTGGAGAACAGTACTTTATTGACGATAAATTGAAGAGCATCTTTTGCAATGAAATGTGTGCATATCACGTTGCTGCTGACGTTTCCAGCGCATCCGTTGTCAGGTTAGTACTACTCTACAAGTGAAGATTGGCAAAGATAAAAACAAAAAAGGTGTCTAACGTATCAAGACTCGTATGAGAGAAACCATCCCGTGTCGTGTAACTAGTTTCCAATTCACAGTAGATTTCTTCGGTTAGAGTTGTATCACATTTCTAAAGCCTAGATAATTGGCAGTATTTGAAAACTTTAATATAATCTTTGGAAAAAGCACACTTTTTCTCATAATGTATTTTAGCTATTGTCTTCGTCAAATGGACAATGACGATCCATTTTACATTGCCGATGTTTCGCATTGTGCAAAACAATATTTCAAATGGACAACATCTTTACCGCGTGTTAAGCCCTTTTATGCTATTAAATCAAATGAAAATAATTTTATTATAAGAATAATAGAAATAATGGGTGGAGGATTTGATTGCGCATCGATTCGTGAATTAGACACGGTTCTTTCAGTATGTCCGGCTATTGACTGCTCAAAGCGAATAATTTACTCTCACCCTTGCAAACAAATTTCACATATAGAATATTTCAGAAAGAAAGGCGTACAACTGACTGTAGCTGATAACCAAAATGAACTGATGAAACTAAAAACTCATTGGCCAACTGCAAAGATTTTAATTCGCTTAAAAACAAAAGACAGCCAATCTGTGATCGCGCTTTCTTCAAAATTTGGCGCAAATCAACGTGTAGCTATACAAATGCTTGAAATGGGCAAAGTATTAAACTTAGATATAATTGGATGCACATTTCATGTTGGAACAGGATGTTGTAATACGGATGCATTTATACATACACTGAAATTTGCCAGAGAATTGTTTGACATTGCAAAAAGTCGAAAGTACGGCCTCAAATTCACAATGCTCGATATTGGCGGTGGTTTTCCTGGTGAAAATGAGCCAGGTAAACCAACTTTCGTAGAAATGGCGCAAATAGTACGACACGTATTAGACCAATTATTTACTGATGATGAAGGTACATAATTTGTTTTTTCAAATAGATATCTGGAATTATCTTTTACTACTACTTCCAGGTATTCAAATAATAGCTGAACCTGGAAGATACTTTTCTGCATGTTTCATGAATCTAGTTACGACAATAGTTGGCTGTCGATTGAATAATATCGAATATTCTGATGACACACCAATCAATCCCAATGAAGAACCAAATACCGATATTATTGGAAACGTCGAAAACTTCTACTATATCAATGATGGTATATATGGTTCATTGAGTAATATTATATTTGAAAAAGCAAATTATCGTATTAGTTGTTTGCGCAGACATAAACAAAACTCTATGCTAGATGAAGAAAAAGAATATAACTCAGCTGTGTTTGGACCAACATGTGATTCAACTGATCGTTTAGCGACATGTATTAAATTGCCACTCTTAGAAGTTGGGGATTATCTATGGTTTCATAATGTTGGCGCGTATTCAAGCTCGATTGCAACCGATTTTAACGGATTCAAGACAACTAGATATTTTTATATTTGGAAAGATTAATATTGATTATTATATAGCTTCAATATAAAGAAACATAAAAAATTAACTAATCCTTCCTCCAGTTTTGCATGCTGTATCTAAAATAAATGCGAAGACTTTAGATTTTATCCAAGAGTTGTGTGGAATGTAAAAATTCTATCAGATAGAAGACATACGTAGCTATAGGGAAATATCAATTCCTTTTTTAATAATCCATGAGTCACACGTTCAATCAGTCTAATCTTCCAACTCTAACGAGGGTTTGATATACGTAATAATATATCGTCAAAGAGCGCATCTCACTCACATTAGCTTTTCCAGAGTTAATGTATAAATGGACGGAGGACATTGGCCAATTATAGTAATATACTCATATTTTCAGTCTGCTACAATGATAAGATGTTTCAAATATGCTCTCAGTAACATATTGTTGCTACTTTAACTGTATTTATTTGGAGCCTAAACTTAATTGACACAAAAGTTGCTTTTGAGTAGCTTTGTATATTTCACACCATCCAGCACATCCAGTGGCGTATCCAAGGGAAGAGGGACAAATGGGCGGTTGCCCATTACAATTTGACTTTGTCAGAATTCTTATATACGGTTTCAATTGGTTAAGACTACAATGTATTTGACGAAATTTTATGTAGTATTTTAAAATATTTAAAATAGTTTCATGAATTTTTTCAGAAATTTTGAAAGATTTCTGAAGAAAATTTAAAAAATGCGCCCAGTCTATCCACCTCTTTTTGAAAATTTAAAAACTATTCCAGAAACTTTCAGAAATATATAAGAACTTCGGAGATTTCTTGCGAACTTTTTGATAGATTTCAAGGTTATCTCTAAACTTTCTAAAGCTACTAATAAAGTTTTGGGCAAAGTAAACAAAATTTGCGAGATTAAGGTGAAGACTCACGACCCCATCTGGCTTTCCTCCCACCATCTGGACACTGCTGTCTAACATTTTCTTCTACGGCACTACAATAAGGGAAACACCACACCGTATTGAGCTTTGATGTTTTTTAATACTTAAAAAGAAATAAAAGATCCTTATGTTTTACTGATATTTGCAGTTGTGTTTTGAAACTTGAACCAGTATAAAAATTTTGCGCTATCGACAACAAACCTTGCCTGTTTGTTCACTACTTTTTTCCGACTAAAGCAAAGTTTGCCCATTGGTTTGAAAACCCTCGTTACGCCACTGAGCACACCTGGAATAGCTTTCTTAGTGCCAACGACTACAATGATGATTTGGGAAGCTTTCACTCAGGCCTACTGCCTGACACACATCCTCATGATCTCCCTTTATTTTGATCTTTCACTAAACCTAAACATATCTTGCAAAATTTGATGACTGATAGACAGGTAATCTGAGTGAAATACATTCAGTCCCGCCCTTTACCAACCGGACCTTATCATGTAGTTGAATGGCTTATGCGTTCTCTGGTCCAGAGCCAACTGGAAAACTTTGGCCTGACTCGACCATGTCTACCCCCACACTGATTCCCCAACATGTTTTCCAGACCTTCAAAAACTGCATAGAAATTTGCGCGCCTTCTCTATCACAGAACTGCTTAGGTGAAATTTCACTCAGGTAACACTCCTACTTGGCCTCTCACTGAGAGACTCTCAGTAGTCACTCGGCACTCTCTCCATGTTTTTCTAGACCTAGGCAACCAACATGAAAAGTTTGGCGGTCATAATCAGTAAAGGAATTGACTGCATAGTGAACAAGCGCACAAGCATGCAACTTTATATATAAGGATCTGAGAGAATTTCATCGAAAGTCACTACCAGTACACTCAATCGAGCTCGTTTTTGAACTCAACTAAAATACTGATGAGATAATGCTGTGTAGAAGTTATCAGCTCAATCTGATTCTCCTATTAAACGTTGTCGTGTAAACGGATAGACACATTGGCCGATTTTAGTGGCGTACTCACGTTTTGGGTATAGAATTAACTCACAGTGAAGCTCTATTATTGACCAAAATTCTAGCTCGCTTGATCACTATTTGGTGAAGATATTTCAATTTCTTGTCGCCGGGTTACTTATGACTTACCCTTTATATATACCATTTGTTATATAAATCATATTCCAATAGCTGTATGTCGATGCAAAAACGGCAAATAAACCCTACTTGTTTTTTTTTCGATTATGCGAAGTTTATTTGGTGACATCCATCTTTTTTGGTTACTTTTACATAAAATTTTCTCGAACGCTTACGAAAAAATCGTCGTACAAGACGATGAGAACAAACAGAATAAAAGCAGAAGCGCACAAATTGAAAGCACATTAGAGAGGCAGCGATAACGAATTCCACATGTTATACATTTTCTTCTGCTTTTATCTATTGTTCCGATACCATGCATCGTAACATCGAGGAAACCGAGCCGGGGGAAGGAATCGAACCTTCTGATATTCGACAATTAGACGTATAGACTCACTACCCCATCCCTGAGTAGCCCTGTATATTATATACCTATAATGCCTAGAGAATGTAGGTTTTCGAAAAAGATTGCTTAGTTGGGTTCTTACGAAAAACGTGAAGTGGATTGCTAGCAAGTCATGAGACTAAAACTAGATATTACGACAAGGAAAAGACGGATTTGGAGAATGGGCTACTTTTACTGCTTGCTACCGTCTGTCCTTTCTCGACTAGAATGGCTCGAGATAGATCCAGACGGATCCTACTAGATCACCACAGATCCTTCCGAATGTTGCATTTCCTGTGGATTCTAGTATCAGTGAGGTTCATCAGGATCCGCTTTTCCGTCCGCGTTTCCTTGTTTGTTATTGATTGCTATTCTTTTTAGTTTAAGGACGATCTGTTAGATGAACATGAATTTTTTTCGTTCTCGTCGTCTGTTTTTCATGAATATCACGTCGGCGTCGGGTCTTCTTGCTGCTAGTGATCTGGTTGTACAAATAATACACGAGAAAAAACAAACTGTCGATGTTCGCCGTCTACGTAAAGTTCTTTGGAGTATCCGGTCTTTTATTGATTAATTGAATTTTTAGTCGGAGCCGTTGGTACAGGCGCTGCCACAGGTATAGAAGGGCATTTTTGGTATAGGTTTCTCGATCGTATCCTGGCGCAGCCAACCTGGACGAATGTATGGAAGAAGGTCGCTATGGATACGATTTGTGCGGTACCGATATATTTGGTTACCTACATTGTGGGCAAGTTCTTTCGACTCGTTTGGATTTGCTAATATTGTTCCGTCTGCTTGTTTTAGGTACATCTTTTGTCGAGGGGCGTAGATCAGCCGATGAACTTCATAAGGATATTCGAGTTAATTTCCCCACTATGTATGTTGCCGACATCTGTACGTTCACACCTGTTCAACTAATCAATTTCAAATACGTTCCACCATTTTATCGAGTGCCATTTTTGTCCATGGTAATATTCTTTTTCAATACGTTTCTTAGTGCATATAAACATGCACCTGAAACATCTCATCGTCATGAATAATCTTCGGCTTCCTATGGTCATTATTGTTAAAGAACCTTTCAGTACGTGTTGACACATCATGTACACACATTTTCTGTCTGAACCTGTCCATCTCATTCCTCAATTATCCATGTAATTAGGGTATACTAAACGTTCTGATAACAGTCTTCAAAGGATTTTGTTGAATAAGATAGCCTACTGAGGAATGTGTAACTAAGTATTTCTTGTAATAAGAATTTTCGAGGCACATCGAATGGTATATAACAAGTTCTATTATTAGAAGACTTCGAAGGAATTAGAGTCAATCTACTGACAGATTACTACAGATTCATCCACACGCTCATATTTAAACCTAGTAAACTGATGGATATCGTGACTTATGATATCAATCGAAAGTAATTGTGAAGCATTTTCATCCCAAACGTTTCTAGAGCTTCTGACGACCAATACCATGATATATGTGGCATTTCCAGCCTACTCGGAGATATTGATATGGATACATGACAACATAAACATGTGGCCGTCTATCAATAAATTGACTCTAATTCCTTCGAAGTCTTCTGAAAATAGAACTTCTTATATGTTATTCGATGTGCTTCAAAAGACTTTATTACACGAAGTATTTAGTTGCACATTCCTCAGTAGGCTATATTATCCAACAACGTGCTATGAATGCTGTGATCAGAAGTTTTGATATACCCACCTATCTTTTTGTATATACCGCCTTGACTTTTCTTTATACTATATATTTCTATCTATAAAAAGCATCCACAGAATTTTAAGATGATTTAGAATTCATTGCTTCTGCATTCAACAAGACGAAACTCTTTGGAGCTTTGTCGGATTGTTGTGCCCATCTGTGCAAGAATGTGGGTGAGGATATGAGTCAAAATGAGTATATGGGTGTGAGGGTGAGAGTGAAATTGTGGTAGGTTGTTCTCGTTCTCGGATTTCATCCTCAACTCTCCGAGCTATGGGCACTTCTGTGGTTTTCATTTTCGATATTGTAATATTCGACATTTTTTATTGTCGATGTTAGTGCGGGAAATTGTTAACAGAGACGAATTTTTCTAATAATAAAAGTATGCACTGGACCATCAAAAACTAGTGTTCTAAAATCAACTTTCGAATGCTAAATCAGGAGAACAAACTTTTAAAACTTTAACGATTTTTTGAAATCCCACCGTCAGATGCCCAGTAAAAAGCCCAGTTTTCTGAAGTCATCATTTTTGTAGTATTTTTCGATTTTCGACAGTAAGAATACACTTTATTTCAATGAGTTGCACATATTCAGATTCAGCATATGAAACTACACCGGATTTTGTTAGAAAAAGAACAGAAAAGAAGCTATTTTGAATTTCGCGTTAATTCAACTGTATACTAGCAAAACAATGTCTGTGTCAATCTGCGAAAACATCTGGGAATTTTATGAGTTAGTTAAGAGAAAAGATAAATTTATATTCGATGTCTCAACGTATCGCGATCTTGTTCAACAATTTAGTTAACAATAGTAGCTGCTGATTGACTTTCACATCGCGCATAATTCTGTCTTGCCCATAATTGTGCAAAATCCACTTGTTTCATTACAGCGATATATTTAGATATGAGTAATATTAGCTTTTGATAATCTTTCGTATTATGGAAATAGTCCGTAATGGCTGTTGCTATACATCGTGCTGGCTTTTCGGTATATGCACACGTTAATACTGTGGGAAAGTTTCTTGATATCATTGTTGACTTCAAGTAACGATTTTCGATGCGCTTTGCGAACAAGCTTTGGACCTTCGTGACTGGCTAAAAACCGAGTACCCATTTGAGCACCAGAAGCACCGAACATTAGTGCATTCACTAAACCATACTCATCCATGATTTCTCCAGCAGCAACTAATGGACATAAAGTTGGATCAATAAATTGTGCTGTTTGTGAAAGAAGAGACTGCAAACCAATTACCGATTTTTCAGTTGTTTCGCTATCATTTGTAAAGAAACTACCACAATGACTACAGTCCTCGGATCATTGTAAACAAACAGCTTAATGTAACGGAAAAGAGGAATGAGAAGATAATCTTTGTTCTTGCTGCAGCACTTTATTTCTTCTTTTATTATTTGTGATTACAAAGACAGACTGGAGGAATAGCACTATCGCTATTCTTCAATGTAGAAGATGTTTAACTACGTCGTATCATTCTCCAAAATATGTCTTATACATAACACAAAAGAGAAGAGAGTAAACAGTGACAGTACAAGGTAATATTCATAATTCGCACATTAGTAATTAAAGAACATTACGCGAAGACACTAAAGCATAATTGACATCTCTGAATGATAACTCAACAGATATAATATCTAGATAGACGTGTCTGTTGGCACACATCACAAACTTTTTCTTTGAATAGAACAGCTTGTTTTGCTGTTTCAATTAAGCTAATACTTAATTGTTTACATTTATTGACAATATCTTTTGCTAAATATCCAAATGTGCTTGACTGTAATTGAATAAGTATTGATGTGGTAGTTAACCAATTCTCTATTGATTAACAGCTCTTATACTTGCGTTCGTACCAAATCGATAGCTTGAGTTGATATTTCAAATTGTCGTGACGGTAGGGTAAATATATTAACACCAAATGATTTATCGGTCAATGAACGTGTTTTACTGATTTCATGTTCTAGCTGTTCACCTGCCATCTTTGCCACAGGTACCGTACTCATGCCTTCTGCATCAGACACATTATCAACCAGTGCTGTCGTTGTTCATGAAGACATTGGCGCCTGAATAAGGGGGTAGCGAGTATTGAGTAATCGTGTTAATAACGTTTTCGACATTATCCATATTCAAGATTCTTAGAAAAATGATCACAAGAATAATTCTTAAAAAAATTGAAAAAAAAGTATTCAGTTTAATATACCATACTGCATATAGTGGATATTTTGGTATTAAGTGCGGACCCGTAGAATGATATCTTTCGGGGCATTTGTAAAAAGCGCTAATATCTGCGAACACCAATATTCTATCGATTCTAAAAGAGAAATTCTACACCAAGCATCCTGCGAACATGCTTTCCCCATTCTTTCATCGTGAGCTTATTATATCATCTATATTTTCTTGAAATTAGGAACTTTTCAAAAATTGAGTTTTTCTGTATAATCCTGTAAAAAAATTTATTGCATAGAAAAATTGAACTTTTTGAAGCGCTTAATTATAGGAAAAAATAGATGATATAACAAGCTCATGATGAAAGAATAAAAAAGATAGATGTTCACGTCTTTGATAAATTTTGTCTTGCAAATAAAATATTCTGAAAGCTACATGCTCAATTTCATTTAGACTTTGTATCCAAAGAGTATACTGCAAGTGTGCAACCGAACTGCAAAGAAATTCATGTTGATCTGATGATAGGATCAGATGGTATCAGTTGCTCAGTTTTTATACGAAATCTGCTTAGGCAATTAATTCTTGTGAATGATCTCTATATAGAATAATTGGAAAAAAAAATAAGGAAACTTTCCATGACACGCTAGGTTGATTCGCCCGCATTCGAATTCATGACGCAAAAATGACACATTTGACTAAAGTAAGTAGAAAGACTAAGTGACCAACCAAATCGTTTTATAGTAGCATACTTCTCTTCCGTTCTCCATTATGATATAAGATAATAAATAAACATATACATGTGCCTCCTTTTGCTCGTTATGTAGTTATGCTTCGGTGAGCATTACGCGTTTGGATTATGTCGACGAATATACAAAGGACGAGTGTGTTGTCTAAGTGATATTTCAAAAAGATAAATTTTTTTCGAAAGTGAAATATGAGATATCGTCAGTATACATTGCATACAAGGTTGACACTAGCAAACGTGTAAAAGAGGACAACTATATGCCGTATTCAAATCACTCATCCAGGATTGTATGCGTTAAGCAGATTGATCACGAGTAAATATTCAAATGTCTGATACCTTTAACGTAATGTATCACTTACAAATCGCATGAGATAGCTTTCAACAGGACTGAATCTTCCCTGAACGGATTCGACTATATACGAGTTTAGAATCTGTTTATGTTGGTTCACAAAAGGAAGTCAAAAGTATAAGACTTTCTATCATAATTTTTTTATCATTTTTCTCCCATTTTTCAATCATATAATTCATTAAATAGTACCAAAATCTTTTTTCTATAGTTTCGTCAGATACAGACTACTATTCTCTACAAAACGATATATTTAAACGTATCTTTTGTCGGAAAAGGCAATTCGTGAATTTCTTGCAAATTCTCCACTTGTTGCTCTCAGTATGGGCTCCTACATGAATGTATTGGTCCCATGTCTAGGTATAAATCTTCACAACATCCAGTAGACTCACACTCTAAATACTCACTTCGTTCTCAGTACCCGAAGGGCCTAAAAAAGGATCAGCAAAAAATTGTGTCACGCCGTTACGTTTATATTCCAGTATTTGTCACGTAGCAAAAAGCTTTCAGCGCAATCTCTTGCGAGATTACAAATGTGAAACATAATAAACCTGTTTACATCAGTGCAATGGAGATTTCTGATCGAGAATTGTTGTGTTTACATTATTTAGACAATCTGAACTATTTGTGATAGTTCTCATAGATAAATGAATACAGAGTGTAGATCAATGAGCGCGAGTGTGATTAAGCTTGATGGATAAATAAAACACCCTTACCCTCAAGATGGATTAAGCGTGAATACTTGAGCCTGAGGGTCCTTTTGTGTCACATCGCTACATGATCTGAAAATCTTTCCAGAAATCGCGTGATTGGTGGATAATATTTCTTTTTTTTTCAGTAAATATAGAGGGTGTCAAGTTGCATACGATGGCGTTTGAATGAACTCTCCAACGTTTACAGTTTTTCAGATATTGACAAAATACTGTGTCAGAACTTCACATCGTTACGTGTGGGCAACTCGTAAGACGGATTTGTTTACTGATTTTTCCTACCAAATGGTAACTTTACTACCGACGCTTTAGTTCATTTTAGGGGAACGGCTTTGTGTTGAGCCAGCAAAACAATCTATCCCTATATCGGCGCCAAGAACTTTTTTTGTTTTGGTAAAATTCCACTCTTTACAGTATAAACACCTGTATCATTATGAAATTATGAGATACAAAAACTACATTAATACGTTTTTTTTTCGTTGCTATCGGTTCATCATTTTGTCATATAGGCTTATAAATAATTACCTTTTTTCATTACCTCCACAGATAGAATCAGTGAAAAAAAAGCGTTTTCGAAGGTGGAAAAATGCACATTATCATTTGTAAAGACGTGTTAAAATATTGGAGAATACGTCTAAAGGAGAATCGATTTTCAATGCTCGAAAACCCTACAACTAACAAAGGAAAGTATGGTGTCCGGGATCGGTGACACCTTGGAAATGCTCGCAATTAACAAATGGAAGTATGGTGTCCGGGATCGGTGACACCTTGGAAATGCTCGCAATTAACAAATGGAAGTATGGTGTCCAGGAGTAGTGACACCTTGGGACTGTTCGCAACTAACAAAGGGAAGTATGGTGTCCGAGATCAGTGACACCTTGGGACTGCTCGCAATTAACAAATGGAAGTATGGTGTCCGGGATCAGTGACACCTTGGGACTGCTCACCACTAACAAAGGGAAGTATGGTGTCCGGGATCGGTGACACCTTGGGACTGCTCGCCACTAACAAAGGGAAGTATGGTGTCCGGGATCGGTGACACCTTGGGACTGCTCGCCACTAACAAAGGGAAGTATGGTGTCCGAGATCAGTGACACCTTGGGACTGCTCGCGACTAACAAAAGGATACGCAATGTTCATCAGTCATCCGCTGCTCACAATTGCCGAAATTTTAGATAGTGCTTGAGACTATTGAATGGTGAAACTTGATATTGAGCTAGCTTTTAGTATTTGAATTTTGATTGATCTATTCGTTTCACGCAGTATATGGCTGATTTATATTGGTCCAATATAGTGAATCACATTCTTACTAAGGATGATGAAGTTTTATTTTAAATCAGTTGATCGTCTTTGGGGGAATTTTTAAATACAGCCTCAAATTTTTTAAACAGATATCCACTAGTTTGTTTTTCAAAGCTATTTATAGCAGGCTTTAATGATAGAAAATTCGTTCTTGCATTTTACTTTTGACATGGGTGCTTTCACAAATTATAATTTTAAATTAGCGGAAGAGGCACTTATGTTAGATTAAAACAAAGTACAATTTACAATCCTGTGGTTTTGAATAGCAGTTTGGTCTGCTTTTTATGTCATGTAACAGCTGAAATAGAAATGCATTACTTTCGGTAGAACAAAAAGAAGTACGAAGAATCTTTTTATCACTAGATAAACAAGTGAAAAAAGTAAAGGTTCTCATATTCATGTACAAGTTGATACTTGAATTCAATCATTCATTCAACTACTGGACTTTCCAAATGCTCAACTATCCAATTCTTCAGGTGGGTTATGACTGTAAAGTCAACGACTTAGAAGCTGTATGAGAGGATAGGTGAAAGTATGAAACACGAGAGATTGTATGAGAGTCCTGAGAAGGCTAGGATTTGTCTGGCAGCATATGGATGAGAGAAATCCGGATTTAATCCTTGAAGTGCTGGAGTAATCTTCTTAAATGGTGCTCTTCGTTTGGGTCATCACAGCAAGAATCAAACGTCTAGCCCAACTTTTTTGCTTTAAATCGTGTATTAAAATTATACAGAACTCATTTGTAGCGATTATAATTTGGGATAGCAGGGATCAAGTAACATATATCGGTCACTGCACAACAGCGACAACCATCTCTTCTCAATGAAAGCTCACAAATTTTTTCATCTTCTTTTGATAGCCCTGATGAATAATCATTAGAAAAATGTTTTCATCAAATTTTTCGCGCTGAGTTGAAAAAAACTGAATTTTTATAGAAATTGCCGTCGTTTTATTATGCGAGTTTTGAAAATAAGTTTTCTGCAGATCAGCTCGAGTGAGTTTAATGAAATTTTTTCTGCAACAATCTATCATAGAATGATATCTAAACGTGACAATAGAATTTAGGGACCTTCAACTAAACGGTGCCGTACACGAATTTTGCGTGATGCCTTGTGTCCACTATTCTCAATGTTATTACGGAAGCAGGCGAGCATTGAAGGAGATATCCGAGCTGTAAGTGAACCGTATTCCTTCATCTCTTACCGAAGTAAGTTAGCGATATCAGTGTGAAGCTAGCGCAAAGTAATTAGCACGAAAAATGAAGATTTAGCTTAAAACTCTTTACAAGAATATGGCCGGGTCAAGAAAACTGGCTCATTCGATTCAGAATTTAATTCGACGTCGAATGGTGATACTTTTATTCACCGGCCAAGCTTCGGAAGCATATCAGGATTTTCATTCGACGTCGAATTAAATTCTGAATCGAATGAGCCAGTTTTCTTGACCCGGCCATATTCTTGTAAAGAGTTTTAAGCTAAATCTTCATTTTTCGTGCTGGCTTCACACTGATGTTAGCGATAAAGGGCCTATAAATCCGCATGCAGCAAAAGTAATCCTCATCTTTGTAACGGAAAAATGACGAAATGAAATCATGTTTTGTTTTTGCTGCAGCCTTTTATTTTATTTCATAACTTATTTGTGAACACAATGACAAACTGGAAGAATAACGTTATCATTATTCTGATGTAGCTAAAGTTGTTCTCTACATCATTTCATATTCCAGTTGTGTCTCATACAATATAGAATATCGCCTTTTATAGAGAACAGAATAGAGAATAGAACAAGCAGTGACAGTACAAAGTAATACAGATAATCAGAATATCAGTAAGACAAGAACACTACGCACCGATGGTATTTTATGTAATTGACACCTTCAAATGATAGAATATACATTAAAAAATTTTGATGGGCGTGTGTGTCGATACAGTCTTACTTCTGAGGGGCTACTTGTTGAAAAATTTGTTTTCAAAACGCGAACATCTTCACCAAAGAACATCTAACAAAAGTAAAATCTAGGTTTTATATCTAAAATAATGGGCTCCATAGGATTAGATGAATTTCAGACAAAATCGAGAACCTAATTAAACAGCCCTCTATGGTGGCGGTTGTATCTCTTGCGCAATGGCTCATATATGATTATACGTCTGTTTCGTTTCAAAAGGTCTCTTGAATTTAAAATATAACAGCAGTAAAACAAACTTAAATACTAAGAATAAATGCGGCAACTTCGGATTTTAGCCGAAAGCTATGTGTACTACAAAAGGCGCAAGCGAAAGATTAGCAATTTCACTATGCCTCAGTATTAGAATCACTTAGGGTTATCCAAAATTAATGTCGGAGCTATCTTATTTTCTTATAAGACGATCAGAAAAAATTTCTTTTTTTATAGAACGATAGAGAAAATGAAGCTCTATTTTTCTATACCATTTGATTCTCCTTCAGTTAATACTATAGCAATAAATTTTCGATGTGAATTATGTTTATGTAAAACTTAAGTAACGAAAAGGCCATTGTGAGTGTTCGTATTTATAATACATTATATTAAAAGTCGGTATGTACCAAAAAATACAGCGTGGAAAGTTCTACGATCTAAAAAATAAAATTTATTTGAATTGTGTACTTTTCCTTTTCAAAGTTCCATGAAGTTAACTTTCATTATTGGGAAAGTTGATTACACAGAAGTTTTCTTTTTTTGAAAGCAAAAAGAACAGAATAAAAACAAACTGTTCTACGTAAATTGTAGAGCTTTTCATGCTGCATTTTTTGGTATATTTGATCTTTGATGGAAAATACTAAATCCAAAAAAACAAAATACAAAATGTGAACTCTCCTAATGCCCTTTTCGTTACTTAAGTTTTACATAAACATAATTCACATCGAAAATTTATTGCTATAGTATTAACTGAAGGAGAATCAAATGGTATAGAAAAATAGAGCTTCATTTTCTCTATCGTTCTATAAAAAAAGAAATTTTTTCTGATCGTCTTATAAGAAAATAAGATAGCTCCGACATTACTTTTGAATAACCCTAATTAATACGGTGCGCTAGCATCGTGTTATTGAGTTTCATCGCGTCTTTTTATACTCTTTCTTTCTAGACAAGCATCCAAAGTCCATTTTTAGTTACGCGGTGATCTAGAGATCGGAGCGTCGCTGGACTGTAGGATAAACACTGTCGAGCAGTTAGCTAGGTGAAGATGAGATATTTTTTCTCAGAATTTCATAAACTGATGTCGTTTGCCCAAAATAAACACGGACTCGGTGGTAAACTGGGGGGAAGATCTTTCATGCAGTGAAGATAATTAAAAGAAGAGTAGGTGCGAAAAGATTTGTCAGAAGTGTGCTCTGATTAGTTGAAAGGATAATTAATCAATGGAGCGACCTCACGTATTTGTATATTTTAGTTCATAGAGGCTTTCATTTCAGCAATTTTTTATCACTCTGTGAATTCAAATTTGCTATCTTTAAATACAGCATTAGTGAGCAATTTATTTTAAACTAAGTGAACTAGAGAAGTTCTAGCTTCAAACTACATGGTTCCATAAATAAACTATTCATTCATCAAAATAGAATGAAGATATCGGCGAAATTCCGCGCACCGTATTTCGCGGTCGGGCGAAGCCTGACAGCCCATCTAGGTATTATGAGAAATCTCTTCGATGAGCATGATTTTTCTCGATTGTCGCTCATATAAAAGGACTTTTGCTTCGAGTCTAAATTATTTTTGAATTCCTCACTTGCATTTCTCGTCGAAAAAGAATAGTTTCCTTCATAGCTTAATTTGTATTAGCTATTGGCAAACGAATTGTCTTCCTAGACATATTGGATTTAGGAACGGGTTTCATAGGAAGTGATTTTATATCGATTAGGCGTACGTGCATAGGATCGTTTTATTAATTATAGACGTCGGATTTAAACAGATCTAGGATAAGCTAGAACACTACACAACACTATGGCAGAACAAGAAAGATATAGAAAACATCTGATGAGTACATATCGCGACATCATGTGTAAGAAACGCACAAAAGATATATGACGTCATGGGTATATGATTTTACCATTTAAAAAGTTCTCTAACTCGCAAAACTCGAAGTAATACATTTATGATCATAAAGCAGCGCTCTAATTATGGCCGAACGAGGTCCTTGTCCAGTTTAAAGATAGTCCCTGCACAATTAGGATCACGATATAGGTAACTACTCTATATTTGTTTCTTACTGCTATACATACCGTTTCGTAGCTAGTAAAATCCTCCATCAAACGGTATATAACACATCGGATGTTATTCGAGTCTGATTGAGAATTTTCTCAGGAAATGGGCTATAACTCAATGCTTTTATAGAAAAACACACGGAAAAGTCTGCATTTTTACAATAAATGAGAAAAAGGGTTGTCTACAAACTACACCAAGATCTTAACGAGAGTAAATTGTGCATAAGATTGCACCTCAATCTGACTCTATCTGCGAAAATTTCTCTATAAACGGACGAGCGAATTCATACACTAATCAATTTTAGGAATGTTCCTACATTTCGAATACTGCAAAGAATAGAAGGTTTCAAATTTTTGCCGATAATAATGTACGTACTATTGATACTTTGATTATCATCAATAAAAATCTACAATATGACCGAAATTGTACTTTTGAATCATTTTTCTGCATTTTTCTACAGTTACCACATTAAGGATAACTTTAGTAATGTTAACTGGTACAAAGACAAGTCGGATAAAATTTATCCAGACGTTCCCTTTTAACCCGTACAGTACTAGTTGAAGTAACTTCTATTGAGCCCAGGAAAAGTGAATGTTTTTTCTAAAGTGACGAAATCTGAAATGTAGTTTTTATTTTTCGTTGAAATTGAAAAGATTATTGTTTTGACGTGTTCTCTATGACATCAGATATAAAAATCTCATAATCTGAATTAGAAGCACGATTGTACTCAAGTCGTAAAAAGGCCGGTACTACAAGGACTAACCATCATTTTGAAAGATTTTGTAGCATTCACTAATTACAGATGTTGATAAATTAATAAGAAGATCTTCTGGGCGAACTTCGCTCGCCCTCACGCCGTTGACCTTTTCTATTAATCTCAATGCTGTGTTAGTCTTTCACTGGACTTAAAGAACCATTTGAAATAATTTGGCAACGCTACTCAGGACGATGGTTCCTGAAAGCAGGATTCCGCTTATTTCTAGTAAATGCCTGCAGGATATTTATGTTTTCCGCGTTGGATACTATGGGAAAGTGCCTGAAATCTTGCTCAGGGAACTGGGCACCGTATCCAACTGTTGGTTATGGCAGGCTTTTGTCGGTTCCCAAAGAAACCGGGTAAATTCATTGGCAAGATTTAGTCACCGGAACACTGCTTCCATGAGGTTCCCGAAAAATCTTAGGACTGGCCGGTTCCGGACCGGTTTGTTTGACCTGGGTAGATCGTCGACTTTGAGTACTACTATCGTCAGAGGTTGAGAATTCAACGATTTTTTAGGTGAATAGATTAGCAATCGTTTTTCTAAAAAGTACATTTTTCTATTTTGGGCTATTCATTGATAGTGTCATTTCAACTGACGAAATAATCAACAACCATCGATACTCCATAGATTCACGATGATATTGAAGAGGTGACGACTGTTCCAGCTGACACGCACGAGGACTGCGTAATATGATTATCATCAAAATTTTTTGGGGAAGGCAAAGGAAAAAGAATATAGTAAAGGTTTTCGTACACACGAATTGGTACGAAAATTTGTTTCAATTGCAAAAAGACTTCGCAGGAACCGTATACTTTGAAGCTTTTGTTATGCAGTGGTTCTATTCCGAACCTTTTCACATAAATGAAATGCTTGAAAGTTGAATTCATGTATTCAACTATTACTTCAGTTATTCAATAAAGGTGAGGAGAACAGTGCATATGAGGGTATCATCTCTTTGAACCTGAGTGAAAATATGCTAATATAAATGTAATATTGGGAGACTGAACTGAAGCGTTTAACTATTATGCCTAAACATTTGAACTTTTCGACATTTCAGATTTTCAAGTATTCCAGTGGGTGCCTAAAACGGTGTTTCAATTTTCAATATTTCCTCGAACTAAATATCTGAATTCACCTTCAGAGTTTAGGACCATTGGAACATGAGTGCATATAAAATTCGATTTTTAATACTCCTTTCTTTAATTTCAGATTTGATAAATGATGGCTTCGTTGTCTTATTCAGCACGAAGAATACTCGATGTTCCCCGTTATATATCTAAATTAATGGCATATTCACAAGCCCGAAAAATAAATTCCACATCATCAACATCAGCCAGGGTATGATAACGATCTTTTCCCTACTTGTATAGGTTGAGGAGGTTTAAAATCTGAGAACGTTTTTAAATCCTTTTCACATATGATTTAATGCTAGCTCAGAAAAGTTATACCAGTTTCTTTATGAAAGTTATCGCAACTGTGAAAGACTCCGTTTCATCAATTTCAACGGTAAAATGATTCTAAAAATGACGTTGCTGACCATCCACCTAACGTGTGTATGTTTGAGTAGTTCCATTTATCATATTTTAAAGCTTCAGAAAACATTCTATCCGCGAAAGTGACATCAACAATGTATAAATCCTCATCGACGACATAGATTTTTGTTGAACTATATTCTAATAAAAGAAACTTTTAATGCCCCTCGCTCCTCAAGTATTACAGACGTGACCCATTAATTAACTGGCCAGCCACAGCCTTCGAGTAATCATAATCGCAATTGTATTTATATTTAGTATTCAGAGAGATGCTCAGTAATGTCTCGAAATATTGTTCATCGATGTAGCCCAAATAAATTGTCGAGAAAAAAATTAAACTTAAACATACTATATGTATCACAGAACACGTTTACTAAAACATCACTATTTTCGAACTTGCGACAGTTTCGTCGTGTTTCACATTTTTGAATCCTTTAGGGATTGCAATGAAAGCTATTCGCTACCCGAATTCTTTTAGTGTCACTGTGCATCAAAACTTTATATCTCAATCATAATAGATTAAAAAAGAATCTCTTAGAAATTTTGCTGATATAGTGACTTCCTATTTATGAGTAATATATGAATTTTAAACATTCCAACATTCTAGCTCCTCCATCTCTCGTTGATATGATTTTAGAAAATCACATACACGTTTTGCATTTCTGATAATAGCCAACAATCTTTTTCGACGAATCTACCTTCTGTTGAGATTAAGCCGAAGTAGTACAAAGGAATCGCCAGAGAAACTCTTCCAAAAAGTGATGAAAATCCGATGAATTCTCTTTAATATTTTGTTATAAACTCCTTGACAAAATTGAGCGCCCTTCCAAATTAAACAGTCCCTCTAAAATTTTCATCAGCTTTTCCATTAGACATGGCTCAGGGTCTTTTGGTTCGGAAATGGGTTTACACTTTCTCAAACAGATTTTTAGAACGTTTAAAAGATTAGTTTGCTATCTGCTTTGGGTAGGGATGCAACGGCGACGGCCCATCAGCCATCGGTCTTACTATCTACCGGTCTACCGTTGCATGCCTAGTCTCGGACTATTTACGGTAGGTGAGAGTGAGGGCAAGCGGAAGTTTCGTTTTGTAGAGGTGCGCGTAAATGTCGGTGAACCAGTTTAGAAAGCTAAACAGAATTGCTGCACAGTATGAGCTTTTAATTGAAGGAAATAATCTGTTCATCTGTAGATTATCAACTGAACAGCTAAAAGCAACTCAATATTTGACTTTTTTTTTAGAGTAACACAGAGTATCAAGTCGTCAGCTTAAAGGAGCGACCCGATCTTCGCGCATCTTACAATAAACTCAGTGTTGACTCATGGCCTAAGTTTTTCGAACTAGATCCTCAGGAAAAAGTAGAGGATATTTTATTCAAAGACTGGAGTCAATATCAGGTAGCGGTACTGAGTAAAGCAGGGAAGCTGTTAGGCATCGGGTTATCAGTTCCATTATTCTGGGATGGTAGCCTTCATACACTACCGTCCGGATGGGAAGCAGCTAAGCAAAAAGGTATCGAGGATCTAGTCGCTGGGAAGACCCCCACAGCAATCACAGCTTTCGCAATTCTGGTTGACAAAATGGTAAATAATCAAGGAATGAGTGGTATGATACTTCAGGCGATGCTGAATATGACTCGTTCTCATGGCTTTCATTCGCTCATGTCATGTGCGCGTCCTATTCTCAAAGTTAAATACCCTCTAATTCCTATAGAGCAGTATGCATACTGGACTAATGCATTTGGTGAACCATTTGATCCGTGGGTACGTTTGCATTGGCGCTTAGGAGCCAAGCTTGTAGGCGTTTCGCCATTGTCTTCAACCTATCAAGGTACAGTATCTCAGTGGGAAAAGTGCACGAATATGAAGTTTCCTGCAAGTGGCCAATACATTATCAACGACGGTCTCACGCCTCTAATCATTAATCGCGAACAGAATTTTGGCACCTATTACGACCCTAACGTGTGGATGTTATTCCGTACCTCATCAGCCACTACCTAAAGCAGTAAAACAGAAGCAGAACATTCTGGATAGCGCTTTCTCACAAACTTTTTGCATTTCTGTCTAACTTATTCTTCGTTCTGTAGGGTGATGGATTGCTAACCGATTATTATAAATTTTTAATGTTTTACACATTTTCTTTTTTAATCAGTACTTTTTGTGTACTCAAAAAGTGGGTATACTACTAGAAACGGCTCGTATGTCCGGCGGTCTGACCGTTTATATGACACATTTCGATAGAATGATTAGATTGAGCCGGATCGGTTTTACCACTGCTGACTCGCGGTGAAATATTCGTAGTTGTAAGAGGCATCGAACAAGAGCTAACAAGTCAGTGATAACGTGTGAATGAAATTGTACCCTAGTGTTTCTGTAGTTGAGAATGCCGCCAAATTTTTCATGGTGCTTCCCATGGGCATAGGGAGCATCAAGAGAGTAAGTATAGTCGCCATAATCTCGATTTCATCTCGGCTAATGGAATTACGAGATGGCTTTCTCGAATTCGAGATAACTGGACTCTATTATACATTAGTATAACCCAACCAATATGTATAATGATTAATTACGTGATGAAGTGTGAGTAAAAGAATAGTTTGTATGTTTGTTTGTGCCAGGGTCAAAGATCAGGAAAGTATTGTCGAAAAATCCATGATATATCGTTTGGGATCGGCTCAACGGAGCATGATACGATCAGTTCAAAGACCGTCCACAGCGTACTGAAGAGTCAATATGAAGCAAACATCTTCTCGTATGTGAAAGTTTTAGCTTTCAAGGACTTCATGCTGTAATATGCAGGTACCCTTGGTTCTTTCATCCTAGAGTAGTGGGAGCACTCTTGCGTTATTATATACTAGAGAGACGATTAGATTTCTACGGGATGAACCTGGACGACGTGACAACTTTTGGTGGAAGACACGCATTCGCTGGTGGAGCTACGCTTTCATTTATTGATTTCTCTCTAAAGTCGTACCATACTAAAACAAAACATATTTATACACTCATCCACTGAACGCAAGGAACGGAAGGGTAATCCGAATTGTATCGAAATTCACTGAGGTGAGGACAAATAGCGTGCGTATAGCGCATGTAACCGAGATCGGCACAAACGGTTATGTGTCTTTTTAATAAACATCGATCGACTGACTATCATAGTTGACAAAAATGAACAATAACCTGAATGACTAGAGGAGACTTCGGAGGGCTAGTCAGGAGTGGCGCTCCGCAGGAGCGCCGACAGACGACTAGTCACTCTCGAAGGTACTTCTTTTGTTAGAGTGTACCGCACACGCTCATGAGCCCTCATATGAGCGTTTTCTTTTTAAAATGTCAATAATCAAAATAAAATCACTCACGTAAATGTTCTAATTGTAACGATGCCATAGTAGTAAGCGTAATTGAAAGAACAAAAATAGTATTGATTAAAAACGCCGATTAGCACTCTCCTATACCTCTTAGTAAAATTTTATGTATTAAATAGAGAGAAGAGCAACTCCAACTTCGATTCAACTCCTGTATGATGGGCATCTATACTGCGGGAATGAGAACCATTCTTAACGAATATACGAGCACATGTACATGTCGAGATAAAAGCTTAATAAGAGGCGACGAGAGAAAAACGAAAGAAGACATCGTATATCTGATCTGTGCGTCATTCGTTAGAAGAAATTCTAGGCGAGGGGCACACAGTACTGAATTTATACTTTCGCATTGCGTATTGAAAAAGACTGGCGTCATCATCAGATACGATGTTTATTGACCTGTTTCTACCATTATCCGATGTACAATCATCTTCTTCCATCGATGACAATATGACCTGGGCGTCTTGCACACCTAAAACAAAAAATAGTCATCAAGGCCTTGAACAATACCATATTGGGTAAATCATGTCTAATACGAATTGAATTTTATAGAGATTCAATAGAAATCAAAGGTGATTCTCAACATATTATCGATAGGTTATTACAACATGGATATCGTCCAGATGGAATTGCTTATTTATCAGTACTAATTGATGCAGCATTACTCAAGAAACGAAAATTATGCGAAAAAAAATTAAAGTTTACGACAACCAACACAATCCACATTTAATGAATTAGCATCACATTTATTTTGTGATGTTTTCAGAAAGAGTACCAGTTAGAGAACAAAGCCAAACGATTAGATGAACAAGTACAAAAGAAGCATTTAGATTACTCAAATTTAAATAAATTTCAATATTTACAACGTTCAACGATATCATTAAAATATTCATCTTATGTTTATTCAATATCTGAAGAATACTTTAGTGCGACAATGAAAACTCCATTCACAACTCGATTAGAAGAACTAGGTGATATTGTGCGTTTAATTTGTGCGATTATACAAATAATTATTGGCGATGTTGATAATTTAGATGAAAGTCAAAAAAATATTTTAGAACTTAAACGAAGACAAATTGTCACAAAGAATAATAAATCTTTTCAAGTATCACAATTAACAATGCAGACTATTGGTGATTTAGTCACGATATTTGGTCTCATACCAAAATTTTTAGTTGATAATGATTTAATAGCTCTAGAAAATAAATTCTTGCGTGAAAATATTAGTATTATGTTGGTTGGAAATATTACAATTAATTGTGAATATATTGAAAGCATTTCAAAGAACATCAGAACAATTTCAAGTATTTTATGAGTTCTCGAATATGGAAACTATTCTAACGCAAAAATAATATACTGAAAAAGTCATCGAATTATATACAAATGAAGTATTAAAAACTGAAATGCAGCATATGATGGTTAACGATGGTATTAACACTAATAATATTGATGATTGGTTTAATGAACATTCCTCTAATGAACGATGGATTTTATCTGAAGTACATTTACCAATTTTATTACATATTTTCAAAGTTAAAATTCATATTTGTTCGCCATAGTAATAATACATTTAATTCATCAAATATATATATGCGTTGTATTAGATGATGAAAAGAAACTGCATGGTTTGTTTATTTAAAACCTGTGAATTAAAATTAAATTATTTACTAGATCAGTTACATTCGGTCACAGACAACCAAGCCAAAAATCGATTTATAGCATCAAATCGCTTTACATTAGCGTTTCAAAGTTGAATTTAATGAAAACATTCATCGATTGAAAGCTTTACCCATATGGGGGGTAATGCGAAAGAGAATTATTTCATCATCATTCAATTAGATAAACATGATTTAAAAGCATCATTTGGTCATGAACGTTGTCTTATTATGCTTAGTAAATGGGAAAAAGGAACGGAACTTATACGTGAATTACTGAAGATACATAAGGATTCTAGTGAAACATGATATTTATCAGGTTTGACGTATCGAAAACTACGCGACTATATAAAAAGGCAAAGTATGAACTTCAATAAGTACTTAGTATATCACCAGACTATGAAGATGCTGTTAAGGAATCACGAATAATCAAATCACTACAAGCTGAGTTTAGAAGAGAACTTTGAATAAAAAACATGAAAGAAAAAGATTATAACTTATTTCTATTCAAAGACTCATTAACGTTGTAAGCATGGTTTTCTTTCTTTGACATTTTTGATCTCGACACATAATTAATTTTAAGGTTGGTCCATTCGATTATAAAAGCAGGTCTCTTTTCACTAACAAAAGTTATTTTTCTTTGTGTGTGTAATAGAGTAACAATCATACTGTAGAAGCATTGCATCTTTTTATTGTTACTTACTTTTAATCGTCCTTAACCATAAACGAAGAACTGGAAATTCAACAATAAAATGATAATTGCTATTATTTTACATGTCAAAGTGAGATACTTCAACATATATTACTTGATTTACATAGTGAAAGAGGACTAAATATTTCTCTTCATATTCATTTTCTTTCCAAAGACATTCAACAACATGTCATCATTGAATTTTCAATTAAATATTGTTCAACAATATTTAACAAGATATGGAATGACAATCTACACTATTCTTGGTGATCTGGGATTGATATTGAATATATTCTTTTTTCTTCAAACAAATCATCGTCATAATTCTTGTTCGCTTTATAAATTGTCGATGTCAATCTGTGGTTTCATTGGTTTGAATAGTGCTGTTATACCGATTATTTATTCATCCTACAATCCTGATTTGTTTATATCTTCTCTATTTTTCTGTCGATTTTCTTATTATTTTCGACATGCATTTAGTCAAATGATGCGAACATTTATTGTTTTATCTTGTTGGGATCACTATTTCGTTTGCAAAAACAAACGATTTCTTTTTTCAACAAGTCTCTATCAAATTAGCATTCGACTAATTCCAAGTGTTATTTTATTTTGGCTTTTTCTTGCTATTTATCCAACAATGTTATATTCTATTGATGAAAACGTCTGTGATGCAACGAAACATATTGATGAAATTATGTATACAATTTATATTTTTATTGTTCTCGGCATTTTTCCATTAGTAAGTTTAATTACCTTTGGATTATTAATTCGAATCAATTTACAACATAAACGTACACGTATTCAACCAGCGGATCATCCAACTCGATCGATACATATTCTTCATAATCGAGATCGAGATATGATAAGATTATTATCGATTGAATTACTTATTTATACTTGTACAACTTTACCAAATACAATGATATTGATATATAAAAGTATTTCAAATTCAACAGTGAACAATCTCGAATATCATCGTACTAAATCATTTGTTTTTTATTTCACACGTTCGTTTTTATTGTATTTAAATAATGGATTATCATTTTGGATTTACATATCGGTATCACATTCATTTCGAATGGAATTCAAGCAATTAATATCGAAATTTATCACTAAGAATAGAAAACATCATTGAAGGATTTGAATTGATATCTTCTATTGAACAAATCATAATTATTTAATAAACGGTATTAGAAAATGTCAACTGGAAGTTTTACATCAATTGAAAACTAAGTTGAAAATGAGGGAGAAGATCTCTAACCAAACCTGTACTTCTTGTATACTCTCACACTCGGGACAAGAAAAAATAAACGTACATGTATCGTCACACGTTAAACGTTGCGTGTAAATTTTTATGTGAAAACATTTAAGTTGTGTTGAAATAAAATATCATCTCATTTTTTATTAATAAAATTTTATAGTACAATCGAGAAAGATTATTGTTGTTCTATTGACCAAAAAAAGATATACAAGTTTAGTTTTCGTTCATACTTCTGGAAAAGCTTGTATATTAATGAAATAAATATTGGTCCCATGACGGCCTCTTTCGATTCATACTGCGAAAGGACAGAATAGTTTCGAATTACATAATGATTGCGAAAGTACACATTATCGTATTTATTAATGAAAAAAAATCTCCTATGAAGAACAATTCATTGACAGTGCTTCTGAATGGGTGATGATAGTTTAACACTTATTTCTGTAATTTACTACTTTTTTCCGAATATCGTGTGTTTGTTTATAACTCCTCTTTGTTTATCCACTTTTATTATTGGTATAGTAAATATCAATTCGTGTTCAATTCAACCACTTATTCCTATTTGGATAACTATAACTGGTTCTATATTATTTCTACCAACATTTGCAGCTTTTATCTTTGTAAGTCTGATATAGCGATGGTTTTCGTAATCAAATATTTCTTTGAAGATCATACTCTGTTTTCCATGTTGTTATTGTTCCTGTTGTGATGAAAAAATTTATTACAAATCAGCAACTCTTGTGTTATTTGCTACAGGTGTACTTTTAGGAATATGGGCCATTCCGGTAAGTAGTATATCCGCATTTTATATAATCATACACAACTTAAATGGAATATCTTTTTTCAATAAATTTATCTATGATAGTTTTCGTTTAAGTACATTGAATAACTTAGAGTTGATATGAGAAGACTATAGTTATAAACTCGTATTGAATGTTTCATCAGAAAAGTCCTGTATGAACTAGTTATAAGTTTATTGTGTGATCGTATTTTCGAAGATTCGCAGAGACATGACCATAAAATAACAACCATGTTCTATATACTTTGTAAAATTGTATATATACACGCAAAAGAAGTCTATTTTAACTTTAGTCATACTACTTACAATGTACGGCTTATAGTATCTGACGAATCAAAATTTGTTTTTGGCCTTTTTTTAATGTAGTTCCGAAATAAATAGAAACAATATTTATTGAAAATATTTTGTATTTCAATAATTGGTATTGACAGCAATAGCCTTACTCATTTATCTTAATATAATTAAGATTTTCCATTTCAGGGTACGATCTGGACGTTTAGCGTACGAAATCGCTTTATGTCTGCCAGTAAACCTATGACAGACGCTGACTGTCGACAGTCGATATATTATTTTGCTCTTGTTTATTCGCTCATCATCGATGTATTGGTCACGTTTGGTTTGATTTTATGTTTGATATTGATTTTTCGAAAAATCAAAAACGACTATCGTCTTAAATATTCAATTGTGGATGTTTCTTAAAAAGCTAAAAACAAGAATATATTCATCAATATGCTCGTATATTGGTTAGATCAATCAATAAATAGAAGCTGAGTTTAATACAAATAATATGAACTTTTTTTGATATTTGTTAACTTTTTCTTTTAATGGTAAATAAATTTCAGTTATTGTCAATGAATATTTTCAAGTTCAAACCAAGCAGATCAGTTTATTCATCAGAAAGAGCCGAGTTTGATCGAATCTTAATAAATTATTGGAAAAGCTTGTGTGTTAATCAAAATAATACGAAAAAGTCTGTCCTTCTCTATAGTAAAATCGTACTGAACGATGTCGACAAGAGTGTGAAGGATTATTTAAGCGCTCACAGTTACTCATACCTCAACAAGTACTATTTATTTCTATCGACAACTGTTCGAAACAACTTTTCAATATCTTCAAACTCGCTAAACAGAGAACTTTGTCAAAATATAGAGGGTACAAATTAAACGAACAGTGAATCATCACTTTTTTTGTCAGTAGGGCGCAAAACAAAATTGTCGATGAACTTGTCAATGCTCTTTCCACAAGAGTGTGAAATGGCAAAACCTTTTTGTGTTATTTATTTGCTTCGTTTCAATATAAGTCTAGAGAGAGGTAATTGGGATATGTAATCATATTGGTACGGTGTAATCTGTGAATATGATTGAATAAAAATCACCGCTAGCGTGACTACGTCTTTGAGCAAAGTTTATTACTTGTTTTACACCGATTTAGTTATCAGGACGAGTGGGTTCCAAGCCAATCCCATGTAACTCTGAAACGCAAGATAAATGCGTTTTCAAAAGTTGATGCATTCAAACGCGTCTGAAATCAGAAACTTTTTTTCCTTCAGGAGTCTTTGAAAATCCATTTTCAATAATACTGTCTTTTAAAAACTTCGTTTATTTACTCTACTGGATCTTATCTTTTTTATGTCGAAACAGTTAGCCTGTTCATTTGGCATTACCGGCGGTCAACGGTTTTGATTCTAATTCATGAAAAGCATTTTAATTGTGAAACAGAATTTGTACGAGTAAAATGATAATGGAAAATAACAACTGATCAATAATATAAACAAAACTCACTGTGTTCACTGAGAATCGTGATTATTAATGACTAATATTCAAATAATTTCTCACTCAACAAACAGAGATTTCACTAATACATCGAATTATTCGTCTTAACTGAGAGCACGAACAAAGCTATTCTATCTGCGTTATCTCATAGGAAAAATCTAAATTTTATCGTTATAAAGCTATCGAACGTGCGAATTATTAATTAATATTCAGACATATTCAAGATATTTGGTACAATTGATTTCACTATAGGTAAATTCTTGACGATTATCTTCTTAAAGGAGGAATCTACCTTATTCATAAATAAGCCAGTGTAGTGCAATAGTCTAAGTAAGTAGACTTTGTAATTGAAAGGTCTTATGATCTAATCTCACTCGTCGAACAATCTAAATGTATGTATAGAAATCGAATACATGTTCTATTCGAAGAGATGACCATCAGGAAAGAACAATGGTGACACTTATGGTCAAAACTGTATGAATAGGATGCTTTTTTAGGAAAAAAAATATGAATCGCGTTTACACTCAAAAAACTTTCACATGGAATAATTGATAATTTCAATATTCTCCTAATTTGTGCATGAAATTCGAAGAAGAAAAAAATGACTAAGTGGATACTTTATCCTTTCATCTCGTTTAAGCACTCTTCAGAGAAAAATATCAAAAGTCGTCTTCATTTGATTCTATTTCATTCACTTCTCGACTAGAATAGAAACATCTACACGATTCAGTTACTCCGTCTATCTTCTGCAAAGTACTTTTCTTTAAATATGAATAACACGACGACAACAATTTCAGTACCTGTTCATGGTTTTTACCCGTCTCGTCCGATTCAATTCGGCATTTTACTAAGTTTAACAATTTTATCCATTCCATGTTTCACGTTTGTATTCTATCACACTCTTTGCAATCGAACATTCTATCGTGTATTGGGTAATCATGTCATTATACTTTTATTAATCAGTAACAGTATTCAAACATTTACTGATGTTCCAATGCGTTTAAGCTATTATTTTACTGGAACGATTTGGCCACGTACTGTCCATTATTGTTACTTTTATTATTTCATCGATTTTTACCTTTTTACGACATGCTTTTTGTTGATAACATGGGCATCGTTTGAACGACATATTTTCATCTTTCATCCTCAATTCTTCAATCGATTTTCAGCACGTGTCATTGGTCATTACATTCCATTGACTTTTTGTATTGTTTATCCACTCATTTATTACACAATATTCATCTTCTTTTATCCTTGCAAAAGTTATTACGATGAAGAAACTTCACTTTGTGTTGCCGCTTGTTATCTATGGGTGAGTACAGTGATGGCACTGTACGAACAGATTGCTCATGGCTTTGCATTGATGTTTTTGATCTTTATGTTCAACATAATGCTTTTCTTTCGCATCATTCGTCAAAAACGGCGAATGGGTAGACAAATGACATGGAACAAAAATCGAAACATGGCGATACAATTATTTAGTATTTGTTTTCTGCTTTTTCTGACCAATGGAGGATATTTTCTGGTTCAATTGGGACAAATGCTGTGGAATCCGAAGTTTGGACAAGAATTTCTTAAATGGCTCTTTCCACTGTCAATGTGCATGCCGCCGTTGACTCCATTGATGTGTCTGCATACAATACACAATCTGACAGAGAAAATCAAAAGATTTGTTTATTGTGGAAAGCACAATGCTGTGGCACCTTTAACAGCGACCAATGCGAAACATATGACATTGACAAACATACGACGTCATTATTGAGATATGCTTTTTTTTGTTTGTAACACGCTACCCCATACAGTTTTGTCTATTCTTTGTTTGATGTGAGAAAAACAAAACACATGTTCAGAAGACATTGTCCTTTTCCTAACTATTCTTTTCTCCTTTTATTTTATGCTTGTTTGAATGACATTTCTTCAAATAAATTTTTCGCATAGAAAAGAAGGCTGATATGATTCACATAATCTAAATGAAAAAATTTCCTACAAGAAAATAACAATGTCACAAATGAAAAGCATTCAACTTCCGGCACTGAAAGCATCCACACATGATGAAAAGAAAGAAAATCAAATTCAAAAGAGTTTACCTTTTGAAACTATTTCGAATCTTAACATGATGGTATTTTTTATTTAAGTTATTTTCATTGATATGTACTCTGACTCATACACTCATAATATCTGTACTTTGCTTCAAAACAAACACTAAATTTTTTTGTCGAATAAAAAAAGAGAAGAGAACAAGGACGTCCGCTCGAGAACGTATTGTAGAAAATAATACTTTTACATGCCTATTATGATTAAGATTGTTTCTTAGTTACGATGATGACGAAGCAAAATTATTTCTTTTCTCTCTCGTTTTGACCGAAAGGATACGCCGTATTTAATGCTAGAAAGAAGTAAATGTTTTCTTTCATTAAGACAGGTACAGGTGTTCTTCTGATTCAGATGGGTAAATACAGGCAAAATCATGCTTTTTTCACGCGCTCAAAAGTGCACAATCTTTTTAATAATTGTGTTTACTTGAATGAATGCAGTATTCATCTAGTTTGTTTTAGAAGGAATCGGATTTATAATGGAATGAGCGAATCTTGTTCGATATTCAAATATCTTACAAGTTTAATTCTACGAAAGTATCAATAAGTGATGAGAATGTTTGTCATCCTGTTAAATTTATAAGTCGAACTGTCCTCGGTAATTAGAATAGCAAAATCAATTCGATTTTGCTGTTGATTTGCTACACATTTTCTCTTCAATAAATCGTTTTATGTAAAAACAAAGAATGGTTTATCATTTTAAAATGATTCATGCAATTTTCAGCATTTACAAATCAAAGCCAATACTACACATCAGATTTTGACAGACGGATGTGAGAACATGAAAATTAGCTGCAATTAGTCTTGAATATCCATACCGGTTTTTCTTTTATATCCTCACTCTCTACTAGTATTTCAGATCTTTTTATAATTATTTTGTGTTCAGATATCATCTAAATCTCAAACGAGTATGGCTGATATGTCTGTATATGGATATCAACCATCATTAGGTGTTGGTATTACAGGCTTGACGCTCTTCACGCTTTCAACTTGTGTTCATATCTATCAGATGTGTAAAGTTCGTATGTGGTGGCTTGTTGTGCTAATACTTGGGGGAATAACGGAAATGATTGGCTATGCCGCACGTATCTATTCATGGCACGACGATACTAATCTTGATGCTTTTCTTGCTCAAACTGTCACTCTCATCATTGCACCATCATTCTTTTCAGCTGCTCTGTATGTTGCTTTTGGTCAAATAATACATATTCTTGGTCGACAATATTCTCTATTACCACCATTATGGTATACTATTATATTTGTCATTGCTGATGTAATCTCTCTGATTGTGCAAGCAGTTGGTGGAGGGCAAGCTGCTGATGCTGCTAGAACAAATGCTGACACAACTAATGGAACTAATATTATGGTTGCTGGTATATGCTTTCAAATGTTCAGTATGTCAATCTATGTAATTCTTGTCATCATCTATATTATTCGACTATTAAAAGCAAAGGTAGAATTAACAAGAGATATGAAAATATTTCTTAGCAGCATAAGTCTTGTAACATTGATGATCTTTATTCGCTGTATTTATCGTACAATCGAATTATCAGCTGGTTGGACCGGTTATATTATTACTCATGAAGTATACTTTGCATGCCTAGACGGTTTACCAATGATAATTGCATTAATAACATTCAATATCTTTCATCCAGGCCAATATATTAAGAATACAAATCAAGTAAATGCATTGAAAGCGGATATTCCATTGTGATAGATCTTTTCATATTGTTCTTTTATACAAATCTGAGTTTAGAGAGACACACGTTTGACTTTGCCACTCTCATTAAAAAGAAGTATCTCATTACCGTATAATTATGATTCTTTCAAGATAAACCAACAGTATATACACTCGATTCACTCTAAACTGAACATTCTGTGAGCCATAGAAATTCGTTCAGATGAAAGAAAACCATCATAACGAGAAATTGAAAAACATCTAGTATTCATTTCTTTCGCAAAAAACGTATCTAATAACCACATCTAGGAACTGATGTAATTCTAGCTCATTTCATCGTCGTGTTTCACAATGAACAGTTTCTCTTCTAGTCAAACACATATAATAACGATTTCAACGATGTTTTTCTCTGAAACAGACACTCATCGGAGAAATCAATTGAATTCACTAGCACTAGGAAAGCTTTCTTTGAAAACCCAGACCTAATGATTACTGTCGCCTTTTAATGGAATTATGAATAATTATAGAAAAGAAAACTGATTATGTTAAACTTATCTACAATTTTAGCGTGCATAAAAATCGAAATTAATTGAAAAAAATCTAGAAGAAAAGAAAATATCTCATCGATTCGTAATAAAATATGTATTGTATAATTCTCTTATAAAGTAGAAATGAAATTTCTCATCTTTATAATCCAAAAAGACATTAATGTGAAGCTAACAGCACGAAGTACAAAATCTTATGTTCAAATGAGTTTTTGTCCATGAAAACGAATTCATTCAATGTGGAATCAAATTCTGAATCGAATAGACTAGTTTTATGGATGGAACCTATTTAGTAAAAACATTTTCACCTAAACCATTATCTCGTCGTGCTAGCTTCACCCCAATTATGCAATCATTGAGTCCGTTTTTTAAGATGAGTATAAGAATTATAAATACATTTGATTTTACGATATAGTGGTCAAAATAAGTCATACGGTTATATGCATATAAAAGCCTTAAAGAACACTGGTAGCAAAATAGGAAAATACTTGGATGCAATATTCTTATTAGATAGTTTGAAAATTACTTTAAAGGAGTATAGTATTCCAATTATTCTTATTGAGAAATATCAAATGAGTTCGTGATCATGTTGAGAGATAAAGAATAGAGAGCAAAAGAGAAACCAATTCGTTAATGAACTAGATCATTCATGCTAATATTCGATGAAGAATATTAGTGTTGGTAATGTCTTGTATTTTCCTTGTAGATGACACTACTTTGGCATAAAAATAACAGAAAGATAGATCACAGGAGAACCTAATGAAAATCGACTTGATTTCTCCCTGTCTCGCTCTTCTCTGATTCAGCTCACATGTAGATTGAGGATTGAAGTCAATCCATATCGCAAAAAATGATAAATATTATTTAAAAAAAGGTGAAGAAATCATTTTCAAGTGAATAAAAAAGTAAAGTATTTTTCACTTCAAAGTCTCGTATGCAAACAAACGGAAAAACACAAATCTTAACCATCAATGTTAGCATAAAATTTACCGGCACCGCCACCACTTTGATATAACCAAAATGAGATTGTATATGTGTCACCAATTGTTGCTGAAAATGATTGGGCAAGGTAATCGTAAATAGGATGCTGACAATGGTCCTTATAACAATTGCCAGAATGGCAAGAACTAGTTGATACTTGACCTTCGTTTCCGCTACCACACCCAGATGTGCACCATGTAGTCCAACCATTTAATGCTACTGTTGAATTTTCGAAATCGGGATTCTGAATCAATTCAATTGAAGGTATATTAACGTTAACAACAGATACAGTATCCAAATAATTTGTGTCTGCTCCACCATTGGTAAATCCAAATGTTAATGTAGGAGCTGTAGTTGACGCAGTATAATTGAATGAATAGAGAGCCCATGAACTGCCACCGTTGCTTTGTAATAAATTACTGGAAGGAACTGATGTGCACGATGCTAAAATACAAATGAATAGACAAATGACACATTTCAAAACATTCTACACTTACTTGTTGTTGATGTTGTTTGTGCTATAATCAATTAATTAAAACAAAAGAACAGAAATTTAGTCGTACTAGTAAGATTGAAAAAAAAACATGATACGATTAACTTCAATCACTAGCTGATATTCTACTATTCAAGATCGATATTATGATTTTAACCTGACATACATGTGGATGTTGTGGAGCCTACGAAAAAGAAATTAAAAATACTAAATTAATATTTTATTTAGATTATAATTACTTGTTGATGTTGATGTCGAGCTTGTCGACGATGTGGAACTTGTAGTCGTTGTCGTAGCTAAACAAATGGTTTTTAGATCGTGAAGATATAGATGTGAATTTATATGAGATAGACACTCTTCTTTTTTCAATTCAGTTATATTCTCATGGATTTTGTGTACAGTACGAAAGAAAATCGTAGGATTCTGCTTCACTCGCATCTTTAAATTGCTGAGAAATCCACATTATTATGAAACAAAAAATTACTTGTAGCTGTAGTCGTAGTCGTAGTTGTTGTCGTACTCTTCTCTGATAATCAGAACAAAAAATAATACTATAAAAGCTACATAAAACAAAATATCACATACGAGGGACAGCAAGCGCAATAATACAAGCAATTAAAGATAAAATTATAACTGTAATGAATGAACAGCCAAACAAATAAATCAATCGACGATAAAATTTATTTCTAAGCAAAATCAAAATAATATTTCTATGATTAATTTGAATGATTCTTATTCATACAATTACCTTTGCCGAGTTTTATTATTGTTTATTGTTGGCTTTTTGAACATTTCTTCTTGAGAAGATCTTAGCTGAGACGGTGTCAGAGTCCGCTCATATTCTCGAAGGCTTGGGCTCGGCTAAACAAATACAAATGATATGAATTATGATTAAATTGAATCATTAAATAAGAACAAACTGAAATAGTGTTCGAAGTTCTACCCGTTTGTTCCTAAAAAAATAATACATATACAGATATGCTCGACAGCATTCAAAACTAACCGGTTGAGTTTCAGGATATAAATTACTTTCTTGAAGAATCACTCTAGATTTCCTTGGATGCTCTTCTCGGATGCTCAGTAGGTATACAACTTGTTGGCCAGGCATTGTTTTCATTTACTGTATTTCTTTTCGAATGAGCAATTCGTTTTTTTTATGCTTATTATTAATTTTAATTAATTTATTCTATTCTCGAATCCTTTCATGTTTATAGGCAGTGCGTGAGAAAGCATCATAATGTATTGATGCAATCATATCCTAGACGAAGTTTTTCCTTCAGAGCGCATGATCAAAAAAGTTTGAGTAGGGTGGATTATTTGATAAATATACAATTGATTTTGTTGTACGCCATCCACGAGATAAAGAAACTCTTTGATTCTACGATCAAATTAAATCGTAGGATAAAAGTGCATTCTCGTGAAAAATCAAATATGAAACTTACATGTCTTCGTTGACTTAATATAAACATACAAAGTTGGATTCATGATCCGATTGTACTTTTTTCAAACAAGTTATTAATATACCCATAACGAATGAGTTTCTCATGGCATGATCTATATACTTAAAATTTTTTTTTTAGGACTTGGATCATATAATTCTATGCAGAACTCGGTGAAAAGAGTATTATTGTAGCGCTGAATCAGTACAATTATTGTTGATTCGTTCGTTCTGTAGAGAATTACACGATCTAACTTCTGAAAAAAAAACAAGCATTTAAGCTAAAATATTCAAAACTCATTTATTATGGATATTATTTGACCTAAATACATGATCACGAGTGAAAACGATGAAGAACGTCAAAAACAGTAGAAAATAAATATTCTTTTTTAGGCGTGTATTTTATTTTTTGCAGTAAAGTGTGTATTAATTACGAATCGAAAAGAAATAGCCGTTAGAATGATTCGTATTTGTTCAAAACTTGGTCTAATATTGGTTGCTATTTTCTATCTTGATAGTGAGGTTGTATGAGAAATGTTTAAAGTATCGATTAGGGTATCGGTGAAAATGAAAGTAAGATGCATGATGAACGGGTTCAGTTGAAAATACACATCATAGGATGTAAATGTGGTTGGTTGTGTCTGTAGTGACGATGAAGAGATGAATAAGTGTGAAGAATATCCTGAGAGTAAAAATGAGTTCAATGGGCGAACTCCTGTAGTTCAGAATGAACCTTAGTGAAACGGTCAGTTTTAGTTATTTTTGATAGCACAGAAATGAGCTTCGGTAGTGTCACGGTTATTGATCTTTCTGTCTGCTACAGTTTTCCAACGTGTGAAACGTTCGATAGAGTTACTTTTTAATTGCCACCAGGGTAATCTCTCTAGTCTATTATAAAGCTTCCGATGAAATCAACAGAGTATATGCTGAATATAAACACAAAACAACAGAGTAAAGACAAGTGTAAAATTATTTAGGTATTTCTTGCTTTCACTCTCAAGATGATCGTAAGCGTCTCTTTATGAAGTATTTCCTTTCTTCCTTGACTTCAAAGCTGTCTGGGCAAAATATAAGAACGTTTCCATGTTTTCCTTCTTTCACATAGACATAACCGAGTTTTTCACAAACCGCTATAACTCTTGAATCGTCTTCAGGAAGAATATTTCTCCAAATTCCCAATCCTTTTTCGAAATAACAACGTTCTTTTAAAAGATCGCTCATATTCTCATACACCAAGCCAATATTGACATAGGATATAGCCAAACTAGGATGGTTCGGTGGAAGTAATTTCAATTGAATCGCAAGCGCTTTCTCATGATATTCAAGCGCACTAACGCAATTTCCGAGTTCACGGTAGGTCATACCAATATTGACATATGATGCAGCCACGCTAAGATGATTCGGTGAAAGCGATTTGTTTTTGATAGCAAGTGCTTTTTCATGATATTCGAGTGCGCTCGTGTAATTCCCCATTTCATGATATATCAGACCAATATTCGTGTAAGAATCAGCTATATTAGCCAAACTTGGCGGAAGTGATTCTCTCTTGATCGCAAGTGCCTTCTCATGATATTCAAGTGCACTCGTGTAATCACCCATTCCTTGATGCACCAAACCAATGTTCGTGTAAGAATCAGCTAAACTAGGATGTTTTAGTGGAAGTGATTCGTTTTTGATCGCAAGTGCTTTTCTTTGATACTCAAGTGCACTAACGTAATTACCCATCTCGCGGTGCACTAGACCAATGTTCGTGTAGGAATCAGCTAAACTAGGATGTTTTGATGGAAGTAATTCTGTCCTAATTGCCAGCGCTTTCTCATGATATTCAAGCGCATTAGCATAATTACCCATATCATGATATACTACACCAATGTTAGTATAGGATGCAGCCAGAGTAGGATGATTCAGTGGAAGAGATTCTGCTTCAATCGCAAGTGCCTTCGTATGACATTCAAGTGCACTGGTGAAATTGCCCATCTCACGGTACACCACACCAATGTTAGTATAAGATGCAGCCATACTAGGATGATTCGGCGGAAGTGATTCTGCTTGAATTGCAAGTGCTGTTTCATGACATTCAAGTGCACCAACGTAGTTACCCATCTCTCGATGCACTACACCAATATTGGTATAGGTTGCAGCCAAGCTAGAATGGTTCGGTGAAAATAATTTTCTCTTAATCATAAGTGCTTTCCGGTGATATTCAAGTGCACTAGCGTAGTTACCCATTCTATAATGCACTAGGCCCATGTTCGTGTAGGAATCAGCCAAACCAGGAAGATTGGGTGGAAGTGATTCTGCTGGAATCATGAGTATTTCCTCATCATGTACCTGACCCATGTTAGTATAGGGTGCAGTCGAACTAGGATAACTCGGTGAAAAGGATGCTATTCTATTTGAAAATACTTCTTGATACAATGCAAGAGCTTCTGAGTATTTTCCTTGCTCGAGTTTTATTGTGCCAAGTTGATTAGAAATTTTCTGTGCTTCATGATTACTAAAATTGTCGTTGAGTAACGATTGAGAAATAGGTTCTGCTGCATTTTGTTGTCCAACGTCTATCAGCAATTGCGCCAATCGAAACCAGTTTTGACCGTGAAGATAACTTTCTTGCTTAATAAATTGTGTAAGTTCATATAGATCGTTATCGTTATCACTGGTGAGTGATAAATCAACTTTATATATTCTATTACCGTCACCGATTGATTCAATTTCGTTTATACGGAATATTGTATGCATCGAAAAGAGAATTTCTTTTTCGTCCTGATAGTTACTCATCGTGTGTATCGAAGCAAATGGTGTCGTTGATTGAGTAGGAACTATCTTCATAACAAAGATAACTCCTACATGATCCGGAATTACCGCATTGCTTTCACCAAACATCTGTGCCACGGCACAGTCTCTAGAAGTAGACAAAAAATTGTTGAATGATATCAGTCCACGTTTGGCTTTTATTAGCTGATCAAATTTTGGTTTGGATAATGCTTGGCCCCGGTAGACTGTAAACGACTCATTAGAAGAATTAGCAGCATACTGTTCTTTGTGCAGTTGTTCGATATTTCGATGAAGATCAGTGATAAAGAATCCCATTTGCCTGATAATATCTCCATCCATCACTCTCAAGGAACGATTAAGCATAGGATAGAGAAAATCATAGTAACTGTAGCACCATACAGGTGATTTTTTATTGTATTCATATTCGAATTGTCGAATGCTGATTAAAGTCTGAGGTTTGTCAGCATATATATCGCAACAATAGTTGCAATATTCTTTGATATGTTCTTCTTTGTATTCGATAGTCAACAAGATGTCCTTCATAATTTGTGTATACATAAAAGATGGATCCAATTTGTTCAGTTTCTCACCAGGCATTACAAAACTGATAGGTATATCGTTCTGTTGACATTGATGGCTTAATTGTTTGAGTGCTTTACAAAGAATCGTTACTTCTGTGAAAACATCTGTTACTTTTGACCATTCTTTCTTCCATTCGTTATCGTATGTGGTAGAATTACCGAAAACGAAAATATAATGCAGATGCGAAAGTTCATGTATACAAGGTATTGTATATTGTGCCAGAGACGTTGCGATAATCAAACAGACTCTATTATCTGTAATGTTAGTAATATAATCAACACATTCATCACTATCGTCAAAAATATTGACAGAACTAACAATTTGTTGAAGTTGTTGAATTGAATCTTGACAATTTGTGTCGTTAGTTTTCAACCAAATAAAGATGGTGTCTTGTGTCTTTTGAAAATTGAAACGTCGTTGTATGATATCATTGTCATTGTTGATATATTGGAATTGTTTGACTTTTTCTGTGTTGCTCGATGAATTTGTTTTTGGAAGTTTCCAGCTTTCCATGAGTTATCGTAAATGAAAGTGTGTAAAAGTTATGTTTATAAATAAAATAAGCAAAATGATTTCATTTAGATAGTCAATACTTCCTTTTGGTATTTTTCATCTTCATTTTTATCTTTCCTATACAATTGATAAATGTAACGAATCGAAAAAAATCAAGATTGTCACAGTTGACTAACTCACAGCAGAAAATTACATATAATGCTTGTCATAGGCAATCGAAATATATAAATAGATTCTTTTTCTTCTTCAAATTGATGTCTTTCATAGAAATGTATAATCTAGATTTAAGTATTATCATTTATCAGTGATTACCGTACGTTAGGATGAAAGTAATCGCAATGAATAGCTCGAAAATAATTATGCGAAATACAATATCAATTTATCAACGTCTACATAGACAATATATGAAAGTTTCATGTCATGTAGATACTGGTCGTATGAAAGAAGAAATGTTTTGCAGCAAACAGTTAAGAATTTTAAATTCGACACAAAATCGCGGAATTAAGTCTCGAAATACATTGATGGTAAGTCGAAACTTGTCAATAACAGCCACTGGGAAACTTTCCAAAAGAATCGTATCATACTGCACGGATGAGAATTGAGATGAGATATAGATTAGTTGCGATATTGGGGAGTGAATGAAAGTATGAATATAATAACCGCGAATACAATACAAGGTATTTTTACTTTTATCAATAAAGATTATTAAGTGATAAGATTCTAGTATTAAAAGATTTATAAAAAATTCAATGAAACTGATTGTTTTGTGGAAATATGGGTGAAAGTTTCAGTCGCTGCGACTTAAGTTGTACACTTGTTAATTTGCCGATTCTTTCGATCTTATGATCATTTGTCGGTTTTATTTGTGTTAAAAGCTACCTTTAAATAGTAAGTAATGAACATCTTCTACAAATAATGTCAACAATGGAAGCTTTGAATTGCTTTTATCAAAAAAAGGATGCTCGAGTTCATTTGCCATCGATAATTCTTTCCTGGATGACGAGTATGTTGTGTTCCTGTCTCGTACATAGTGCGACAATAAAACATTATTCCGTGCTGAATAACTTAACGGTCAAAATTCGATAATGTCTTTCATCAAAGACTTAATATACTTTTAAAAAGACAATGTTGAAACCCCGACGGAGAAAAATGCGTGCAAGTTTGATGAAAATGTTTTGCAATTACACCAAACCACACAACTCAATCCAACTTGGATTTCACTATGATCCAAATCCAACATAATCATTCGTCTCACTTAGGCAAACAATAACAAAACAACACATATATTTTTTTTCGCTTGATTCAATATAGTAACAAGGGAAGTATTCGTCATATTTCATAAAGGATCAATGACAAAAATGTTTTTTTCCATTGAAAAAGAAAACAGTGACCGATCTCGGATAAATTTCATCTTTTTGCGTTTAAAATTATATACCTTTATATTTACCCCCTACCTTTTTCTTACATTTTCCTCCCACATCTTCTACAGTTACCTTATTCAAATGCGATACTCAAATTATTTCTCAAATACAACCATCCGATTTGTTTTCTTTCAACGAGACATATCTATTTACTTTGATCTGGTGAAGAATGCTGTCAGATTTAATAAGAAGGGATTTTTTTCATGAATATCATTTTCATAAGGGAAAGGGAAAATGCTGAAATACTGCGGTAAGAAGGAAGAGAGAGAGAGAAATTATATATTTTTGGTGGGTATATAAAGATGCTCGTCATAGTCGATACTTCACTGTTACTCACTTTCTTTCAATAACGCAGTTGTAGAAGTATGTCAACCAATTACGAACGCCTCACGCACTCATCGAAGTCGCGAAAAGATAGTGGTACTGCAAGTGGACTTTTCTCAGAAATTGATACCGATGGAGACGGTGTAATTGACCAAAAGGAACTTGCAAACTATGTTGCTGGTTCGGGCTCTGGTTACAATAGTCGTTACGAATCATCGTCGTATCGATCAAAACATGATTATGATGTTTCGGACATTAGCACGATTAATAAAGCTGCTAGTTATACTGCTGAAACCAATTCTCTTTGGTCTAAGTATGGTGCTGAAGTACGAGGTGAAGGTCTTTATGTGGATCCACATCCACAAATCATTCGACGAGACATGCCTGTCGATGTCCGAACATACGAACAACGCATTCAAATTCGTTTTTTTCAACCACCGCCTGCACCACCAGCAGGCGTAAATTGAATTTCTTTCCATTTGATCTCTTTCCTAATCGTTGTTTATTTGTAGCCACTTATTATCAAAGAAGTGCGTCCACCTCAACAGGCTCCATTGCCTCCGCTTCGCATCAGACAAGAAGAGCCACCTGCGCCTCGACTTCCTCCAATAATTCTTCGTGAAAGACCACCAGTACAACCAGATTCTCTTCCATCAGAAACAATTATCAAAAAGCTTCCTGCTTTACCACCTCCACCACGATCGGTCATCATCGAACGCATTCCAGCTCCACCCGCTCCACCACGTTAGTGAGATTTTTCGTTGTTTTCTTATTATCTACCTTGATAAATTTCGGTTGGTATACTCTAGGTGACATCATCATCGAACGTTGGCTTCCTTACACTACTGCTGGTGAACGAAAAACCATCGTTGAACGATCTGAAGAAACTAGAGAATACGAACAGCCGCATAATGTCATCATCCAATATGAACCGACTAGCGCCCAAGTTGTTCGCAAATTTCAACAATTGGGCGTTACTCAAGAAAATCCGAGAACGTATATCTCGCGTTATGGAAATGAATTACTTGATACTGACACTCTGATACGGCAAGTTCGTGCTGCTGGTGTAGTTGAAGATATCGTACGTATACATGGATTGTTTACATCTCTTTCTCATTTATTCCTTTCATGTATTAAGTCNATCCAATATGAACCGACTAGCGCCCAAGTTGTTCGCAAATTTCAACAATTGGGCGTTACTCAAGAAAATCCGAGAACGTATATCTCGCGTTATGGAAATGAATTACTTGATACTGACACTCTGATACGGCAAGTTCGTGCTGCTGGTGTAGTTGAAGATATCGTACGTATACATGGATTGTTTACATCTCTTTCTCATTTATTCCTTTCATGTATTAAGTCTATTCCAGTGGGTGTAACATCAGGTTCTAGTTCAAGATATCTTAGCTCAGATATCTCTTATGGTGCTGATGCTGAAACTACTCTAGGTAAGAATTCATCATCATATTTATCTCGAATCTCCAAATTAACAAATGTCCATTTTTTGCATATTATAGGAAGTACCGGTTACCGAGGTGGTTATAGTGATGACGAAAGTAATGGTTTTCGTTCAGTAACCTATAAATCATCATCGTACTCATACGGTGCTGGCAATAGTTCGAATGTTGGTTCTACTGGTTTTAGTAGTACCGAAGCCAAGTTATAAAACACTCTACATGCTTTGAAAACATTTTCCGTTCGCAGCTATCTTAACTTACCATACAGCTTGATTTTTTTTCTACTATTTCTATTAGATTTCCATTTAACTCTTAGTTAGCGCTGATATTTAATAACGAAAATAAAGCTTCACAATAAAACATGATTAAATACATTGTTTTGATTTCCATATAAAGTGTTCGAGTATGCCGGATAGAGTCACACTTGTACGATATGAGAATAAATCTCTGTGAAATAAATAGAGTATGAGAGTCCCTTGTTTTATTGTTTCGTAAAGAATATCTTCAAAGTGTACATCAAGTGTGAACATATTTACACTGAACTGGTATTATATTTCAGCTTTCGTTTCCCATCTCCATAAATTCCATAATCTCCAAAGTAACAGTGTTTCAATGCAATACCCTATCCGCCAGATATGTCTGTGTAAACGCTGCGTTAACCGATTTTGGACGATTGACTTCATATATCATCGAGTGTTAATATTAAGATTTCACCGTCATATCAGAAAAAATGACATTCTCACTAATAGCGATTTGTTTTGCTGTTCATTTATAATTTATGTTTAGTTTCTTGACTATGTCTTGTCAAATCTTTATATCTCGATGCACATATGTAGCTAATGGCGTTAGAAATAAAAGCAAGGTCAGCAAAAGAAGCTTCGTTCGATTCATTTATGGACATTTAGATCAATTTTACGTCTTCTTCAATGATTTCGTCATTCCACATTCGGTGTCTTTGCGCATGATTCAAGTACCATTGTTTTCCCTGTTGAGTCGCGTTGGCGTTCATATTGCTTGAGTGAAATTTATACAATTGAATATACTTGTACTATCACACGAGCTCTCTTATCTGCACTGTTTTTTTTTTCTGTAACAGATGCTGTACACGCACTTCATTGTTATTCAATAACTAACATCGAAAAAGTATATACGCACATATTTAAGTCTAGTAGAACTATACTAAAACAAAAACTATGCAAATATTTGAGTAGTGTACTAGATATTGAATGACTGCGGTTATATATGCGACCAAAGAAGAAAGAAAAAAATGACTGAAAAGGGCGAACGAACAAAGTCGAATAGAATGTGATGGTATCCGATATCATCCGTCTTTAATCTTCATACAAAAATTTTAAAAAATATATGGCGTAAGATGACCTGTGATCACGAAGACACAGCGTATGTTACTATAAGTGATATGAAGAAAACGATGCAATATCCTATTGAATGTTATTTTTTTAAATCGATTCCTTAATGATCTATTCACACATATTTACGTATAAATCCTACATAGCAGTTCTCATTCTGTCCATTAGTGGCAGGTACATTCAACATTCTATCTTTTCAGCAAATGTCAGTGTGTTATTAACAAAAACCAGTTCGTAATAGTGATAAAATTCCAATAGATGCGGGAATGAATCTATCCGTTTGTTTCTTGACAAACGATCGTATTAAAGCTGCGACATGAAATCTAACGATTCTTCTGTCAATTTACTGCTAAAGTATCTCCCAACATGCGTCTTTCAATTAGATCTGCTCTTATCTTTGCTACAATTGCTTAAGCACAAAGCAAACCTTTGTTCAATGAAGCTAATGGCGTCCAAGATTTTCTTAGTCAATACGGAGTAATATCATCGCTTCACTACCAAACTTAAAACAGAAACCTATTGTGTTTAGAACGTGTTCAGCTAACTCTAAGGTATTGCAAGCACTCGCTCATTTGCGTAGTTCAAACTAACGAAACATAATCATAACGATGTTGTGTATGTTCTTCCAAGAAATCGGTCACACAAGTTTGTTAGCAGTGTCAAGTAAAACAGTGTTCTTATGGTATGAACTAGTTTAAAAGAAAAGTATTGTTTTGTTCAGTATTAGACAAAGATTTCGATGTGCCTTAAATGTCCAATAAGATTGCAATGTTACTGAATAAGTTGAGATTCACATAAACTTCAATTACAAAATTTTTTTACAAAAGGAGTCATAATTTAATTGCAGTTCCTTTAGTAAAAATTTCAATATCGTTACATACGTGATACTATCCAATCTCAACATTTCGTTTTCGCGTGTTCAAGATTACTTTTGTATTCGTAAAGTTTGGGATGATGTGAAGGTAATGTTTGATGTGCGATTTGCAGAGCACATTCGAAATATGCACAAGCTTTGGAATAATCTTTCATATTATCATACACCACACCAATGTTATTGTGTGACATCGCCAAATCAGGATGGTTTGGTGGCAGCGATTGTTGTTGAAGTACAAGGACTTTTTCATAAGACGCAAGTGCTTTTCTATAATCACACATCGTGTTGTGCATATTGGCGATGTTGGTGTGTGACATTGCTAAATGAGGATGAGTGGGAGGAAGCGATTGTTGCTGAATCGCAAGTGCTTCTTCATAGTATGAAAGTGCCTTGCAACAGTCACCCGTCATCGAATATACGGCACCGATGTTGTTGTATAATGAAGACAGTGTTAGATGATTTGGAACAAGTGCTCGTTGCAAAATAGCAAGTGCCTTCTCGTGAGATTGGAGCGCTCTTCGATGGTCACCAACATTAAAATAAACATTACCGATGTTGTTGTACGATTTGGCTAATTCGGGATCAGTGGAAGAAAGACTGTTTTCATTGATAGCAAGTGATTTTTCATAGTATCCGATTGCTTTCTGGTATTCTCCTCGATTATATTCAATTGAACCAAGTTGATGGTAAATTAATGCTTTTCCACTTTTCTTTGTTTCTCGATCAAGTAACATTTGGTAGACTTCTTCAGCTTTATTATTTTGGCCCACTCTTTCCAGCAATAGACCCATTCTATACCATCCGTCCTCGTCGGGAAAGCTCTCTTCTCGCATGCGTTCGGTAAGCTCATTTAATTGTTTATCCTTATCATTCGTGAGTGTCAAATGAACTTCGAATATTTTCGCATTGTCACCCATTTGTTTGACGTCATCAATTCGAAATACACTATGCATAGAAAATAATACTTCATCCTCCTGTGCGATAGCACTGATGTTTCGGACCGACGCGAATGATATTGTTGATTGCGTCGGATTGATTTCCATGACAAAAACAATTCCCATCAAATGAGGATTGTTTGCATTCTTTCGTGCAAAGTTAAATGCGATGTCGTAAAATCTACTAGTTGAGAGAAAATTATTGAATGACATTATTCCTTTCTTGTTCTGCTGTAATTGCTCAAAATCGTCCTTGGATAGACCTTGTCCACGATAAACTGTAAAGATTTCAGTAATATTTTGTTCTTGGTGTAGTTGTTGTATTTGTTGATGCAGATCATTGATGAAGAAGCCCATTCTTGTTAAGATGTCGCCATTCATTAATCGTATCGCACGATTCAACATAGGATACAAGAAACTTTCAAGAGTATACCACCAGATCGGTGTTTTTCTGTGATATTTTCGTTTGGATCGTTTGATATTCTTCAGCTCCGCTTTATTGCCTACGAACACTTCGCGACAGTAATTCACGTATTGTTTCATATATGTATCATCAAATTTAATGGTCAACAATATTTCTTTGAATATTTGTGTATACATGAAAGAAGGATCCAGCTGATTCAATCGTTTATCACTTGTGACAAAACTAATGGATATGGCGTTTTGCTCACATTGTCGAACTGCTTGCTTAAGAGCATCACAAATAGATTTAATATCTGTGAAAAGTCCTTTTATTTTAGGCCACTCACCAGTCCATTGCTCGCGTCGCTGTCTATTACCACAAAAAACAAAAATAGAATCTATTTGAGACATGTCATGCACTCGAGATAAGATCTGTTGACCAAGTGAACCAGATGTAATTAGACAAATCTTACGATCTTCGATAGTTTCGATAAAATCGATACATGCGTCATAGTCTTTGTAAATATGTAGATCATGAATAGCTCGTTGAAGTTGTGACGTTGTATTTCGACAATCAGCACTGCTATTATTGATATTATTATCCAACCATACTGCAAGTACATTTTGGATTTTGTCTATGCCGACACAGTGACGTGCACTTGCTCGTTGTGTTGATCTCATTCTCATAAATTTTCTGTTGATCATTGTAGCTTCGAAAAGTAATCGTATAGAATATCGAAAAGAACCAGAATATTTATTTTCATCATGACTTAGCAAGACGAAAATCGCAGAGGAGATCCTATTACTGTTGACAATCGTCAAAACTGTTGACGAAAGAAGAACGAAGCGGCGTTGTTAGCGTGATGCTGTATGGACACATGACTTTCATCAATGTTTATCAGGGTATTTTCAATTTCTAATTCGTTTATTTGGAAACTTTTTCATTTCCCATTCGGTTTAACAGAAAGACAAGAAAACTTTGTGTGTGCATGTGTTAGAGTGATTGTTAGGAGTATACGTACATCTGCACGTCCCCTCATATACACCAGGCCAGAGTTCTATTGATATTAACCTTTTAACAATACTTTTAGGCATTTTTTTCCTAAAAAGCATTCTATTCACCGTTCTTTGACGTTTTGTTAAACAACATGACCTTTTTTCCTTGTTAACACGGCTGACAACAATAATTATGAAATGCGATATCAGAAAATAATAATGGGTGAGTACACAAATGGTGCTGTGCTATTATATTTTGTTCATTAAAAAACTCATTAACTAACTTATAATCGGTGTAGCCAATTAAAATCCTGATATGTTTTATAGTTAAGGATGCATTGACGCTGTCTTGCGTTGCGAATGAGCGAACGCCAATCTTTATTGACCTAAAAGTAGTTAGGAATGATTTATTTTATACTGTGTAGTCCATTTATTGATGGATATGACTTACATGTAATGATTTCGCATGTCCGATGATGTACACAGCATATTTACCTCGAGTCACTGCTACATTAAGTCGACGTCGATCAGCTACGAATCCAATACTTTGTTGTCCACATTTGTCACCACACGTGCGAACAGTGGAAATCAAAATGATATCTTTTTCTCGTCCTTGAAATCCATCAACTGTCCCTAAAGTACATTTTGTATACGGGATGCATGTCGCACGCTAGAGTATAATTACCGATGTCTAGACGGNGTGGGTGGCAATTGTTCGGGATCACCAAAAAGCAATACACATCTGATGAGCAGACGCAAAGGAATAAATGTGTCGATTTCGAGAGACTGGCCAGCTTCATCAATAATTAAACAGTCGAAACATAGAGTCTGACTTTTATCGCAAGAAAATGGATCAAAAATTGAGTTTCCAACGTAGTTTAACGTTGAGACAACCACATTCGCTTCTTCTAAATCTCTTTGCTTCAGTAAACTTAACTCTCTTGGACATGTATTTGTCGACGAATAGAATTCTATTTAACATAGATAAACAAAGGTTTTTCGAAAACATCCACCATACCTAGTGGTGATAGTTGTTCAATGATTTCTTTGAGCATCGTTGATTTGAACAAAGACACGCAAGAGGTGTCTGTATATTCATTATGACCAGCACGAGCCACGATGAGATCTGAATAAACAAGACAATGTAGGAATATGAATAGTGTTTATCTCAATTCTATTGACCATCTATTTTGGCGAGTCTTTGTGTAAGGTCATCACATGCACCATTCGAAGGAGTGCACACAAGAATACGCAGTTTCTTCCGCTTTCTCATCAAATTCCATTGCTAAAAAGCCGTTTAAATACTTTCCTGTAAATGCCTAGCAAGGTATTTTTTACTTGATTTATCGATTTTACAATATTAACAATGGTATGAGATTTGCCTCGAATATGAAATAGTCAAGAAATCAAGAAACTTAAATACTTTTTCCTTTACCTGTGCCAGGAGGCCCTTGTACAACGTAGATACGAGATGAATTCCGCCGTGGTCCGCAAACGATAGATACAGCTTCATTTATCACTTGATACTGAGCTGCATTCTTTGCCTTAACTCCTCATGATAGCGTTTGTCAAAGAGCACAAACATTTTTCTTACCCCATTGTTTTCCATATCGAACTGTGGTAGACGTGGTAAGTTTACTTGGAAGGTCATATCGTCGACTGAAGGAGAGAGAAGTTCTGACACCAAAGGTAACGAAGGAAGCAAAGACAATGCTCGGAACCGACGCAGATTGGAAACAAGCGATGCCATCACCTATTTCAATAGCGAAAGTATTCACTGAAGTTTGTTCGAAGTTCTATTTCATTGACCTGCACATGAATACACGAACCAGTAATTAACGGCGAACACTTCAAAACAATGCCGATTGTTAGTTCAATACAAACTATTTCTGATGGTCTAGTATTCAAACGAGGATCAAAAGCTATGAAAAAGCAAAATAGAAAATTCAACACAAAGCAGTTCTTTGCATCCACACATACTTACCTAACATTCGATGAATGAATTTACGATTAGAAACACGCTGTTGTTTCTGTAGTATGCCAAAAAATTGTTGGTTATCGAAAGCCGTAATGAGTAGAAGATCATTGTATCTTGGCCGCATGGGATCATCATCCACTGTAAGAACTATATGAGAAAGTCTGATTAAGATCTATTGAAATCCGCTCGAATCGTTACTTTGACAATATAATTCCATCAAACCAATTTTTCGTTTTACTTCTGTTCGAACCATGTATGCTTGACATATCGTTGGTGGTTTACCTTTATTTTGTTCTAAACGCTCCTGAATGTCTTGTTTTACCTAAACACAATGAAAATAAAATTGACTCTCTCTTCGAGAACTATGCTGATATACATTTTGCCATGTTTCTTCAAGAAGACAAGGTAAATGTGCTGATTCATAATCACTGAAGGATGTATATCGTTGCCTTACTGGAGTTGCTGAACGATTATTTATACAATAATTTTCATACAAAACACCAGGCTTCAGATCTTCAAAATGCAAATCTTGTGTTAAATAAAAAATAGTTTCGTTCTTACGGGGTTGATTAAGCCAAGCAGGATCCCATGAAAGAATGTAGGACATATATATTTCGTAAGAAAATACTCCTTCTGTTTGATTCACCATCATAAAAGTCGAAGCTATTGGTTTTGTTCTTTTATATTGATTAGACAGTGTATCACAAACATATACTGCATTGATTATCGGATCACTGAATGCTTCATAATTGATCATCTCAGTCTGTTCTTCCAAATACTGTGGCTGCCAAGAAGTCGAATAAGAACTTTCGGCACATTCAATTTCATTTTGAAGCAGAGCATCAGTAGACACTATTGATGATTCTGATGGTGCATCTAATGATATATCTGGTTCGAACGGCTCTTCCATGACACTATGAGCAGGCGACTTGCGTAGTGAGTCAGAAGAAACTGGTTTTGATGTTGTTAAGTGCACAGAAGTTTTAGAGTCGACTACATGAAAAAGCCTTAACATATATGTGTCTTTGATCATCATACGATTACTTTGGCTACACCATACCAGAAAAATAAAAATAATGATACCCACACAAAAATAGAAAAACATTAATGCCAATCTGAAATCAGTCAACATGATGAAAGTATACTAATCTTTTCTTGATGTATAGATATGTGCAACGCTCTCTACACAGAGATATAGAATCGGAACTTAGAGACTTTTATTCTCCAACAAAATATAATTATCTTTTAGTCTTGCTTATAAAAAAATCAGAATGAAAATACATTTTACATTCACACTATAGAGAAAAATATTTATCTTTCTTTATTTACAGACTAAACCAACTTTACCTGTAAGAGCATGAATTTTTTTGTATTCACGCGCTTTATTATGAAGACACTGATGACTACTTACGTAGAACGGTAAAAATACTTTCTTTATGCGCAAAAATAGATGTGATATTGTTCGATTTTTATCTATAGAGATCGCTCATATAGAGAAGAAAATACAATAACGAAGTACAATGAAAATTTCAGAAGTATATACGAACACAATCTGTCCGCATGATTTAATACATAATCGATAAATCCATATAGTTTCATTGTTATGTTGAACATTGGCGAAATAAGACGTGTTGTCTCTTCCATATGTTATTAGCAAACTGATACATGATAAAGACATTTTCCGAATATGATTTCAGAAGAACAAAAAAACATCGTTATACCAGTATGTACGTCATACTTTATTACAATCATATCGATCACCAATAGTGACTTATCGAGACAAATACGTAGTGTATCTCTGCATTAATATTCCGAATGCTTCGAAGAAACTCCTGTCGATATATTTATTATGAAAGACGAAAAAAACAAGGTATCGAATTTCAGGCCAGAATGTTCTCTGTAAACTAACTATTGATCGATCATAGACAAACAAATTTCACTCTTAGGTCGCCTATCATAATGAATGTATACGGGCCGTTTTACATAGTTACCCTCATGCAAGTCTATTCGTGTTTTTTTCCTATCGAGATCTGTATTAGACCTTATTTGACATGTAAACTGAATATTATTCAGTGTAGGATTAATTAAGCTGAATTGATCATCATCATCACTGGTAAATTTTTGTCTATTGTTTGAGCGAAAAGTAAATGATTGAGATTCCGTCGGTGCCGGATCATTCATTTTCAGTCTTTGTGTTGTAGTATAAGTGTTTGAATGACGTTGACTCAGACGATGAGTATTTGTTTGAAACCATTCGGAAGAAATATTGGATAGAAGACTGTGACCACATTGAAATGTAACAGTTTGCAAGTGTTGAAACTTATCGATAATCTGAATCATTATTTCTTCAGTGTCGACTGGAACAGTCAAATTTTGAACATGCATTAACATTCGAGAAAATTCACCAACATTTTCAACATCAATTGGATAAAACGATTCTTCATAAAAAGCAGGTTTCACTTTACGTAATGTCAAAGAATATATATGTTCAGGTAGAATCAATGATGTATCGAATACATTCGTAATCAAGTGATTTAATTGGGGTGTATGTGCGAGCAGTAATTGTAAATAACTGATTCCTGGACCAACAATATATGCAAAATCGAGTGTCTTAATTTGGTTAAGATCAATGGAGGATGTAAGAGTGTTGATGAACTCTTGGTATGTGACATGCGTATATCGACGCCACCAAATTTCTAACAATTGAATTTTAGTAAAACGATACATTGGTAATGTTCTTCTTTCTTCGGGAATATATGTATAAGAATCAATCGTAGTTTGAAAAAAGAATTGATTGTGGAGATTGATTGGCACGGTTGATAATGGTGGATACACGTATTTTTCTTGTGACTCATTAATTTGATTTGGAAGAAAATAAGGTAATGAATATATTCTAAACTGTTTTTCGTAAGGAACGTGTTCACAAGCGACATACCAATGTTTTTCTTCCAGCCAAAATGATGATCGAAACCGTTCAAGTGCTGCTAGCTGTTCCTGTTGTGATAATGGTGACGATGTATACAAAGACAATTGGAAATTAAATTGTTCAATACGTGTTCGTCGAAGAAACTCTTCCCATCGAGTACCATCGATAAGATCAGGATGTCCCCATGCTTGGATTGTCAAATATTTCAATTTCACCAACTTAATTAAACATTCTTCTAATAAATCAAACGACAATGTTGTACCTACAATGAAATACACGATCAATAAACTTATTTTGGCACTTGTTCTTACGTAGACTTATGTCGAGATGGGACAATGAGATTAGATTTTGACAAACTAGTTTCAGTTTTGGTAAAAAAGGCATGTCTTCATCATAAATAGAAACTTTTAAATGAATGAGTGATGAAATTTGAATACAGCAAGATATTTGTTCAAACTGAGAAAACAAACAATCGTCATTGATGATCAAATGTGTCAATACATTAAAATAAATGTTGTTAACGGGTATTGCATTAACAGAATCAACATCAAGATAGGTTAGACAATTTGCTTGATGATAAATAACTTCCTTTGTAATAGAATCGGAGTTTTCTTTTGGAAAATTTTGTTTAAATGTTAATGATGAAGTATTGTCTGGTAAATCCAGGCGAAAGGTTTTCATAAAAAGAAAATTGACTGATCTTAAGTTAAGAAATTCTTTTTGAAATCGTGGAAAATGATTGAGAAGGAGTCGTATTTGATCCGGCATGAATTTTTCTGATAATAGAAGATGATAAACTTGTTTTGGTTGAATATTTTGACAGATAAAATCGAATTTTGATCGAGATATTTGCTGAAAATCGAGTTTTAATGGATATGAACGAACAATTTGATCAAAATAGCGATTGATTCCAATGAAACCGTAGAGTATATGCCATGGATTCAAATAATCAAAGATTTCAAATATTATTTCTGTTGACAATGCTTCCAAACACGACTTCATTTCTTTTTCTATGATAACATAATGCACCACGATTACCTTTTGCAATGTTATCAGAAGCTGTCTGAATGTACGTCAGCAGATGTCGCCGATGTCTGGACCGCTCGGCAGTATGAAATAAATGTATTTTACATATACCTGAGAGTACTCTGCCGTCTGACGATGTGAAAAAACTGCTGAAATCGGTTACGATACGAAGTGTTTAGTCTTACTCAACAATATAATTAGTTCGAACGGGTCGATGTGCTGCTCTCGTTTATTCTCAATTAATATATTTATTGATGAAAGAATAACATATACAATTAGTCACACATTTTTACGAGAGTATCTATATTGTCTGTGCCGTAGCTTGCTATAGCCATATCTATTCGTTCATCATTATTTAAATCAGCCAATGCGATTGAATATGGGAGACTTTCATAACCTAATGGATATGAAGTTTCATTTCCAAATGTTCCATTTCCATATCCGTACAATACAAATATATTGCTTGTACCAGAATTGGCAACGATCAAATCTAAATTATTATCATTATCAACATCGCCAACAGTGATTGTAGAAGGCCGGGAGCGAACACCTGTTGAGTAGAGTGCCGTAAGAGTAAACGTTCCATTGCTATAACCATGAAAGATGGCGACATCGTTCGTTTCCGAGTTAGTAACAACAATATCTAAGTGGTTATCATGATTAAAATCAGCAATAGCAAGAGAACGCGGATGGGAATCATTTCCTGTTGAGTATGTTATCATGGAACTAAACAATGCATTGCCAAGTCCCAATAAGATGCCAATGTTATCAGTGCCATAATTGGCTACGACAATATCTAACCGACCATCATCATTCAAATCACCAAGAGCAGCCGAATGTGGCTGTGATCCATCAGCGAGTCGATGTGCTATTACACCTGCATATGAATGACGGTCATAGTCAACGAAAACAATAATCGTATTGGTTATGAAATTTGTCAACATGATATCTGATTGTCCATCGTGATTGAAATCGCCTGAAGCTATGGATCCTGGTGCAAAGTTTGCATCAGCAGAATAAGTAGTCCCTAACAAGAACGTCCCATCTCCAAATCCAAATAGAATAACAACTGTATTTATGATAATGTTAACAACAGCAATATCTAAAATTTGATCATTATTAAAATCTCCAATAGATTGGTAAGAAGGTCCAGCACCATCGCCTATCGAATATGCGCTTACATTACTGAATGTGCCATCCCCTAGCCCTAAAAGAATGGCAACATTGTTTCCATTATAATTAGTTACGACAATATCCAGTATACTATCATTATTGAAATCGGCAAGATTTATTGAATTAGCCCAGGCCTGATAACCTACGGAGTATAACACTTGGGCTTGAAAACTTCCATTGCCATAGCCGAGAAAAATGCTTGTAGTGCTAGTATAATAATTACATACAACAATATCCATATTGCCATCCTTATTTAAATCCCCAATGGATGCTTCACGCGGCTGAGCTGAAGCTTCAGTCAAATAGGTTTCTATCAGAGTGAAATTTCCTGTACCTTCTCCGAGAAATATACTTATAGTATCAGCATAAGTGTTCACTGTGACAATATCTACTCGATCATCATTGTTTACATCTCCGATGGTCAAACTTCGTGGAATTGTATCCGTTTCAGTCGAAAATGTTATTGTATTTGAAAAACTTCCATTGCCATATCCAAGAAATATGCCTACGACGTTGCTGTTGAAATAAATCACGACGATATCTACATGATCATCTTTGTTGAAGTCTGCGATAGCGAACTCGTACGGGTCGGCGTTAGGTTCTGTTGAATGAAGTGTTGAGATGGTGAAACTTCCATTGCCGTGTCCAAGAAATACACCTAACAGATTACTGACTTGATAAAGTACAACCATATCGAGATACGTATCACCATTCACATCACAAACTCGAGCAGCAGATGGTCCTCGAGCATTTTCAAGTGAATACGTGAACTGATTTTGAAATTATGTATAATCAAATCCAATAAAAAAGCCGATACTATCACTTTCTTTATTTGCGATAACAAAATCGTTGCGATTGTCATTATTAAGATCACCCATAACTATACTAGATGGAAATGAATCCGATCCAGTTGTATACTTTTTTTGTTGGGCAAAACTTCCATTGCCGTTATTCATAATTATACTCATTGTGTTTTCTTTTGCATTCAAACTAATAATGTCTAAATGGTTGTCTTTATCAACGTCGCCGGTAATAACATATTGTGGAGAACTGTCAGTACCAGTTGAATAGATAATTGGTGTGCTAAACATGCCGTTGTTTAAACCAAACAAGATATTGATACTATCAGCATCTGAATTGGCAACGACAACATCTGTTTGATTATCGTCGTTGAAATCGCCAGTGGCCAACGAATATGGATGTGGAGCAGATCCTGTATTATAGGAGAATTGGTTGCTGAATTCAGCAGCATCGTACTCAGTTAATACAGCAAAATATCCAGTACTCCAGTAGGTGACTACATATTCTAAATGTTCGTCATGATTAAGGTCTGCAGTAGTAAGAGCATATGGACTTGAACCATTGCCCGTCAAATATCTTCGTGCCAAAATAAAATTTTCTGTACTGTCTCCATAAAAAATGACTAATTCATTTGTCGTAGCGCAAGTTGTGGCAATATCAAGATGTTGATCATTATTAAAGTCGTTAATATACACATAGTAAGGAAATGTGTTAGATCCGGTGAAAAATCCGATAGCTGATGGGAATGTTCCATCACCGATTCCGAAATAAACGAATACGCGATCCTTGGTTGGACAGGTAATAACAATATCTAAGTGCCTGTCTCGATTTAGATCAGCGAAGACAACCATAAAAGAGAATTCTCCGCAATCGGCTGAGTATATTATCATGTCTCCGAAACTTCCATTGCCTAAGCCTAAAAAGACGCCAATGGACGCTGGCGTTGTGAGAGTGACGGCGAGATCGAGATAACCATCATTACTCAGATCTCCTATAGTAACTGCAGTCGGCTCAGAAGCGGTACCTGTCGAGAATGTCTTTTGCCTACTGAAATTTCCGCTACCGTCATTTAAAAATATGTTTATAGAACTTGACAGCAAATTGACAGCCACGATGTCTAGATATGTATCATTATCTAAATCCCCAAGAGCCGCAAACCATGGCTGAGTACCAGTCGAATACGATTTCATAGATTGAAACGTTCCATCTTCGTTGCCAAAAAAGATTCCAAGAGAATTACTTCCTAAATTAACTACTACCATATCCGTACGATTATCAGCATTTAGATCTCCGAGACACATATATTGTGGAGAAGATCCCATACCTGTTGGATAAACATCTCCTTGAACGAATTTACCCTTGCCAATCCCATCGAAAATAACAACATAATCGTTATTAAAATTGTCAACGAGTGCATCTAATTGACCATCTTTATTGAAATCGTGAATAACAACAGACGATGGACGAGAATCACTACCGATGAAATATGTCGTTTGTCGAACAGAGGGTTTACTTGAATAATCACACAATATATCTATACTATTTTTGCCGTAATTAGCAACGACAAGATCAGATCGGTTATCTTTATCAAAATCCACAACTGCGATAAAGGATGGATTCGATCCACTAACAGAATCATAGGTAGTTAATGCGCCAAAACTCGCATTACCATAACCGGGCAGAATATGTATTCGGTCATTTTCCGAATCGACAATAACCACATCAAGATATTGATCTGTATTAATATAGCCAACAGTAATAAGTTGCAGACGATATTGAGAATCAATGGGGTATCGAATTTGACTGGCAAAAGTACCATCACCTCGATTAACAAATATGCCGATACTACCAAGACCATAATGACAGACAAGGATATCTAGGTGATTATCTTGGTTCACATCGCCAAGAGTAACAGATATTGGATGAGAATTTGGCGCAGTGGTATAAATATATTTGTTTATAAAGATTCCATTATCTTGCCCCATAAAAATTCCGATATTGTTCGTGCCATAGTTTGCAACAGTAATGTCCAATTGATTGTCTTGATTCAAATCGCCGACTGCTAATGAATGTGGAAATGAATCATAACCGGTACTATAAACAAGTCCATTTTGAAAAGTTCCATCATAATTTGCCAAATGTATACCAATATTATCAGTGCCATAATAAACAGCAGCAATATCCGAATAATTGTCATGATTAAAATCACCAGTTGCAAGAAAGGATGGATGGAAGGAACTAGTCGAAAGAACTTGTTGAGGGAGAAATGATCCACTTCCGTTATTGATGAACAGACCAATACTATTTGTTCCATTATTAGCCACAGCAATATCCACATATCCGTCCTGATTGAAATCACTAACGACCACCGAACACGGACGAGATCCTGCACCTGTTGCATACGTTTGCTCTGTCAGAATGGTTCCGTTCGTATCCAAATTGAACACAACAATTGCATTCGTGCCCGAGTTAGCAGCAGCGATGTCGAGTTGTTGATCTTTATTGAAATCACCGACAGCGATCGAACGTGGTTGTGAACTGTGAACAACCGAGCTTTTCATTGTTTGTCGAAATTTGAATTGACAAGTATGATCTAAACGAATATTTTCTCAAAAACGTACTTATAATACAGAACGAACAACATACCTTGCTTTGGTACAGTAAAACAAACGACTAATACTCCAATAATCAATGAGATACTAACAAGTAGACCAACTAATATCCATGAACGTAGATTGTTTCTATTTGAAATAGATATTCACATTATATTAATCATATTTAACAGATTAAACAAACTTTTTTGCTACTTCAATCTTCAAAATATCGCTATTCTCATCGTCTTTTGCATGATGCATTTTTTTCAATGATTCTATAACAGTATATACTTCTTCTGGATGACGTTGATTATTCGATGAGCTGTTTGGTATTCACATTTTGCACTTTCGACAATTCAATTCACCAATACCAATTCGACGCAAAAGTTATCTATCACTTACAATGAAATTTACCTTGATGTGATTTAGGCCGCTGTTTTTTTTCTATTATTTTGCACTACTATATTCATCGTTTATATTGGTGATCGAGTACAGTACAATATATTTACACGGTAAATTTGATCAGTGAATGACAAGCCGTTCGACAAAAACGTATTGTATCTTACTTATAACATAAATATTCACCACGTGTTAAAATATGATCAAAACAAAGATCGCTATTCGATCTAAGAAGAAATATATCTAATTTTTGTTTTTGATATGTACTGAAAATGCCGGATGTAATTAACTGACTTAGAAATACCAGTTATATATAAACTAGATGATTGTTCCGCGTACTGATTAAATGTTATTGAAGATTATAGCGTATTTGATGATTTTGATATGTTAATAGTGATCGATCATCAGAGCACTGTCAAATCAAAAGTGATTTTTACTGACCAGTGAATCAGGAAATATAGAATTATAAATCAATTTTCAACTTTTCTTATAAGTAACTGGAAAAAATCCAAGGTAGGTTAATTAAAAAGAAAAAATATCACACGAACGAACCATGTGCGTTTGCATTTTTCAATAAGTTCGAAAAACAATCAGTTCGGACGTCCTTTTGTTATCCTACTTATTTAAGAAGAATTTCTCAAAACGTTTGATCACGTACGTGATTCTATAGACGAATGGTTTTCTTCACACAATCGTATTACTTATTTCAAAAGGTTAATTTCGTAGAATTCGATACACTTTAGCGCTTTATATGGACCTGTATGACAAGGTGTTAAACAGGTGCTCATGGAATTAAATACATAATCTTTTGATCAACGATACTTCTCTAATTTCGAATATATTATACATCATTTTATTTGTTAACTGATCCAGAAATCTATCGACCAATTTTGAAATACGAAATGCGTGATCGAATCTTTTATTTTTCTTATCGACACATGAAAAATGAAGAAAAAAATACCGTGCTGTTTACATTCGATTTTTCTCTATCCTGCATGCTGCTTATTGAATATGAAAGCAACCAACATTCATACACAAACAATCCTGTCCTGTAGAGAAAGCTCTTCACTTTAGTTATTGTGACCTCGAAGTAATTTATTCCGTGATGATAAACGTGTTCCTGTTGACCCAATTTGCAGAACGAATTGCTTCATGAGAAGCAAAAGTAGAAAAAAAAACAACCAACCCATCAAGTGCACTTTCGATGAAAAAGTAGAAAAAAACATCAATTGCAACGCTTCATTTATATTACCTGGCAAGAGTTACTGATGAATGAAACGCATTTTATTTACTTAAGTATGGCTTAATCGAAAACGACAGATAGAATTGCATTCACTTTCGTGTTTTTCAGTCATTTCGAACATAAATTCTGTTCGTTGAGTTTACTTTTATACACAAGTGTGAGCTTGATCTATGGAAACTTCGAACAGAAATACTATTCGTGAGACACGAATAGAACACGATTTTGATAATCTGAACAATCCGTTACCACCGATGCAGCAAGGTCATACAGAATTACCTGTACGGTCGAGATCATTCGATGTAGAAGATAGACAGCCTTCCAAAGGGTAAAACATATCAATCGAGGTTATAACAAGAGCATTTCTATGGTTTCAGAAATAATCGAGGTTTTTGTACCAAACAATGCTTGATTGGACTCGCTATTGGTTTGACGATCGGTGTGATACTTGTTATTGTCATTGCAGTTCCAGTTGGTGTTGTACTAGCATCGAAAGCGACAGGAAGTTAGATTTTTCTCTTCCAAGATTGTATGATTGTCTCTCTTTGAATTTCTCTTTAGCACAATCGAGTACGATGACTAACTCAACTAGTCAGAGCACAAGTCGTGTAAAACAAGTTCAGAATTGCATTAGTCAAGATATTACAAGACAACCGGTGCTAATCGATACCGACACAGATATTGATGATCTATGGGCGATCCTTTATCTTCTCAATGTAAGAGCATATTAGCTGATATCTCTATCATTCTGGAAATTCTAGGTTCCAACTGTTGATATACTCGCAATAACAACTAGTGGAGATGGATACAGGTATAAGAAATGCAACATCTATTTACATACTAAAACAATGCTTTCCTTTCGATTAGTACACCGTTCTATTCAACATCGAATATTCTTAGCCTTCTTGGATTAGTCAACTGCACAGACGGTGTTGGAGTTGCCACTGGAGCAAGGTTTATTATGTTCAAAAGAATAAATTTTTCAACATTTTCTCTCTTGCAGTCTATCATTATCTCCAACTGGATGGATTATTGCAAGTTCAATTCTCAAAGGTATCGATAGCTTTCTCACATCTCCAACTTGTCTCAATCAGTCTACCAACATTTTCTTACAACCATCACCATTCGATGCGGTGGAACTGATCATATCGACATTGAAATATTCACAACGATCAGTAGATATTTTATGTCTTGGTCCCATGACGAATATTGCTGAAGCGATTAGCCGGGATCGATCGATCGTATCAAAAATAGGAACACTGTACCTCTCTGGTGAGTCGTTTCGAATTGATGTTTGTTGTATATATAAGTTTTTCTTCAAGGTGGTCAATTCAAATCAATAGCTGATTATCCATCATTGGTGCCAAATCCAAGTTTAGGGGTTTATCCTTATTCATACAAAACCTCAGGAAGCAGTTCGAATGTCTTCTTAGGTATACATCTATCATCTGAATCTTCTTCGTAACGTCATCATATTTGATTTTCAGATGTTCTTGCCGTTCAACGTGTCGATGATAGTGGAATCAAAAATCTAGTTGCTATGCCATCAAGTGTACAAAAACAATTAACTGCGAATCTGACTCAACTCAACAACAAAATACAAGCATTGAATCTTCAACTATCATCATTTACTTACGGATTGATCTCGTCATTAGCCAAATGTACAAATCAAACTGAAGGAGATATTTTTTGGTAAGTTTCACTACAGTTTCTCTGTCAATATTGAATAATGTTTGTAAAAGGTGGGACAATAGTGCAGCTCAACTGATGGTGCAAATGCAAAACAATGTCACAAATGGCTTTTGTACGAATTTGCAAAAGGTTCAATCGTTATACGTTCTCTCAGCTGATGGAAATCAACTCTACGGTCAAGGTTTATCAGGTTTTGATCAATTAAGACCAAATACACAAGGTTTAACGAATTATACCATATGTACTCGAACCAATTCTGATCTGTTCCTTACCGAATTTTTAACAACCATCGCTTCGAACCGATTGGATTCTTGTGCAAAAACATATCAAAATCGATTTGATATAAAACTACAAGCATGTCTTAACACATATGGATATGAATAAGCAAATAAATCAGAGTCCATGTCTTTGCGTGTATCGACTTTTGAAATCAAAAACATTTCCAAAAATACAATTGAAAAAGGCTTAAAAGCAACGGACAGGACTGGATAGAAATAAAATCGATCGGATTTCATTAGTACCCAATGTATATATTTGTTTTTCTTTCAGTCCTGCTTTCTCGTCAAAGGTTGACATGAACTTGAATACCGAATCAGCACATGATAATGATTAAATTTTACCAGATGCTCGAATAAATCTACGTTTTAAGTCCTTTTGCGGGCGAAGGTATAAAAACCGGTAACAAAGCCTACCGATTTTTCAATCAGTTTTCTGCTGAAATATTTTTCAATATGCGTCTTTCAGTCGGATTCGTTTTTGTCTTTACTACAGTTGCTTTCGTACAAAGCAACCCTCTCTTCAATCAACTTCCTTTCCAACCAGTAAAGATCGACATTCTCCTTAAAATCTATTCATCTATCTTCTCCTCACATTCATCTAGGTTCTCCCAAATCAATTCAGTGGTTTACAAGGCCTTCTTGCTCAATACGGAGTAACACTATCCGGATTTATTTTCGATTGCTTATAAGATTAATCTCTTTTATTAGGATTTAATCAGTCAATTTCAAAATCTCGCTCAACAAGCTGCTACTAACTTGACACCAGCTCAATTGCAAACACTTACTGAACAAGCTTTTCAACTCGCTCAGAATGTCCTCAGTAATAAAATCGATGCAAACACAGCCGCCAGTCAATTATTGAGCGAAGTTCAGCAATTGTTTAATCTTAATGGTGCAGGTTTAACACGTCCAGCAATCAGCACACGTGGTAAATTCAACCCGTTTCAAGGATTTTTTGACCAAGTCCAAGTACGATCATTTCTCTTTGGTTTCGTTTCTCGTTTTGCATTGACCTTCTTTTAGAATGCAATGAACCAATTCCAAAATGCTGCTCAACAATTTGCCAATACATTCGATCCCAAGAAAATCGAAGAAGTCAGCAAAATATGCTTTCAACTCGTCGAAAGCATTATCAATGGTCAAGTCGATGCTAAAATTGCGGCCAATGAATTACTGCTCCTCATTGAGCAAACATTTGGTTCAGAAAATGGATTCGTCAAGACATTTGTCACTGGTTCTCAACAATTAATCAACTTCGTTAGTGAAATCTTACCTCATACCCAAGAAGTTATTGGTCAAATCGAAGTAATCACATCCCTTTACGCGTTTTTCTCGTTCTAATTTGACTCCATTTAGAGTTCAGTAAACGAACTTCAAACAAATGTGGAACATTTTGCCAATACATTCACATTTGAACAATTACAAGCACTTAGTGAAGTCTTTTCTCAACTTGTTCACAGTGTTCTCAGTGGTAAAGTCGAAGCTAAAGTTGCTGCCAATGAATTATTGCTTCTCGTTCAACAATCGTTCGACACGGACAATGAATATCTCAATGCTTTCTTTAATGGTGCTCAACAATTGATTAACTTTGTTAGTGACAAATTGACTCGTCCAGCAAATAAAAAAAGTCTTCCACTAGGCAACAATTTGCAAGGACTCCTTGCCCAATACGGAGTAATTTCATCACTTTGTTACTTATACTTAAAACTAAAGTTTTGGGGTTTTAGAATGTACTCAGTCAATTTCAAGGCCTCAGTCAACAAGTTACTAATGCACTTTCGCAAGCTCAATTACAAACACTCGATCAACAAGCTGCTCAACTTGCTCAAAGTGTTTTCATTGGTCAAGTCGACGTAAACACAGCTGCAAGTCAATTATTAACCCAAGTTCAACAATATCTTGGCTCCAATACTGAACTTTACAATGCTGTCGTTAACGCTGTTCAACAATTAGTTGCTCTCAGTCAAGGACACTGAGAACGTTCGCTAGATTTTCTTGTAATGGTTTTGTTTTTCTCCTTTCTGTCGAATAAATAACATCGAGTCGTATAACATCGATTTTTTTTCTCGTTCTTATCACGCGGTGAGCGTAATCAAACATATTACTGACTATGTCACACGTCTTCGAAGGACGTAATATATAAATAATCTGTTTTTCTCTTTCTCTCGTATCTATCTATAAATTCGAAAAACAAACTGTTCTATTTCACATAAAATCATGCCTGTTGATCATAGTGACCCTGTGGAATGTTTGTTGAAACACAATGAAGAATTTACCAAACAAAGTAACTTTATTTCTTTTGTAAACTTCTGAATTGAAATAGTATTCTTAAGTTATAACTGTTCTACCTGGTATCCATTGTGCAATTGGATATGGATTGGCTAATTCAATATTAATCGAAGGAAACGATGGAAATATTATTGTTGATACGCTGGAATCGCGTGAAAGTGCTGAAGATGTGAAGAAGGACTTTGATAAAATCTCATCGAAGCCAGTCGTTGCAATTATTTATACACACAATCATTCGGATCATGTTTTCGGCGCCGAGGTATTTGCTAATGAAACGACGAAAGTCTACTCACATGCAAAAACATTGGAAATTCTTGATAAAACAATGAATGATTCTATATCACGGACCAGGCGAAAGCGATGATCAAATTGTTGTGCACATGCCAAATGAAAATGTTCTATTGGCTGCAGATAATATTTACAAAGCATTTCCAAATATTTATGCCATACGTGGAACAACAACGCGCGATCCCATACAATGGATTGCTTCGTTAGATTTAATGAGAAATCTGCGCGCAGAATATCTAATTCCATCGCATACGAAGCCAATGGTTGGAAAAGATGAAATTTATCAAACAATTACACTCTATCGGGATGCGGTTCAGTTTGTTCACGATCAAACAATTCGATGTATTAATAAAGGTTTGACACCGGATGAAATCATCGGAAATCAATTGGTTCAATTACCGAAGAAGCTCAATCAACATCCGTATTTGCAACAATTCTATGGAACTGTTCAATGGTAAGAGGCAGATTGAGAGTGACTCTTGCAAACTGTGCTTCGTGTTTTGTTTAGGACCATTCGTGCGGTATTTGATCGATATTTAGGTTGGTTTAGTGGAAAAACATCGGATTTGCACAAGGATGCACCGAAGACGCATGCAGAGAACTTGGTCAAGTTTGNATCCAATATGAACCGACTAGCGCCCAAGTTGTTCGCAAATTTCAACAATTGGGCGTTACTCAAGAAAATCCGAGAACGTATATTTCGCGTTATGGAAATGAATTACTTGATACTGACACTCTGATACGGCAAGTTCGTGCTGCTGGTGTAGTTGAAGATATCGTACGTATACATGGATTGTTTACATCTCTTTCTCATTTATTCCTTTCATGTATTAAGTCCATTCCAGTGGGTATTACATCAGGTTCTAGTTCAAGATATCTTAGCTCAGATATCTCCTATGGTGCTGATGCTGAAACTACTTTAGGTAAGAATTCATCATCATATTTATCTTGCATCTCTAAATTAACAATTGTCTCTTTTTTGCATATTATAGGAAGTACTGTTAGTACTGGTTACCGAGGTGGTTATAGTGACGACGAAAATAGTGGTTTTCGTTCGGTAAGCTATAAATCGTCATCGTACTCATACGGTACTGGCAATGGTTCTAATGTTGGTTCTACTGGTTTTAGTAGTACTGAAGCCAAGTTATAAAACACTCTACATGCTTTGAAAACATTTTCTTTTTGCAGCTATCTTACAATACAGCCTGATTTTTTTTCCTACTATTTCTATTAGATTTTCATTTAACTCTTAGTTAGCGCTGATATTTAATAACGAAAATAAAGCCTTACAATAAAACATGATTAAATACATTGTTTTGATTTCCATATAAAGTGTTCGAGTATGCCGGATAGAGTCATACTTGTTCGGTGTGAGATAAATAGAGTATGAGAGTCCCTTGTTTTATTACTCCCTAAAGAATATCTTCAGAGTGTACATCAAGTATGAACACATTTACACTGAACTGATATTATCTTTTAGCTTTCGTTTCCCATCTCTATAATTCCATAATCTCGAAAGTAACAGTGTTTCAATGCAATACTCAATCCACCAGATATTTCTGTGTAAACGTTTCGTTTAACCGTTTTTGGACGATTGACTTCATATATCATCGAGTGTTAATATTAAAATTTCGCTTTCATATCAAGAAAAATGACTTTCGCACTAATAGCGATTTATTTTGTTATTCATTTATAATTCATGTTTAGTTTCTTGCCTATGGCTTGTCAAATCTTTATATCTCGATGAACATATGCAACTAATGACGTTAGAAATAAAAGTAACGTCAGCAAAAGAAGCTTCATTCGATTCATTTATGAACATTTAGATCAATTTTACGTTCGGTGTCTTTGCGCATGATTCAAGTACACTTGTTTTTCTCTGTTGAGTCGCGTTCGCGTTCATATTGCTTGAGTGAAATTTATACAATTGAACATACTTGTACTATCCCACGAGCTCTCTTGTCCGTACTATTTTTTTGTCTATAACAGATGCTGTACAAGTACTTCATTGTTATTCAATAACTAACATAAAAAAAGTATATACGTACATATTTAAGTGTAGTATGAGCTGTACTAAAATAAAAACTATGCAAATATTTGAGTCGCGTACTATAAGTATTGAATGACTGGTATGTATGCGACCAAAGAAGAAAGGAGAAAATGATTGAAAAGAGCGAACGAACAAAATCGAATAGAATGTGATCGTATTCGATATCATCCATCTTTAATCTTCATACAAAAATGCAAAAAATATGCGGCATACGATGATTTCTAATCACGAAGACACAGCGCATGTTACTGTAAGTGATATGAAGGAAACGATACAATATCCTATTGAATGTTATTTTTTTAAACTGATTCCTTAATGATCTATTCACACATATTTACGTATAAATCATACATCGCCTTGAATTAATCTTTATTTCGTACATTCTTATCTTCGTCCACAAAAAATTATTTTTCGTGGACTCCTATCCGAGTCCAGTTCTCATTCTATCCATTAGTGACAGGCACATTCGACGTTCTATCTTTTCAACAAATGCCACTGTGTTCTTAACAAAAATCAACTCGTGATAGTGATTAAATCCCACTAGATGCGCGAATGAATCTGTCCGTTTGTTTCTTGTCAAACGATTGTATTAAAGCTGACATGAAATCTAACGATTCTTCTGTCAATTTACTACTGAAGTATCTCCCAACATGCGTCTTTCAATTGGATTTACTCTTACCTTTTCTCAATGGAGCCAATGGTGTCCAAGATTTTCTTGGTCAATAAAGAGTAATGTCATCGCTTCACTGCCAAACTTAAAACAGAAACCTATTGTGTTTAAAACGTGCTCAGCTAACTCTAAGGTGTTGCCGGCAATGTTTCACCTGGTCAATTGCAAGCACTCGCTCAAAGTGTGATCAGTGATCAAGTCAGTCTTCGGGTTTAGTTCAGCAATATCTTGGCTCTACCACTGTACTTTACAATGCTGTGCAACAATTGCTTAACCTTGTTCAAGGAAATTGATATTGACAACATGCACTAGAATATTTTGCCATGTTCTTTTTTCTACTCTCCTATAGATATATATAATCAAACAACCTGTCTAGTTTGTCCATGATGACGAACTATTGAAAGAAAAAACCTTCGCTCATTCGCGTACTTCAAACTAACAAAACATAATCATAACGATGTTGTATATTTTCTTCTAAGAAATCTACCACGCAAGTTTGTTAGCAGTGTCAAGTAAAACCGTGTTCGTATGGTATGAACTAATTTAAAAGAAAAACACTGTTTTGTTCAGTATTAGACAAAGATTTCGATGTGCCTTAAATGTCGAATAAGATTCCAATATTACCGAATAAGTTGAGATTCACGCAAACTTCAACTACAAAACGTTTTTTTACAAAAGGAGTCATAATTTTATTGTAGTTCACTTAGTAAAAATTTCAACATCGTTACATACGTGATACTATCCAGTCTCAACATTTCGTTTTCGCGTGTTCAAGATTACTTTTGTATTCGCAAAGTTTGGGATGATGTGAAGGTAATGTTTGATGTGCGATTTGCAGAGCACATTCGAAATGTGCACAAGCTTTGGGGTAATCTTTCATATTATCATACATCACGCCAATGTTATTGTGTGACATCGCCAAATCAGGATGGTTTAGTGGAAGCGATTGTTGTTAAAGTACAAGGACTTTTCATGCGATGCAAGTGCTTTTCTATAATCACACATCGTGTTGTACATATTGGCGATGTTGGTGTGTGACATTGCTAAATGAGGGTGAGTGGGAGGAAGCGATTGTTGCTGAATCGCAAGCGCTTTTTCATAGTATGAAAGTGCCTTGCCACAGTCACCCGTCATCGAATATACGGCACCGATGTTGTTGTATAATGAAGCCAACGTTGGATGATTTGGAACAAGTGCTTGTTGCAAAATAGCAAGTGCCTTCTCGTGAGATTGGAGCGCCCTTCGATGGTCACCGACATTAAAATAAACATTACCGATGTTGTTGTACGATTTGGCTAATTCGGGATCAGTGGAAGAAAGACTGTTTTCATTGATAGCAAGTGATTTTTCATAGTATACGATTGCTTTCTGGTATTCTCCTCGATTATATTCAATTGAACCAAGTTGATTGTAAATTAATGCTTTTCCACTTTTCTTTGTTTCTCGATCAAGTAACATTTGGTAGACTTCTTCAGCCTTATTATTTTGGCCCACTCTTTCCAGCAATAGACCCATTCTATACCATCCGTCCTCATCGGGAAAGCTCTCTTCTCGCATGTGTTCGGTAAGCTCATTTAATTGTTTATCCTTATCATTCGTGAGTGTCAAATGCACTTCGAATATTCTCGCATTTTCACCTATTTGTTTGACGTCATCAATTCGAAATACACTATGCATAGAAAATAATACTTCATCCTCCCGTGCGATTGCACTGATGTTTCGGACCGACGCGAATGATATCGTTGATTGCGTCGGATTGATTTCCATGACAAAAACAATTCCCATCAAATGAGGATTGTTTGCATTCTTTCGTGCAAAGTGAAATGCAATGTCGTAAAATCTACTAGTCGAGAGAAAGTTATTGAATGACATTATCCCTCTCTTGTTCTGCTGTAATTGCTCAAAATCATCCTTGGATAGACCTTGTCCACGATAAACTGTAAAGATTTCAGTAATATTTTGTTCTTGGTGTAGTCGTTGTATTTGTTGATGCAGATCATTGATGAAGAAGCCCATTCTTGTTAAGATGTCGCCGATCATTAATCGTATCGCACGATTCAACATGGGATACAAGAAACTTTCAAGAGTATACCACCAGATCGGTGTTTTTCTGTGATATTTTCGTTTGAATCGCTTGATATTCTTCAGCTCCGCTTTATTGCCTGCGAACACTTCACGACAGTAGTTCGCGTATTGTTTCATATATATATCATCAAATTTGATGGTCAACAATATTTCTTTGAATATTTGTGTATACATGAAAGACGGGTCCAGCTGATTCAATCGTTTATCACTTGTGACAAAACTAATAGATATGGCGTTTTGCTCACATTGTCGAACTGCTTGCTTGAGAGCATCACTAATAGATTTAATATCTGTGAAAAGTCCTTTTATTTTGGGCCACTCACCAGTCCATTGCTCGTGTCGCTGTCTATTACCACAAAAAACAAAAATTGAATCTATTTGAGACATGTCATGCACTCGAGATAAGATCTGTTGGCCAAGTGAACCAGATGTGATTAGACAAATCTTACGATCTTCGATAGTTTCGATAAAATCGATACATGCATCACAGTCTTTGTAAATATGTAGATCATGAATAGCACGTTGGAGTTGTGACGTTGTATTTCGACAATCAGTACTGCTATTATTGATATTATTATCCAACCATACTACAAGTACATTTTGGATTTTGTCTATGCCGACACAGTGACGTGCACTTGCTCGTTGTGTTGATCTCATTCTCATAAATTTTCTGTTGATCATTGTAGCTTCGAAAAGTAATCGTATAGAATATCGAAAAGAACCAGAATATTTATTTTCATCATGACTTAGCAAGACGAAAATCGCAGAGGGGATCATATTACTGTTGACAATCGTCAAAATTGTTGACGAAAGAAGAACGAAGCGGTGTTGTTAGCGTGATACTGTATGGACACATGACTTTCATCGATGTTTATCATGGTATCTTCAATTTTTAATTTGTTTATTTGGAAACTTTTTCATTTCCCTTTCGATTTAACAGAAAGACAAGAAAACTTCGTGTGTGCATGTGTTATAGTGATCGTTAGGAGTATACGTACATCTGCACGTCCCCTCATATACGCCAGGCCAGAATTCTATTGATATTAACCTTTTAACAATACTTTTAGGCAATTTGTTCCTAAAAAGCATTCTATTCACCGTTCTTCGATATTTTGTTAAGCAACATAACCTTTTTTCCTTGTTAACACGGCTGACAACAATAATTATGGGATACGATTTCAACGAGAACGCTGTTCATAATATGCAACGATCTTTAGCCATTAGCTCTCAATGAATCCTTTTCTGAAAACTGGTATCCTTTCCTATGTTTGTAGGGCGTCTCTATTTTTCTTCAAACGGACATATTCTGCTGTGACTAGAAAAAAAAACATGATGATTGGTGAACCAGCACCTAGGTCATCGACTTCATCGTGATATCAGAAAATAATAATGGGTGAGTACACAAATGACGTTGTGCTATTATATTTTGTTTATTAAAAAACCCGTTAACTAAGCTATAATCGGTATAGCCAATCAAAATCCTCATATTTTTTATAGTTAAGGATGCATCGACGCCGTCTTGCATTGCGAATGAGCGAACGCCAGTCTTTATTGACCTAAAAGTAGTTAGGAATGATTTATTTTATACTGTGTAGTCCATTTATTGATGGATACGACTTACATTTAATGATTTCGCATGTCCGATGATGTACACAGCATATTTGCCTCGAGTCACTGCTACATTGAGTCGACGTCGATCAGCTACGAATCCAATACTTTGTTGTCCACATTTGTCACCACAAGTGCGAACAGTGGAAATCAAAATGATATCTTTTTCTCGTCCTTGAAATCCATCAACTGTCCCTAAAGTACATTTTGTATACGGGATGCATGTCGCACGCTACAGTATCATTACCGATGTCTAGACAGGAACCAACTTGCTTTGAAATTAGTGCTAACTGTGCTCGATATGGAGTAATTATACTAATGGATGACAGTTCTATCAAACCTCGTTGTGTCAAGTAGTGAATAAGGTCAGCAATACACTGAGCTTCTTCTTGGTTAAAGTAAGACTGAGAGATGGGATCGAGTTCGTCCCGGCTTTCTGCGACATTAATGAAACCATAAGGTTTTAAACGAAAAAGAGCACTAAATCAAAGTTAAATGAAACAGTGTTGTATATCAACGCACGATTTGTTAAATCTAACCGCTCCTCTTGTACCAATTCATCAGTCAAAAGCTGTCCATTGTAAATATGTCTCGAAGGAAATTGACATATTGGCTCCGCCATTCGATATTGCTAAAAGTCTGAACATGTTTTATAGTTGACCAAAAAAGCCTGGTGCTTACAATGTTTAACATACGTATCAAACCGGTAGATCTGAAGATGGAATAGAGACGTTCGATAAGTGATTGATTGAAATTGGCACTTTGTGCATTGCGCGATAGAACAGTGGGCGGCAATTGTTCGGGATCACCAAAAAGCAACACACATCTGATGAGCAGACGTAAAGGAATAAATGTGTCGATTTCGAGAGACTGGCCCACTTCATCAATAATTAAACAGTCGAAACATAGAGTCTGACTTTTATCGCAAGAAAATGGATCAAAAATTGAGTTTCCAACGTAGTTTAACGTTGAGACAACCACATTCGCTTCTTCTAAATCTCTTTGTTTCAGTAAATTTAACTCTCTTGGACATGTATTTGTCGACGAATAGAATTCTATTTAACATAGATAAACAAAGGTTTTTCTAAAAATCCAACATACCGAGTGGTGAAAGTTGTTCAATGATTTCTTCGAGCATCGTTGATTTGAACAAAGACACGCAAGAGGTGTCTGTATATTCATTATGACCAGCACGAGCTACGATGAGATCTGAATAAACGAGAAAATGTAGGAATATGAATAGTGTTTATCTCAGTTCTATTGACCATCTATTTTGGCGAGTCTTTGTGTAAGGTCATCACATGCACCATTCGAAGGAGTGCATACAAGAATACGCAGTTTCTTCCGCTTTCTCATCAAATTCCATTGCTAAAAAGCCGTTTAAGTACTTTCGTGTAAATGACTGGCAAGGTGTTTTTTACTTGATTTATCGATTTTACAACATTAACAATGGTGTGAGATTTGCCTCGAATATGAAATAGTCAAGAAATCAAGAGAGTTAAATATTTTTTCCTTTACCTGTGCCAGGAGGTCCTTGTACGACGTAGACACGAGATGAATTCCGTCGTGGTCGGCAAACGATAGATACAGCCTCATTTATCACTTGGTACTGAGCTGCATTCTTTGCCTTAACTCCTCGTGATAGCGTTTGTCAAAGAGCGCAAACAGTTTTCTTACCCCAATGTTTTCCATATCGATCTGTGGTAGATGTGGTAAGTTTACTCGGAAGATCATATCGTCGACTGAAGGAGAGAGAAGCTCTGACACCAAAGGTAACGAAGGAAGCAAAGACAAAGCTCGGAACCGACGCAGATTCGAAACAAGCGATGCCATCACCTATTTCAATAGCGGAAGTATTCACTGAAGTTTGTTCGAAGTTCTATTTCATTTACCTGCACATGAATACACGAACCAGTAATTAGCGGCGAACGCTTCAAAACAATGCCGATTGTTAGTTCAATACAAACTATTTCTGATGGTCTAGTATTCAAACGAGGATCAAAAGCTATGAAAAAGCAAAATAGAAAATTCAACAGAAAGCATTTCTTTACATCCACACATACTTACCTAACATTGGATGAATGAATTTACGATTAGAAACAAGCTTTTGTTTCTGTAGTATGCCAAAGAATTGTTGGTCACGGGAAGCCGTGATGAGTAGAAGATCATCGTATCTTGGCTGCATGGGATCATCATCCACTGTAAGAACTACATGAAAAAGTCTGATTTAGATCTATTGAAATCCGCTCGAATCCTTACTTTGACAATGTAATTCCATCAAACCAATTTTTCGTTTTACTTCTGTTCGAACTATGTATGCTTGACATATCGTTGGTGGTTTACCTTTATTTTGTTCTAAACGCTCGTGAATGTCTTGTTTTACCTAAACACAATGAAAACAAAATTGACTCTCTCTTCGAGAACTGTGTTGATATACATTTTGCCATGTTTCTTCAAGAAGACAAGGTAAATGTGCTGATTCATAATCACTGAACGATGTATATCGTTGCTTTACTGAAGTTGCTGAGCGATTATCTGTACAATAATCTTTATACAAAACACCAGGTTTCAGACCTTCAAAATGATAATCTTGTGTGAAATTACAAAATAGTTTCGTTCTTACGGGATTCATTAAGCCAAACAGGATCCCATGAAAGAATGTAGGACATATATGTTTCGTAAGAGAATACTCCTTCTGTTTGATTCACCATCGTAAAAGTCGAAGCTATTGGTTTTGTTCTTTTATATTGATTAGACAGTGTATCACAAACATATACTGCATTGATTATCGGATCACTGAATGCTTCATAATTGATCATCTTAGTCTGTTCTTCCAAATACTGTGGCTGCCAAGAAGTCGAATAAGAACTTTCGGAATATTCAATTTCATTTTGAAGTGGAGCATCAGTAGACACTATTGATGATTCTGATAGTGCATCTAATGATATATTTGGTACGAACGGCTCTTCCATGACAGTATGAACAGGCGACTTGCGTAGTGGGTCAGAAGAAACTGGTTTTGATGTTGTTAAGTGCACAGAAGTTTTAGAGTCGACTAAATGAAAAAGCCTTAACATATATGTGTCTTTGATCATCATACGATTACTTTGGCTACACCATACCAGAAAAATAAAAATAATGATACCCACGCAAAAATACAAAAACATTAATGCCAATCTGAAATCAGTCACCATGATGAAAGTACTAATCTTTTCTTGATGTATAGATATGTGCAACGCTCTCTACACAGAGATATAAAATCGGAACTTGGAGACTTTTATTCTCCAACAAAATATAATTATCTTTTAGTCTTGCTTATAAAAAAATCAGAATGGCAATAAAGACTCCATACTTTTACGTGTATGTCAAAATAAACATACTGATTATTTATGAGAGCTCAAAACTCTTTCTAAAAGAAAGCCAAAAACATAGTTACAAATGTTTGTCTTCTTTCTTTCAATGGAAATACATTTTACATTCACACTATAGAGAAAAATACTTATCTTTCTTTATTTACAGACCAAACCAACTTTACCTGTAAGAGCATGGATCTTTTTTGTATTCACGCGCTTTATTATGAAGACACTGATGACTACTTACGTAGAACGGTAAAAATACTTTCTTTATGCGCAAAAATATATGTGATATTGTTCGATTTTTATCTATAGAGATCGCTCATATAGAGAAGAAAATACAATAACGAAGTACAATGAAAATTTCATAAGTATATACGACACACAATCTGTCCGCATGATTTAATATATAATCGATAAATCCATATAGTTTCATTGTTATGTGGAACATTGGCGAAATAAGACGTGTTGTCTCTTCCATATGTTATTAGCAAACTGATACATGATGAAGACATTTTCCGAATATGATTTCGGAAGAACAAAAAAAGCATCGTTATACCAGTCTGTACGACATACTTTATTACAATCATATCGATCACCAACAGTGACTTATCGAGACAAATACGTAGTGTATCTCTGCACTAATATTCCGAATGCTTCGAAGAAACTCCTGTCTATATATTTATTATGAAAGACGAAAAAAACAAGGTATCGAATTTCAGGCCAGAATGTTCTCTGTAAACTAACTATTGATCGATCATAGACAAACAAATTTCACTCTTAGATCGCCTATCATAATGAATGTATACGGGCCGTTGTACATGACTACCTTCATGCAAGTCTATTCGTGTTCTTTTCCTATCGAGATCTGTATTAGACCTTATTTGACATGTGAACTGAATATTATTCAGTGTAGGATTAATTAAGCTGAATTGATCATCATCATCACTGGTAAATTTTTGTCTATTGTTTGAGCGAAAAGTAAATGATTGAGATTCCGTCGGTGCCGGATCATTCATTTTCAGTCTTTGTGTTGTAGTATAAGTGTTTGAATGACGTTGACTCAGACGATGAGTATTTGTTTGAAACCATTCAGAAGAAATATTGGATAGAAGACTGTGATCACATTGAAATATAACAGTTTGCAAGTGTTGAAACTTATCGATAATCTGAATCATCATTTCTTCACTGTCGACTGGAACAGTCAAATTTTGAACATGCATTAACATTTGAGAAAATTCATCAACATTTTCAACATCAATGGGAAAAAACGATTCTTCATAATAAGCAGGTTTCAATTTATGTAATGTCAAAGAATATATATGTTTAGGCAAACTCAATGATGTATCGAATACATTCGTAATCAAGTGATTTAATTGGGGTATATGTGCGAGTAATAATTGTAAATAGCCGATTCCTGGACCAACAGTATATGCAAAATCAAGTGTCTTAATTTGATTAAGATCAATGGAGGACGTAAGAGTGTTGATAAAATCTTGACATGTGACAGGCGCATATGGACGCCACCAAATTTCTAACAATTGAACTTTAGTGAAACGATACATTGGTAATGTTCTTCTTTCTTCGGGAATATATTTATAAGAATCGATTGTAGTTTGAAAAAAGAATTGATTCTGGAGATTGATTGGCACGGTTGATAATGGTGGATACGCGTTTTGTCCTTGTAACTCATCAATTTCATTTGGAAGGAAATAAGGTAATGAATATATTCTGAACTGTTCTTCGTAAGGAACGTGCTTACAAGCGACATACCAATGTTTTTCTTCCAGCCAAAATGATGATCGAAACCGTTCGAGTGCTGCTAACTGTTCCTGTTGTAATAACGATGACGATGTATACAAAGACAATTGGAAATTAAATTGTTCAATACGTGTTCGTCGAAGAAACTCTTCCCATCGAGTACCATCAATAAGATCAGGATGTCCCCATGCTTGGATTGTCAAATATTTCAATTTCACCAACTTAATTAAACACTCTTCTAAGAAATCAAATGACAATGTTGTACCTACAATGAAATACACGGTCAATAAACTTATTTTGGCGCTTGTTCTTACGTAGAATTATGTCGAGATGGGACAATGAGACTAGATTTTGACATACTAGTTTCAGTTTGGGTAAAAAAGGCATGCCTCCATCATAAATAGAAATTTTTAAATGAATGAGTGATGAAATTTGAATACAGTGAGATATTTGTTCAAACTGAGAAAACAAACAATCGTCATTGATGATCAAATGTGTCAATACATTAAAATAAACGTTGTTAATGGGTATTGCATCAACAGAATCGACATTAAGATAGGTTAGGCAATTAGCTTGATGATAAATAACTTCCTTTGTAATAGAATCGGAGTTTTCTTTTGGAAAATTTTGTTTAAATGTTAATGATGAAGTATTGTCTGGTAAATCCATGCGAAAGGTTTTCATAGAAAGAAATTTGATTGATCTTAGGTTAAGAAATTCTTTTTGAAATCGTGGAAAATGATTGAGAAGGAGTCGTATTTGATCCGGCATGAATTTTTCTGATAATAGAAGATGATAAACTTGTTTTGGTTGAACATTTTGACAAATAAAATCAAATTTTGATCGAGATATTTGCTGAAAATCGAGTTTTAATGGATATGAACGAACAATTCGATCAAAATAGCGATTTATTCCAATGAAGCCGTAGAGTATATGCCATGGATTCAAACAATCAAAGATTTCAAATATTATTTCTGTTGCCAATGCTTCCAAACACGACTTCATTTCTTTTTCTATGATAATATAATGCACCATGATTACCTTTTGCAATGTGTTATCATAGAAGCTGTATCTGCACGTACGTCAGCAGATGTCGCCAATGTCTGGCCCGTTAAGTATGGAATAAATGTATTTACACATGCCTGAAAGTACTCTGCCGTCTAACGATGTGAAAAGACTGTTAAAATCGATTACGATACGAAGTGTTCAGCCTTACTCAACAATATAAGTAGTTCGAAAGAGTGGGTGTGCTGCTCACGTTTATTCTCAATTGATATATTTATTGATGAAAGAACATATACAATTAGTCACACATTTTTACGAGAGTGTCTATATTTTCTGTACCGTAGGTTGCTATAACCATATCTATTCGTTCATCATTATTTAAATCAGCCAATGCGACTGAATATGGGAGACTTTCATAACCTAATGGATACGAAGTTTCATTTCCAAATGTTCCATTTCCATATCCGTGCAATACAAATATATTGCTTGTACCAGAATTGGCAACGATCAAATCTAAATTATTATCATTATTAACATCACCAACAGTGATTGTAAAAGGCTGGGAGCGAACACCTGTTGAGTAGAGTGCCGTAAGAGTAAACGTTCCATTGCTATAACCATGAAAAAAGGCGACATTGTTCGTTTCCGAGTTACTAACAACAATATCTAAGTGGCTATCATGATTAAGATCAGCAATAGCAAGAGAAAGCGGATGGGAATCATTTCCTGTTGAGTATGTTATCATAGAACTAAACAATGCATTGCCGAGTCCCAATAAGATGCCAATGTTATCAGTTCCATAATTGGCTACGACAATATCTAACCAACCATCATCATTCAAATCACCGAGAGCAACCGAATGTGGCTGTGATCCATCAGCGAGTCGATGTGCTATTACACTTGCATAAGAATGACGGTCATAGTCAACGAAAACAATAATCGTATTGGTTATGAAATTTGTCAGAATGATATCTGATTGTCCATCGTGATTGAAATCGCCTGAAGCTATGGATCCTGGTGCAAAGTTTGCACCAGCAGAATAAGTAGTCCCTAACAAGAACGTCCCATCTCCAAATCCAAATAGAATGACAACTGTATTTATGATAGTGTTAACAACAGCAATATCTAAAATTTGATCATTATTAAAATCTCCAATAGATTGGTAAGTAGGTCCAGCACCATCGCCTATCGAATATGCGCTTACATTACTGAATGTGCCATTCCCTAGCCCTAAAAGAATGGCAACGTTGTTCCCATTATAATTAGTTACGACAATATCCAGTATACTATCATTATTGAAATCGGCGAGATTTATTGAGTTAGCCCAGGTCTGATAACCTACGGAGTATAACACTTGCGCTTGAAAACTTCCATTGCCATAGCCGAGAAAAATGCTTGTGGTGCTAGTATAATAATTACATACAGCAATATCCATATTGCCATCCTTATTTAAATCTCCAATGGATGCTCCTTGCGGCTGAGCTGAAGCTTCAGTCAAATAGGTTTCTATCAAAGTGAAATTTCCCGTACCTTCTCCGAGAAATATACTTATAGTATCAGCATAAGTGTTCACTGTGACAATATCTACTTGATCATCATTGTTTACATCTCCGGTGGTCAAACTTCGTGGAATTGTATTTGTTTCAGTTGAAAATGTTATTGTATTTGAAAAATTTCCATTGCCATATCCAAGAAATATGCTTACGACGTTGCTGTCGAAATAAATCACGGCGATATCTACATGATCATCTTTGTTGAAGTCTGCGATAGCGAACTCGGACGGATAGACGTTAGGTTCTGTTGAATGAAGTGTTGAGAGGGTGAAACTTCCATTGCCGTGTCCAAGAAATACACCTAACAGACCACTGACTTGATAAAGTACAACCATATCGAGATACGTATCACCATTCACATCACAAACTCGAGCAGCAGATGGTCCTCGAGCATTTTCAAGTGAATACGTGAACGGATTTTGAAATGATGTATAATCAAATCCAATAAAAAAGCCGATACTATCACTTTGTTTATTTGCGATAACAAAATCGCTGCGATTATCATTATTCAGATCACCCATAACTATACTAGATGGAAATGAATCCGATCCAGTTGTATACTTCTTTTGTTGTGCAAAACTTCCATTGCCGTTATTCATAATTATACTCATTGTGTTTTCTTTTGCATTCAAACTAATGATGTCCAAACGGCTGTCTTTATCGACATCGCCGGTAATAACATATTGTGGAGAACTATCAGTACCAGTTGAATAGATAGTTGGTGTGCTAAACATGCCGTTGTTTAAACCAAACAAGATATTGATGCTATCAGTATCTGAATTGGCAACGACAACATCTGCTTGATTATCGTCGTTGAAATCGCCAGTGGCCAACGAATATGGATGTGGAGCAGATCCTGTATTATAGGAGAATTGCTTGCTGAACTCGGCAGCATCGTACTCAGTTAATACAGCAAAATATCCACTACTCCAGTAGGTGACTACATATTCTAAATGTTCGTCATGATTAAGATCTGCAGCAGTAATAGCATATGGACCTGAACCAATGCCTGTGGAATATCTTCGCGCCAGAATAAAGTTTTCTGTACTGTCTCCATAAAAAATGACTAATTCATTTGCCGTAGAGCAAGTTGTGGCAATATCAAGATGTTGATCATTATTAAAGTCATTAATATACACGTAGTAAGGAAATGTGTTAGATCCGGTGAAAAATCCGATAGCTGATGGGAACGTTCCATCACCGATTCCGAAAAAAACGAATACGCGATCCTCGTTTGGGCAGGTAATAACAATATCTAAGTGCCTGTCCCGATTTAGATCAGCGAAGACAACCATAAAAGAGAATCCTCCACAATCAGCTGAATATATTATCATGTCTCCGAAACTTCCATTGCCAACGCCTAAAAAGACGCCAATGGACGGCGGTGTTGCGAGAGTGACGGCGAGATCGAGATAACCATCACTACTCAGATCTCCTATAGTAACTGCAGTCGATTCAGAAGCGGTACCTGTCGAGAATGTCTTTTGCCTACTGAAATTTCCGCTACCGTCATTTAAAAATATGCTTATAGAACTTGACAACAAATTGACAGCCACGATGTCTAGATATGTATCATTATCTAAATCCCCAACAGCCGCAAACCATGGCTGAGTACCTGTCGAATATGATTTCATAGATTGAAACGTTCCATCTTCGTTGCCAAAAAAGATTCCAAGAGAATTACTTCCTAAATTAACTACCACCATATCCGTACGATTATCAGCATTTAGATCTCCGAGACACATATATTGTGGAGCAGATCCCATACCTGTTGGATAAACATCTCCTTGAATGAATTTACCCTTGCCAATCCCGTTGAAAATAACAACATAATCGCTATTAAAATTATCAACGAGTGCATCTAATTGACCATCTTTATTGAAATCGTGAATAACAACAGACGATGGACGAGAATCGCGACCGACGAAATATGTCGTTTGTCGAACAGAGGGCTTACTTGAATAATCACACAATATATCTACACTATTTTTGCCGTCATTAGTAACGACAAGATCAGATCGGTTATCTTTATCAAAATCCACAACTGCGATAAAGGATGGATTCGATCCAGTAACAAAATCATAGGTTGTTAATGCACCAAAACTCGCATTATCATAACCGGGTAGAATATGTATTCGGTCATTTTCCGAATCGGCAATAACCACATCAAGATATTGATCTGTATCAATATAACCAACAGTAATAAATTGCAGACGATACTGAGAATCAATGGGATATAGAATTTGACTGGCAAAAGTACTATCACCTCGATTAACAAATATGCCGATACTACCAAGACCATAATGACAGACAAGGATATCTAGATGATTATCTTGGTTCACATCGCCAAGAGTAACAGATGATGGGTGAGAATTTGGCGCAGTGCTATAAGTATATTTGTTTATAAATATTCCATTATCTTGTCCTATAAAAATTCCGATATTGTTCGTGCCATAATTTGCAACAGTAATGTCTAATTGATTGTCTTGATTCAAATCGCCAACTGCTAATGAATGTGGAAATGAATCATAACCAGTACTATAAACAAGTCCACTTCGAAAAGTTCCATCATAATCTGCCAAATGTATACCAATATTATCAGTGCCATAATAAACAGCAGCAATATCAGAATAATTGTCATGATTAAAATCACCAGTTGCAAGAAAGAATGGATGGAAGGAACTAGTCGAAAGAACTTGTTGAGCGAAAAATGATCCACTTCCGTTATTGATGAAAAGACCAATACTATTTGTTCCATTATTCGCCACAGCAATATCCACATATCCGTCCTGATTGAAATCGCTAACGACCACCGAACACGGACGAGATCCTGCACCTGTTGCATACGTTCGCTCTGTCAGGATGGTTCCATTCGTATCCAAATTGAACACAACAATTGTGTCCGTGCCCGAGTTAGCAGCAACGATGTCGAGTTGTTGATCTTTATTGAAATCACCGACAGCGATCGAACGTGGTTGTGAACTGCGAACAACTGAGCTTTTCATTGTTTGTCGAAATTTGAATTGACAAGTATGATCTAAACGAATATTTTCTCAAAAAAGTGCTTACAACACAGAACGAACAACATACCTTGCTTCGGTACAGTCAAACAAACGACTAATACTCCAATAATCAATGAGATACTAACAAATAAACCAACTAATATCCATGAACGTAGATTATTTCTATTTGAAATAGATATTCACATTATATTAATAATATTTAACAGATTAAACAAACTTTTTTGCTACTTCAATCGTCAAAATATCGCTATCGTCATCGTCTTTTGCACGATGCATTTCTTTAAATGATTCTATAACAGTATATACTTCATCCGGATGACGTTGATTATTCGGTGAGCTTGCTGATATTCTCATTTTGCACTTTCAACTATGCAATTCACCTATACTAATTCGACGCAAAAGTTATTTATCACTCACAATGAAATTTACCTTGATGTAATTTAGGCCACGGTTTTTTTTCTGTTATTTTTCACTACTGTATTCGTCGTTTATATTGGCGATCGAATACAGTACAATATATTTTCACGATAAAGTTGATCAGTGAGTGACAAGCCGTTCGATAAAAAACGTATTGTATCTTGCTTATAACATAAATATTCACCACGTGTTAAGATATGATAAAAACAACGATCGCTATTCGATCTAAGCAAAAATATATAATTTTTTCTTTTGATATGTACTGAAAATGCTGGATGTAATGAAATAACTAACTTAGAAACACCACACTTGCAGTATTTGTGTATAAACTATATGATCGTTCCGCGTACTTGCTACATTTGTTGAAGATTATAGCGTAGCTGATGATTTTGATATATTGATAGTGATCGATCATCAGAGCAATGCCAAATCAAAGCTGGCATTTACTAACCAGTGAATTAGGAAATATAGAATTATGAATAAACTTTTCTTAGAAGTAGCTGGGAAAAATCCAACATAGGTTAATTACAAAGAAAAAATATCAAACGAACGAACCATACGTGTTTGCACTTTTGAATAATTTCGAAAAAACAATCTGTTCGGAGACATTCTTTTGCTATCTCACTTATTTACGAGGAACATCTCAAAACGTTTGATCACATACGTGATTCCACAGACGAATGATTTTCTTCACGCAATCACATTACTTGTATCGACAGGTTAGTTTCGTAGAATTCGATACACTTTAGTGCTTTATATGGGTCTGCATGACACGCAGTTAAACAGATGCTCATGACGTTAAGTACGTCATCTTTTGATCAATGATACTTCTCTAATTTCGAGTAAATTATACAACATTTTATTTGTTAACAGATCCGCAAATCGATTGACCAATTTTGATAGACGAAACACGTGATCAAATCTTTTTTTTTCGTATCGAAACATGGAAAATGAAGAAAAAAAAGTACCATGCTGTTTACATTCGATTTTTCTCTATCCTTCATGTTACTCTGTGAATATGAAAGCAACCAACATTCATACACAATCAATCCTGTCGTGAAGAGAAAGCTCTTCACTTTAGTTATTGTGAACTCGAAGTAATTTATTCCTTGATGATCAACGTGTTTCTGTTGACCTAGTCTGCAGAACGAATTGCTTTATGTCAAGCAAAAGCAGAAAAAAACAACCCATCAAGTGTACTTTCGATCAAAAAGCAGAAAAATCATCAATACCAACGCTTCATTTATATTACCTGGCAAGCGTTACTGATGGATGAAAAGCATTTTATTTACTCAAGTATTGCTTAATCGAAAACGACAGATAGAATTCTATTCATTTTTCGTGTTTTTCAGTCATTTCAAACATAAATTCTGTTCGTTGAGTTTACTTTTCTACACAAGTGTGAGCTTGACCTATGGAAGCTTCGAACAGAAATACTGTTCGTGAGACACGAATAGAAAACGATTTTCATGATCTGAACAATCCGTTACCATCTATGCAGCAAGGTCATGCAGGATTATTTGGACAGGCGAGATCATTCGATGTTGAAGATACACAGCCTTCCAAAAGGTAAAACATAACAATCGAGGTTGCAACACAAGCATTTCTATGGTTTCAGGAACAATCAAGGTTTTTGTAACAAACAATGCTTGATTGGACTCGCTATCGGTTTGACGATCGGTGTGGTACTTGTTATTGTCATTGCAGTTCCAGTTGGTGTTGTACTAGCATCGAAAGCGACAGGAAGTTAGATTTTTCTCTTCCAAGATTGTACGATTGTCTCTCTTTGAATTTCTCTTTAGCACAATCGAGTACGGTGACTACTTCGACTAGTCAAAGCACAAGTCGTATAAAACAAGTTCAGAATTGTCTTAGTCAAGATATTACAAGACAACCGGTACTGATCGATACCGACACAGACATTGATGACCTATGGGCGATCCTCTATCTTCTCAATGTAAGAGCATATTGGCTGATAGGCTCTATCATTCTGGAAATTCTAGGTTCCAACTGTTGATATTCTCGCGATAACAACTAGTGGAGACGGATACAGGTATAAGAAATGCAGCATCTATTTACATACTAAAATAATGCTTTCCTTCCGGTTAGTACACCGTTCTATTCAACATCGAATATTCTTAGCCTTCTTGGATTAGTCAACTGCACAGACGGTGTTGGAGTTGCCACGGGAGCAAGGTTTATTATGTTCAAAAGAATGAATTTTTTAAGCATTTTTCTCTCTTGTAGTCTATCATTATCTCCGACGGGATGGATTATTGCAAGTTCAATTCTCAAAGGTATTGATACCTTTCTCACATCTCCAACTTGTCTCAATCAGTCTACCAACATTTTCTTACAACCATCACCATTTGATGCAGTGGAACTGATCATATCTACATTGAAATATTCACAACGACCAGTAGATATTTTATGTCTTGGTCCCATGACGAATATCGCCGAAGCGATTAGCCGGGATCGATCGATCGTATCAAAGATAGGAACACTGTACCTTTCTGGTGAGTCGTTTCGAACTGATGTTCGTTATATATACGCTTTTTCTTCAAGGTGGTCAATTCAAATCAATAGCTGATTATCCATCATTGGTACCAAATCCGAGTCTAGGGGTTTATCCTTATTCATACAAAACCTCAGGAAGCAGTTCGAATGTCTTCTTAGGTAAACACCTATCATCTGAATCTTCTTCGTAACATCATATCCGATTTCTAGATGTTCTTGCCGTTCAACGTGTCGACGATAGCGGAATCAAAAATTTAGTCGCTATGCCATCAGGTGTGCAAAAGCAATTAACTGCGAATCTGACTCAACTTAACAACAAAATACGAGCATTGAATCTTCAACTATCACCATTTACTTACGGATTGATCTCGTCATTAGCCAAATGTACAAATCAGACTGAAGGAGATATTTTTTGGTAAGTTTCACTACAGTTTCTCTGTCAATATTGAATAATGTTTGTGAAAGGTGGGACAATAGTGCAGCTCAATTGATGGTGCAAATGCAAAATAATGCCACAAATGGCTTTTGTACGAATCTGCAAAAGGTTCAATCATTATACGTTCTCTCCGCTGATGGAAATCACCTCTACGGTCAAGGTTTATCAGGTTTTGATCAATTAAGACCAAATACACAAGGTTTAACGAATTATACCATATGTACTCAAACCAATTCTGATCTGTTCCTTACCGAATTTTTAACAACCATCGCCTCGAACCGATTGGATTCTTGTGCAAAAACATATCAAAATCGATTTGACATTAAACTACAAGCATGTCTTAACACATATGGATATGAATAAGCAAATAAATCAGAGTCCGTGTCCCTGTGTGTATTGACTTTTGCAATTAAAAATATTTCCAAAAATGCAACTGAAAAAGACTTAAAAGCAACGGGCAGGATTTGATAGAAATAAAAGAAATTGGTTTTTACTAGTACCCAGTGTGTATATTGATTTTCTTTCAGTCCTATTTTCTCATCAAAGATTAACATGACCTTGAATACTCAGCCAGCGCGTGATAGTGATAAAATTTTACCAGATGCTCGAATAAATCCATGTTTTAAATTCTTGTGGGCGAAGGTATAAAAACCGGCACAAAACCTACCGATTTTTCAATCAGTTTTCTGCTGAAATACTTTTCAATATGCGTCTTTCAATCGGATTCGTTCTTGTCTTTACTACAATTGCTTTCGTACAAAGCAATCCTCTCTTCAATCAACTTGCTCTCCAACCAGTAAAGATCGACATTTCCCTTAAAATCTACTCATCTATTTTCTCCTCACATTCATCTAGGTTCTCTCAAATCAATTCAATGGTTTACAAGGCCTTCTTCCGCAATACGCAGTAACACTATCCGGATTTATTTTCGATTGCTTATAAGATTAATCTCTTTTAGGATTTAATCAATAAATTCCAGAACCTCGCTCAACAAGCTGCCACTAACTTGACACCAGATCAATTGCAAACACTTGCTCAACAGGCTTTTCAACTCGCTCAGAATGTCCTCAGTAATCAAATCGATGCAAATACAGCCGCCAGTCAATTATTGAACGAAGTTCAGCAATTGCTTAATCTTGATGGTGCAGGCTTAACACGTCCAGCACTCAGCACACGTGGTAAATTCAACCCATTTCAAGGATTTTTTGATCACGTCCAAGTACGATCATTTCTCTTTGATTTTGTTTCTCGTTTTGCATTGAACTTCTTTTAGAATGCAATGAACCAATTCCAAAACGCTGCTCAACAATTTGCCAATACATTCGACCCCAAGAAAATCGAAGAAGTCAGCAAAATATGCTTTCAACTCGTCGAAAGCATTATCAATGGTCAAGTCGATGCCAAAATTGCAGCCAGTGAATTGCTACTTCTCATTGAGCAAACATTTGGTTCAGAAAATGGATTCGTCAAGACATTTGTCACCGGTTCTCAACAACTAATCAACTTCGTTAGTGAAATCTTACCTCATACACAAGAAGTTATTGGTCAAATCGAAGTAATCACATCCCTTTACGCGTTTTTCTCGTTCCAACTTGACTCCGTTTAGAGTTCAGTAAACGAATTCCAAAATAATGTGGAACATTTTGCCAATACACTTACATTTGAACAGTTACAAGCACTTAGTGAAGTCTTTTCTCAACTTGTTCACAGTGTTCTCAGTGGTAAAGTCGAAGCTAAAGTTGCTGCCAATGAATTATTGCTTCTCATTCAACAATCGTTCGGCACGGACAATGAATATCTCAATGCTTTCTTTCATGGTGCTCAACAATTGATTAACTTTGTTAGTGACAAATTGACTCGTCCAGCAAATAAAAAAAGTCTTTCACTGGTCAACAATGTACAAGGACTCCTTGCCCAATATGGAGTAATTTCATCACTTTGTTACTACTTAAAACTAAAGTTTTTAAAATTATTTTAGAATGTACTCAGTCAATTCCAAGGTCTCGCTCAACAAGTTACTAACGCTCTTTCGCAAGCTCAATTACAAACACTCGGTCAACTAGCTGCTCGACTTGCTCAAAGTGTTTTCACTGGTCAAGTCGATGTAAACACAGCTGCAAGTCAATTATTAAGCCAAGTTCAACAATATCTTGGCTCTAATACTGAACTTTACAATGCTGTTGTCAACGCTGTTCAACAATTAGTCGCTTTCAATCAAGGACACTGAGAACATTCATTCGATTTTCTTGTAATGGTTTTGTTTTTCTCCTTACTGTCGAATAAATAACATCAAGCCGTATAACGTCGATTTTTTTTCTCGTTCTTATCACGAGGTGAATGTAATCAAACATATTACTGGCTATGTCAGTCTTCGAAGGACGTAATATGTAAATAATGTTTTTCTCTTTTTCTCGCATTTCTCTATAAATACGAAAAACAAACTGTCCTATTTCACATAAAATCATGCCTGTTGATCATAGTGACCCTGTGGAATGTTTATTAAAACACAACGAAGAGTTTACCAGACAAAGTAATTTCATTTATTTGTGAACTTCTGACTTAAAATAGTATTCTTCAGTTATAACTGTTCTGCCTGGTATCCATTGTGCAATTGGATATGGATTGGCTAATTCAATATTAATCGAAGGAAACGATGGAAATATTATTGTTGATACGCTGGAATCGCGTGAAAGCGCTGAAGATGTGAAGAAGGATTTTGATAAGATCTCGTCGAAGCCAGTTGTTGCAATTATTTATACACACAATCATTCGGATCATGTTTTCGGCGCGGAGGTATTTGCTAATGAAACGACGAAAGTCTATTCGCATGCAAAAACATTGGAAATTCTTGATAAAACAATGAATTTAGTTCAACCAATTACATTTCAACGTGCGGCAAGACAATTCGGGGTATACTTGAACAAAGAAACAGGTCATATCAACTCTGGTATTGGCTCGCTTTTGAATTATAATCAAACAAATCGTCGTGCTTATCTTCCACCAACGGACACATTCAGTGGTCGCTCATTGGAATTGGATGTAGCGGGGAGAAAGCTGATTTTATATCACGCGCCAGGCGAAACCGATGATCAAATTGTTGTGCACATGCCAAATGAAAATGTTCTATTGGCTGCGGATAATATTTACAAAGCATTTCCAAATATTTATGCCATACGTGGAACAACAACGCGCGATCCCATACAATGGATTGCTTCGTTAGATTTAATGAGAAATCTGCGCGCGGAATATCTAATTCCATCGCATACGAAGCCAATGGTTGGAAAAGATGAAATTTATCAAACAATTACAGTCTATCGAGATGCGGTTCAGTTTGTTCACGATCAAACAATTCGATGTATTAATAAAGGCTTAACACCGGATGAAATTATCGGAAATCAATTGGTTCAATTACCGAAGAAGCTCAATCAACATCCATATTTGCAACAATTCTATGGAAATGTTCCATGGTAAGAGGCAGATTGAGAGTGAATCTTGCAAACTGTGCTTCATGTTTTGTTTAGGACTATTCGTGCGGTATTTGATCGATATTTAGGTTGGTTTAGTGGAAAAACATCGGATTTGCACAAGGATGCACCGAAGACGCATGCAGAGAACTTGGTCAAGTTTGGCGGTGGGGCAAAAGAAGTTTTTGCAAAAGCACAATCAGCTTTTCAGGAAGAAAAATACCGATGGACTCTGGAATTGGTTGAAGCATTAAGTTTATACCCTGAAGATGTAAATCCTTCAGAAATCAATGAACTTCACTGTTCGACTTTGGAAAAATTAGCCGCGTTCGAAACTTCGGCCAACGGAAGAAACTGGTATATGACAAAACGATTAGAAATTCAAGGATTGATTCATATAAAACCATCGGAAAAACAAATTATTGAAACTGTGTCCAAATCCTCGATCAAAAAATGCTTACAAGTTCTGCCGGTGAATTTTAATTATCAAAAGGCAGAAATCGAAAATCTGGTGATTTTCTTTCATTTCAACGACACCAATGAAAAATATTCGGTCGAACTTCGAAATTCAATTGTGGATGTTCAAGACTGTTGGAATGAGCAAATCAAACCGGATTTAGCAATTGAAATTAAAACAGAAAGGATCTGGAAAGAAATTTTAGTTCGAGCGAAAACTCCAATGGATGCATTGGACAATAAAGATATTAGTATTAAAAATCAACAAGGTGATGATTATCCGGAAGGCATTCTTCAATTGGTTCAGTTTTTGCTTCTTTTTGCTCCATAAACTATATTTCATCGACTAGATGAAAGTTTTATCACTTCTAAATAAAATTTGAAAATGTAAGACGCCTTATGCTCTAATTCTAGTTTGTGACCCTCAGATGTAGTAAAATATCTGCTCGCATAAAAAAAGCGAAAACTGACGAAGATATTCTGATTCTTCTATGTGCACTGTGTCTTAGTTCAAATTTACTTATCGTCAAGAATTTCTACGTCGATCGCGATAACTTTCTGGCAGAATCCCGACTCAAACAGTTAACTTTATTAGAACAGATCCAGTATAAGAAACACAAGTTAACTTCTTTTTTACACGTACGAGGTTTTTTCTTTATTGACCAAGATCGAGATGATTCGCAGGCAGTTCTTGTCGGTAGATTTCGAGGTCTTTTGCATAGTGCGAGAGTACTTTTGAATCTTCACCCATATTATTGTAAGTTGACGCCAAATGGAGGTGGTTTGCACCATCCTTCTGCGTTCGACAAATTCTCCTTTTGAATCTGTTCGGCTAGAATATTCAGCTCGTGGTCATTATCACAGGACAGTGTCGCACACGCACCTGGTACAACCATTAATTTTTTTAGACCGATTTGCATCACAAATAGGATTTCAACTAGATCAGGATTCGTTGTAGCCCGTTTATCAAAACCAGTGAAATATCACGGACCTTGCTAATGCAGAAGAAGCTGTCGAGGGCATTCTTTCACCTATTGATTGACTGAGTTCTACAAATAAGTGTGCTCTTGATAGATCGTGTTCACGGTACACTGTGAAGCTGCTCAAGCGGTGAAAAGTCCTTTGATTTTGGACCACTGTTTTGCCCACTGCTCATGATACTCTTTGTTACCGAAAAAGATGAAGATCGAATCCACTTGCGACAGGTCATGTATATGCGGTAGTAAATCTCGTCCAGATGATCCTGAAATAATCATGCAAAATTTTACAGTCGATGATTGTTTGATTAAATTTCTTACATTACTCGGTAACAATACGTTGTAACTGGGTTACGATGTTTTGAGAGCCTTTATTTTGATCATCGTTGTTGCTGTCTAACCAGATGAGAATAATATTTTGAATTCTTTGTTGTGTTTGCGTAAAAAACAGCAATGAAACAAACTTTGTGACTAACGTTGCGCTATCGTTTATAATAGTATTTGAATTCATCGCTGATATTACATAGGGCAGTCAAAAAGTTCTGTCACTTTCATATTTTTATTAAGAAAAAAAAACATTTCGCTAATCTTTTTACATCAAATGTTCGAAGTAGTCCCCACGATGTTCGATACAAAGTTTCATCCTTTGGATCCATTTCTGAAAGGTCTTTTGATATTCATAAACAGGTATTGAGTTGAGCTCCTTGGTTAGTGCTGTAGCCAAACTTGTAGAATCTGGATATGTATCGAGATTACGTTTTAGATAGCCGAAGAGCCAGAAATCACAAAGAGCAAGGTCAGGCGAATAAGGTGGATGGACCATAATTTGCATTTTGTGTTGTTGAACATGATCAAAAATAATATTATTCATATGTGGACGAGCATTATCATGATGCAGCTTAATGCCTTTTGTTAATGATAACGGTCTTTTCTTTCGTAATTTTGAGATTAACTTTTTTAAACATTCATCACGATAATAAACAGCATCAATTGACATGCCAGATGGTAATTCATTAACAACTAATGGGCCAGTAGACATAAAAGAAATAATAAACATGGTTTTCTTCTCGTATTGCTGTCGTCGAACCTCTGTTGCAGGACTTTCATCTTTTCTAACCCATACTTTGCATTGTTCTTTTGCTTTAATTTTTCGATGATAGATCCATGTTTCATCTCCTGTCACTATATCACATAGTCTCCAGGAACCATTTTCGAATTTTCTCAAATTTTCAGTACAAATCTCAACACGTCGTTGTTTTTGTTGTTCAGTTAGTGCATGGGGTACCCATCTTGATGTTATTTTTCTTAATCCAAGATGTTGTTTAAGAATGGTATGCACACTTCCATGCGATATATCCAAGATCATTGCTATGTAATCGATACTAATATGTGGGTCATCATTCACCAAATCCTTGACAGAATCAATATTCTGTTGAGTAATGACGGTTACTGGACGGCCACTTCGAGGATTATCTTCCAAGGACTGCTGTTCTGTTGAAAATCGTTGAACCCATCGAGCAACTGCACGATATGAAACTACATCTGGTCCATAAGCAGTAACTAATTCATCATAGATTTGTATTGCATTTAAGCCTAATAAAAGGCGAGTTTTTATGTATGATCGAATACACAGTTTATCCATTGAAATACAGAGCTGTTCGAAAAGTTAATTATAGATTAATTACAACGAACACGAGAAAAACTTTTTATTGGTAATTTAATGCACAACAGATGTCACTATTAAAACAAACCGGCGCAAAGAATAGAAACCGTTCAGCTAAAATTTTGCGCACCTGTTGCCAAAACTTTTTGACGACCCTATGTAAATGTTGCCTTTGTTAAATAATGACAGAAGAAAAGAGTTTCTTATCTTTCTGCATGCAAGGTATAAAACTAATCGAGAGTTAAAAAGGAATTGCAGTATAAAGTCCGTCTAACGCATGATTTCATCATTTTTATGAACAGTACTGCCTTCTATAGTTGTGAAAACCTTTTCTTTTTGTTGTGTTCACATGACAAATTTTTATGATGAAGCAACTTTTTGCGTATAATATATTTTTCAACTTTATCGAGATTCCGAGAAAAATACTTGAATGTCTAATCCTTTCACTCTTGAAAAAGATAAGACTTATTTATGATTTTTTTCATGCAACATATATTTATTCAAAACATCTCTCTCGTTTTATTATGCTTTTTATACTGATATTTTAGATTACCAAGGCAAAACACCGTGCACTTTCGAAGCACAATGTTTAATCAATTGAGTCAGAAGTTATACTTTATCCTTATTCTACTTAATTTAGATTGTATAGCTGTTTATGGTCAAAACTGTTCAATGTCAAATCGTATGTTTATTTCTACCATTTAAATTCGTAATGACTTATTGTCATGTGTGTCTTATAATTTAGCACGGATTTGTTCTCTTGGAGGATTGGTATGGTGCTGTCCGAGTAAGAAAAAATTTCTGAATGATTGAAATGATGATTTAGTTTTCATTGATAGGCTATACACAATGTTCAACTGATAAAGTCTCGTATTGTACATTTCAACCACCTCCAACAATTCCCTCGATAGTGACTTTTCATTTTACGCGACCAGTTTATTGGGATATAAAACCACTTCATTCTGGAGATTCAATCTCTCCAGCATTGCAAGTAGTTTTAGGACTTGTGATAGGTTCCGCCGTTTGCTGTCCTCTGATTATTGTGGCTGTTTTGACATGTTGTGCATGCATCGAAGATTTTTGCACAAAGAGACAACAAAATCTCGACCAAAGGCAACTCAGAAAACAAGCAAAGCTTGGCGTTCCTACATCATCTAATGAAAAACCATCATTATCAACCATTTCTAGTGCGCTTGAAGCGCTGCCACCGCCATACGAGGGTGTCAGCGATAAGCATCACGTGGAAGCTGCACACCATCATACAATATTGCACTTATTCATCTACAATCTTCGGATACAATAATATCAATTAAAGACACTGATTGTTAGTCCGAACTATTCGATAAAGAAAAAGACAAGAGAAATCTTTTTGATTAATATCAATAGAAAAACATCTGAGGAAGTTTGTTAGANATATTTTTCTTCTAATTTTATGCGATAGTATCGAAAAAAAAAAGGTTTTTATTCTACCGCCTTTCATCTGTAATAAAAAAAGTGTTCGAATTGTTGTCGTCTTGAACAGCAGTGACGGCTTGCCTGCATATGATGCAAGAAACTTCATTATTCTGCTGTAAAAGTTTCGCATAACATTCTTCGCACATCGTTTTATGCTGACAAGGAAAACAACGTAGGAAACGCGGTTTTTCCTGGCAAATCATGCACAATTTCATTGCAATTGAATCAAGTTCATCAACGATTTCTTTTGCTGTCGATCTTTTCTTCCAATCTTTGTGTAGACAACGTAAGATCAATTGACAATAACTTTCAGGAACTTTATGTCGATCAAGTCGTTGTACTTGTTCAGGATTTGCATCCGATGCTGGAATGTAGTTCTCGTTCGGTGCACATACAAACATAAGACCGCCGAGTAGATATACATCAACAGCTGAACCTAGATAAGTTTGAAGATGATCCCTGTTCATTAAAGCATTAATGTCCGGCGGGAATGGAACACTACCTACGATGGTGTGATTCTCGGTTCCATGTTGACATGTACCATAGTCAGCCAGATAGACATGCTTCTGTTCGTCAATAAGAATATTTTCAGCCTCAATGTCACGTGAAATTTCTATAGCTTTATCAGCATTCATATCTTTCAAGTTTTTCTCGAGGAATGACTTAAGATTGGCCGAATAACGAGGCATAATTAAATTGACGACATCGTTGTCAATATACAAATATTTTAAATGAATCATGTGTGGAACGTTGAGATTGGTCACTGCGCGATGGAAATGTCCTTCTAAGTATGCAAAATTTGGATCGGCGCAATGCTGTTTTAAGCTTTTAGCAACAAGTTGATCGTCATTATCCCAGGATGCTGGATGAACTGTGAAATATCCTCCTTCGCCTTCGACTTCATTCCGGTTAATGATTGGGTGCGATCCATTGTGAGCAGTCATATCCAGATTTGCTGCCAAGTGACATTCGATACAGGCGAATACAGGTATGAATTCATGAGCTAGTTTATAAGCTTTTTCACGATCATTCATAGTACGCAATATGACTGAATGATATAGGTCGACTTTTTCTTTCAACTTCTCGTAATTACTGTCGATCCATTCCAACATATGTTTCTTTAGATGATCACCCATTTTATCCATCTTACTTCCAAGGACAACGAGGTAATGTTGAATTTTCTTCTTCCGTTGATCAAGTATGGCCTGCGTTTCGTCAGTTTTTTAATTTTTTGAAAACCCATCTTTGATTGCATCTGAAGTGGCCCCGGAAATTTCAAGCAACAAGAGCACAAAACAGAGACCGGTCAATAGTGATAATACTGGTTTTTGTTTCATAGCCAAACTATAGTTATCGTTGAGATCACATCAGTCCAAAAACACTTGCCAGTAAGCTGCATACAATAATTTAATTTTTTGTTTCGATAAAGAATATTGTCTGCAGCCATGCCTTTCTTAATACAGCAACTTTGTTTGCTGAAAATATCTTGTATGATCGGCTTCATTACTTCACTTTCTACTATGGCATCAATGAAATTTTCTTCGTGCTGAAAAGTATTGTGTTTTTTAGATCGTAAGAGGCTAAACGATTTTCACGGCAGACAAAATTGACGGCTAACAGATCTGAGACTATGGACTGCCTGTGATCTATGATGTTGCAGTAGTCTTCGCATCGAACGTCTCGTGTTTCACTATCTTGTATCGCTCTTTTCTCGATATCGAGCTTCTTTTCGTTAAAACATTGCGATAAACGTTGATTTGCTTCTTTGGTTGTCATATCGATGGCACATCGACACTGTTCAAAGAATTGTTCACCCCACTTCAAAGGCTTAGCAAGTAAATTGTTCCATTCATCGAGAGTACGTTGGTTCGTGAGCAAAACGAAGTCGAAGAACACATCAATGGCGTGATGTTTCATTTCTTTTCCATATCATCTGGAGGCGATAAACAAAAAAACATGTCGAACGATTCGCACTGCTCGAAAGATGGAGACATTTTGCCGTGGCTTCGGTGCTCAACATCATCGTCATCCCGTTGCCGTGTATCCTTTTGTATAACAGCCACATTCACTTTGGCGTTGAGAAAGAAAGTATCGACACCAATTAGTTGACTACGAAGAGCCACCTTCGGCTGTTCGTAGCATTTACGGATATCATCAAAATGTTTGTCCACATCATTCGGTCTTGCTAGTTGCTCTTTGACGATCTTCCTTAGGACTTTAACATCACTTTTATTGTTGACACTGCTTTTGAAATGTTTAGACAAGTCGATCTGATCATTAATTTGTGTACGATATGTTGCTGATCCATATTTAATTAAACACGCTTGTTCGGGAGGCGCATACGAAAACTTAACAGTGCGTGCAGGTACCGCACCTGTACCCCCAGCCAAGAACCTTACGTATAAAAGAAGTTTTGCCGCATGAATTATAACCACATACAACTATCTGAACTTCTTCTAATGGATTGTTTTCAGTAAAAATGCTGCTTTTGTCAGTTTCAAAGGATAGATCTATCATGTGCTTCACCGTTTCCAAATGTTCATAAATAGCTTTTTGTGCGCTGACGAACCTCTCTTGCAGTTCAAGAGATTCTTTTACTAATTTAGTCGTTGACCTTTTGATTAAATTATTCGATTGAATTTTAGTTCTAACTTTTTCCGTGTTCCCGTGGATCAAGTGCGATTTTTCTTCGAACTAAATATAAAACGACGACATTCATCATATGATAGTTTTGTTTAAAGTCAACATTGACAATAACCTTCCGATGACTACACAATTCTTTAGTTCTCGCTAAGTGTTATGTATGAGTATAAATAAGCGATTATAACTTCTCTTCTATGATTATGTGACATTTATGCAGTAAACATATGGGCTCATGGCTGAACTTTCCATATGAAGTTCACTGATTCGTTCGTGTTTTTACAAGAGCTATGATCATAGCTAATGAAAATCTGCTTCCTCTAAGTAGGTCTATATTACCTTTGGAATTTATGTAAGTAAGCAAAATATAGTGATGCGATAAGGAAACAACATAGGTCTGAATGTATCACATTAAAGAAAACTTTCGCTTCGAGTTTCTAATTATCTTCATGTTGACACACGTAAGAGCATATTACCTTATAAGAATGATTGGAAAATGACCGAAGCTACTGTCATCGATAAGTAGACAGATAATAAAATCCATCATTTCAGATTTCAGATTTAAAAGTCATGAGCGTTCATTTAATCTCTTAATTAGCAGAAAGACAACTTATCGTTTGAAAGTCTCTGTTAATTTTTTTTTTATAAATATAGTCTTTAACGCCGTTTCAGACGTTTTTATTTGCCAAGAAACAGAACCATTCCTCGTTTCCAGTGTTGGGTATAAAGATTTTCTTTCTCTCAACCGATTTATTCAAATCATGCCTGTGACCAATCTACCGCTCATTCAGCAAGCGATGACTCGATATGGAATGAGTTTCTATCTCGGACTCGGTGTCATAGGCAATGCCTGTGGTTGTATTATGTTTACTCGACAGACCTACCGTCGAACGGCTAGTTCAGTTTATTTCCTATGTCTGTCAATTTGTTCGATAATGTATTTGATTTGGTCTCTTTTTCCATATTTATATTCACTTGATCATATCGATCCTCAAAAACAATCGATAGCATATTGCAAGACAAGATTTTATGGTACTCATCTGTTCGGTCAATGTGTTCGGTATAGTATCGTACTTGCCTGCATAG